AGATTTTATTTATTTATTTTTAGAGACAGGGGAAAGGAGGGGGAAAGGAAGGGAAGCACTGATGTGTGAGAGAAACATCAGGTGGTTGCCTCTCGCCCACGCCCTGCCCGGGCCCAAACCAGCGACCTTTTGCTTTGCGGAACGACGCCCCGCGGAGCCACACGGGTCAGGGCAAGAACAGATATTTCTTGATAATCAGATAACATGTAAGCACAGGTAGCTTGAGATTTCCTGGGCAGGCGGGGCCCTGTAGTTAGAACTTAGGGCTCTTACGTGGAGGCAGTGTCCGACGAAGGCTGGCCCGGTCCGTGCCCGGGCGTGGGCCGCGGCCGTGGGGGTCACTTCAGCTCTCTCGCCTGTGTGAAAAGATGGGACGAGTGCCTTGGCATAGAACATGATCTTTAAATTTTCTTCCAGCTTCAAAGTTGGAAGAGTCTGTGCTTCCTGAAATTTCTTATCCTAAGCCCTTGAATTATCTCCAGTAAAACTTGAGCAAATGTAACCATTTAAAGATATGCCGGCAAACTATATTTATAGTATCTCTATTAAAAGATACCCAAGCTTGACTGACATATTCACATTCACATAGGCATTTGTATGTCTGTGTGTATGTGTCTTATCTTATTCTAACTTGACTGTAGTACACTAACTCTATGCTAGTCTAATATTATACTATACTATATTACACTATCTTTTCTATATTGTGTAGTAGACTAATTATATGATACAGTACCTGTGTGTGAATGCTGAACTTATACTATTTTGTTGTTGTAGTTCATAGAAGTAAAGCATGAACACATCTAAACCAAACCACGATTATAGGCTAACAGGCCCTTGGGTTCTAGGGACAGTTTCCATAAAGTGCTCTGCTTGGGCGCAGTGTGTCTGTCATCTGACGCAGGCACCAAGTTCCTCGTTGTGTGGAGCAGAGGCTTTCAGATTCTGCTCAGTGGGATTTCAGAGCTCCATAGAGATTCTCTGAAACCCAAGGAAAGAGTTGAAAAAACTATTTAAAACTTGACTAACGCGCACCTGGGGAGCTTGGGTTGTGGGGCCCGCGCAGCCTCCGTCTGCACTGGAGTCGCTCGTTGCCATGTCTCCTGGTCTGCACAGCGTGCTGTGCTCTGGTGGATGCCGCCAGCATATTGCCTTGTGCTGACAGGTTAGCTGGTTTTGCATGGTTAGGTATAGCTCTTCTGCCCTGTCTGCCTTGTTAAAGAATCATAGCCCATGGTCAGGACAGGGTGGTAAAAAAACAGGTGCTGTTTGCATTACTCCTTGGTCTGTATCAGACTTTTCCTGCTGACCTGGGGAGAAGCCAGCGGGGATCATTCTGCAACCCTTAGGATCAAATATGTAAGCGCATCAAAATAGCTTAGTTTGTTGTCAGTGATGGACTTTATAATAAGAACAGGCTATAAGAGAAAAATAAATGAAGCTTAGAAAATAAATGAAGTAAGACTCTTGGGGAAAAATGGTCCCATTGCTAAAAATGTTTGGAAGCCACTGATGCCGTGAAATGGGCAAAGATTTCAGAGGCAGTTCAGGTCTGAGCCCTGCTTACTAACCAGATGGCCTCGGGCAGCGCACATGCCCCTCTGAGCCACAGCTGTGTCACCTGCGAAATGGGTCTGCTCTCCAGCAGGCGGGACATTTTTGAAGATTATAGAGAAGTGTCTAAATGGGACTACTCCGGTGCTTGGCACATGACAGAAAGTTTAACGCATGATGACTATTACAATGCTTTGCGCCATATTTCCTGTCTGGCCATTAAGATCAACCTCCTTACACCGTATTTATGTATATATTTATGCATTTATTTTACTTGCATATTACTTATTCAGAGAACATTGCATGTGCATATCCTGGCAAATATATTTTCCTGCAATTTATAGAGATGTTTTAGCATACTGAAGTGGCACGTTTTTCTTTCTGATACATCTTCATCACCAATTAATTTCCCTCTCTTTCATTTTGAAAGTGTGCGGAGCCTTAACAGAATAATTTTTTGAGTTTTAATTAGTTTTCTTTTTTTCTTTTTTCTTTTTTTGGTCATGGAAAAAAATCCAACAGCCATTGGGAACCACTTTTATGCATTGAGACTGTAAAATGCTGCTTTATTTTTATGTACAGGCTCTTTGTGGGTGGACCGCAGAAATCCTTGCTCTTGGAAATGTTTTTTGAGCCCACTGGGAAAGCAAAGAGGGAAAGAAAGAGCTAATTTAAAAAGCTGCCATCCGCCTCCGCTAATTAACTTCTCTCTGCTCCTGGGAGAGGGTGTGGAAATCTGAAAACAACACAGGCAGCATCGGAAGCGAATGCCATTCCAGCGGTCCATGGTAGCCCGTGGTGTTTTGATGCAGACTGAATAGCTCATAGTAAACAGGCGTGGAACCACAAAGGGGCTCGGTGTGCCCTCTCCCTCCCCGTGCACTGCGTCGCTTGCAGGGCGGAGCTGAGTTGTGGTCCCTTCTGAGCAGGTGTGCAGGCCGGGCAGCTGCAGCAGGGGGACCTCATTGGAATTCAGCAGCTCGAACCCAAGAGCATCCGGCCCTCCCTGGCGCTTGCTTGTGCTGCTGGGAAAGAGCAGGGGCCCTTTGTGCTCGAAAGCCACGCATCGCCGGGGCTGAGGGATGCAGAAGCCGCGGGAGCCTCTCCCTCTGGATCTCTGCTGGACGCCGGAGGAGCTCATGGCATCTGTGCAGCTGACTTTTTGGTGACATCTTGAAGAGGTTTAGATCCCAGGGATCCCAGCAAGGGAATTAGGGGGGAATCTGGGGCACAGAGGCTGTTCTTCAGCAGAGATGGCTTTTACCTCCTGGAGGATGTGGCCCGCAGTGGAATGGGCTCGGTGGATGTGGACAGCGGTGACCAGCGGTGGGGACTCCAGTCTGTTGGTCCTCCCTGGAAGCCCTGCAAAGAGGCAAGTTGGCCCTGACTGGCGTGGTGCAGTGGGTTGGGTGTTGTCCTGCAAACTGAAAGGTTGCCAGTTCAGTTCCCAGTCAGCGCGCATTCCTGGGTTGCAGGCCAGGTCCCCAACCAGTCGATGTTTCTCCTTCGCATGGATGTTTCTTTCTCTTTCTCCCTCCCTTCCCCTCTCTCTAAAAATAATAAAATCTTTTTTAAAAGGAGGGAAGTTAGCTCCATGTGTTTGTGTCGGGATCTTCCCCAGCGTGTGCAGTGCTGGGAATCAGGTCGACACCCAGGGCCCCCCAGGCAGATCCAAACTCTTGTTCCTCTTTGATGCTCAGTTGCGTAACCTGTATTTTTCATACTGGTAAACAGACTCTGCAAAACTTAGCGTACCTAAATCTGTTGTTGTCCAAGCGTGGATTTAAACTCTTCCCCCTAGACAAAAGCTAAGCCCTTTAATTAATGTCTGTCTGTAAGAAGTCAGTATGGCTGTCGGTTTTGCATGAATTAAGTCTTTACTCGTGAAATTTGATAGTTTGCAGGCTTCGGCTCTTGGGATCCCATCAGAAACAGCTCTGATGTTTTTGTTCATCTTTTTGGGTCCCTGCAGGGATTTGTGGCTGGCTGGAGGAGCCAGGGTCCTGGGAAGTGTAGGGTACGGGGTGGTCTTGGCATTGATAAAATACATTGCTGACCAACAAGTTGTAAAAGCAACGTCGATAGAGGTTTTCTGAAGGCAAACTCCCCAAAAGGCTCTCTTTTTATGTCCTGGCTGACGGCAGAGGGATTGGTGGTTCCTGGTCTCTGCAGGCTGGCAGATGGTCTTTCGAAGATGCTGACCTTTGCTGAGGTCACTGGTCCTTTGACCCCTGCGGGAGTTGGGCAGCCTGAGTGAGCATTTCATGCTCCATCCTCACCTGACGTGTCACCTGATTATACATCTTCACCCAGAATTGCCCAGCGGGTCACTTGTGCAGCAGCAATCCTAAGTATCTACCCTCTCGATAATTACCTCCCTTGTTGCAAGTGAATAAATGGCATTTTGGGCTGTTTTAAAGATCCTGAGGGATGGGGATCAGCCCAGGAGATGCTGCTTGCCCTCTAGCCTCCTCAGTGAGGTGGGACCAGGACCCGGCACGACCTGGCCGCTTGAGCAGGTGGGGAGCCGTCCTCGGCCTGAGGACACATGCCCGGCTCAGGGATTTGGGCAGACCTCCTCCTTTCTGGCTTAAAACTGAGTCCCTAGCCAAAAGAGAGTGATGGGGAAGGGCTGCCTGCTCTAGGTTTTCTAGTGCCTGGGATGTGCAGCTTCCCCTTGTTACTGCTGGGGTCCGGGGCAGGGGTACTCTGTTGTCTTTGTCGGGCACATCCTCCAGCTGACTGGCTGCTGGCGTTCGTTCATTCATTCATTCATTCACTCAGTCATTCATTCGCTCACTCATTCATGCATGCATTCATTCATTCATTCGCTCAACAGATGTTTTTCACTGCTTTCTGGTTTAGGCTTGGGGCTGCTGGGGTTTCCCCAGCTGCCCTCATGACCTTTTCAGCTCAGTAGAGGAGAAAGATAATTAACTTGATTAGAGAGAATAAATCCATAGTAACAAGTGATGAGAGGCGTGGGAGAGGAGGACGGGGTGCGGTGGGGGGAGGCTGAATGCCTTTGTGATTCACGGATGGGGGCCCTGTGGCGTGTTGGAACCGCGGCATCGGAAAGTGTCCTTTGTAACGCCTCCCTATCAGTTTGAACTGTCGCCAAATAACACGTGTTGGAGTTGATCAAAAGATCCCACTGTGTTTGGATTTGCCGCTAAGGCCAGAAATATGTATTTCGAGTAGAGCTGAGTTTTAAGAATATATCATTGGGACACAAAGCTGATGATAATGAGATTCACTCTTGGGAATCATGCTTCAAAGTGACTTTTCTTTTATCTCCCCTCGCAACAGTAATCGGGCAGCGAGCCTGATTCCACCGGCAGGTCAGGAGGTCGCGTGCTGCTCAGCAGCCCCTGGCCCCTGGCCTCGGGGAACAAAGGCAGCCCTGACCCCCGTCTAACCTGGTGTGTCTCCCCCTCTCTTTCCATTAGGAGTTCTGACTCTGAAGAAGCATTTGAGACCCCAGAGTCGACCACGCCTGTCAAAGCTCCACCAGCCCCTCCCCCACCGCCCCCGGAAGTTATTCCAGAGCCTGAGGTCAGCGTGCCACTTTCCCCGGAAGAACCAGGTAACCAAGGGTCAGGCGCCCCCTGGGGAGACAGCAGCTCTTCCTGGGGCGTGGCTGGAGGGGGGCGCCCACCCCAGGGGGCTGTTGCTGGAGCTCCTTGGACCCCAGTTGTCTGGGCCTCTCAGCTCTGGGCTGGGTTTTGTGTGAGGGAAAGCTAAGGGGGAACAGAAACCGCAGACCCTTCTGTTTACTTTGTGGGAGTTTAGTGAAGGCTTCTAGGAAGACTGCTCATTTAGTTCTGGGTGCCTCTCCCCTGGCACCCAGAATTGGGTGAGAGTGGAGCAAGCGGGCCTGGGGGGTTTCTGGTGCCATTTTGGGTCCCCACATTCGGCCCTTGCTCCTGTAAGAACGCAGTTCTGAGCGGCCCTCGTGATCCGCATGTTTATCAGAGGACATGGCTCCCATGGGCTTGGGGAATGAAGATGCTGAGTAGATGGGCGAGAGGAGAAAGGCACAGGGAGCCGCCCCCATGCGTGCATGGCTTGTTTGTTTCTCATTGGCCTCGAGTTTCCCGATTTCCTATCCCTTTCTCATATCCTTTCTCCCCTCGTGTGACTTAAAACACAGGCCTTTCTGCACCTGTGAGATGTGGCGATAACCAGGGGATGGGGCGGATCTCATTTCCCCACCAGCAGCCGGCCCAGCTGGCTGGTGTCCTCCGCCTGCGTCCTCCGGTTGCACCAGCAGGCGTGGGGCCCCCGCTGCACGGGAGTGTGACGGAGGCCTGGAAGGCGATGGGCGCTGTCAGAAACGGCCCCGCAGGCGGGTCGGGGGCCAGGCGGCCCACCCTTAGGCCTGGACCGCCTGCTCCAGCCCCGCACTTCAGAGGACTCCGTTTCCTCAGGCCGCAGCCCTCGCTGGGCCCGGGGAGGGGGGCGGGGGGGCGGGGGCAGCGGGGGCGGCCTGCAGGGCCGCGCTCCTTCTGGACCAAACCTGGGAGCAGCCACTTCCTGGGCCCACCAGCCCGCTTCTCTGGGCCTGTCTGCCCAGGGCGCACCCTTCAGCCAAGGAATAACCGGGGCAGGGTGGCTGGGACCTGCAGCCCCCACACGCCTGTGCTCCAGGCTGCCCCAGCGGAGGTGGGGCTTGGGTGTGAGAAGGAGGAGCAGGCTTAGGGCTGGGCTGGCGTTTGTACTCCTACCCTGGCCGGGAGGGGGCGGGGGGAGTGTAAAGTAAAATAACAGTTTGGTTTTAGAAAGAAATGGGTACCATTCTTTTTACCTGCCCTAGGTTCAAGCAGGCTGTTGTTTTAGAAAGGGTATATACACCTGACTTCGTTCCTAATAAACAATGCTCTCTGGGGCTGGGGACACAGGGGTAGGACCATTTTTAGGGAGAGCAGAGGCCTTTGCTGGTGTCTGATAAATGGAGTTTTCGTGTTCTCCCCTTTTAGACAGCTCATCAGCCGTTAGTGTCCGATTCTGCACAATCCACTGAAGTGCTGGGCTCCGAGGATGTAATTATTAGAATTTATTTGACTTTTCTGGAAAGAAACCAGAAGGGCTGCTTACATTTCTCAGAGAGTCTTTGCCATCCCCACTTTCTTTTATATACTTAAAGTGTATAAAAATTTCATTTCCTATAATATTATTTTGAAACTCGCCCTTAAGTTGAATGGAAAGTGAACGGCAGACTGTAATCCCTGGGTCAAACATGCGATTAAGAATAAACCATTCTTTTTTGTGGGTATAAGAAGTGCGTGCCTGCAAATGCGTGGGATGCTTCCAAAAAGAATTGAGCAACAGTTTGTTACAGCGTGTGGTCCATCCCCAAGCGCCAGGGAGTGTGCGGAAGAGGGGCCGTGCTATGAGGGGCCGTGTGGCTGCTAGGATTTCCAGCCGCCCGGCCTGCCCGCCTCTGGGGCTGGGTTGCCACTTCTGTTCTTTGCTTTGGCCCCTGTCCTTATTCTTTCTGCCCCGACTTCCTTTTTAAGAAAGCAAAACAAAAAAATTTCTATTCTTAAAAACAGTCACATAACACCCACCTCTTTCTTAGATGGCAATTTCTAAAAGAATGAGCATTAGAGAGGAAATGAGAGAGAGGCCCCACCGGAAGGAGCTGGAGCCGTTAATCCCTCGAAACTTCTGATTGGAACTTTAATTACACCTGTTGGAGTCTTTGAACAGGGACTTTACGCTTCTCCTTGGGAAACTACAGCGAGGCTGAATGTATGCGGATTATTCAATAAGGACGCTTCTGGTTGGGATTGAGTGTACTTAAAGCCCCCTGGCTTGCACCGTGCAAAGATCCGTTTGATTTGCTGCACAGTTAGAAGAGTGTATGGGTCCCTTCTGCAGCCAGCCTGGGACACCGACCTCGCGTGAGAAGGCAGCGCGCTCGCTGGTAGAGGCGGCTGGAAGAGAAAGCTTCCTTCTGAGAACCATGGGAAACGGAGGGCAGAGGAGGAAAAGCTATTGTTTGGTTTTCCTCTGCAAAGTGCTGGGGACATTGCTAAAGGGACAAAAAACAAAAACCCATGTGAAACAGTAGACAAGACCTTTGGCGGTGAATAAAGACCCGATTTTTCCTCCTGGAGTTACAGTTTACAAAGTAATCAATCACCTTATGTTGGGCCCTGCCAGCATGTTTGCGCTCCGTGGGGTGGCGGACGGGCGAGTCACTGGGGCTCACTCTGCGACTCCCGGCCTGGTCTGGACCGGGCCAGGATGCGGTTTATCCCAGACCAGCTTTCTTAGCCTTCAAGTGAAGAGAGCGACCTGCTAGTCCCCTGAGGTCCTTCGCCCTCGGACCGTCCGTGTCCCCGGAGCAGAACGCTTCGTGCCCAACAGTGCCTGTGTGTTAGAACTCAAACTGGCCACGGAGGGACATAATTAAATGTCCCATAACCACATAATAGCGCCCGTTTTAGCACCTGCCATGGGCCAGGCCTGTGCTGAGTTTCCAACTCAGATAAGAGAATGAACATTAGGAATTGCAGTAGGTATTAGTCATGTGTTTAGAGGGTTAAAGCTATGCTCCCTGTGTAGAAGACCCTTGATATATTGGCTTAGGGTAAGAGTCTGTGGCCTGTGAGTTCGAGGGGGTCATGGTTCAACCCCTTCGGTCCTCTGGGATCAGAGTGCGCTCACAGAGAGGGGGGCGACGGGGGAGTGGGGAGAGAAGCCCCAACGCAGCTGCCAGCAAGTGCTCTGGTTAGGAACAGCCCAGCAAGGCTGAGACATGTGGCCTTTGGAGACAGCAGGGGGACATCCAGTGGGTGGCCTTAGTTGCCTGTGATTAGCTTGCTCTTTCCTCGGAATTCCCTTGTTTTCTGAGCACATTGCTGTTGCTGGCGGGCGGGGGGGCCTTGCTGCCCAGCACTGCTGTTACGGACTGCAGCGTGCTCCCCGTAATCGCGAGCCACAAGCCTAGTCCCTAGTGGCGCTATATTCGAAGACAGGACCCTGCAGGAGGTGCCTAAGACCAAATGGGGCCATACGGGTAGGGCCCTAATTCAATAGCACAGGTGTCACTGTAAGAAGAGGAGGGGATGCCAGGGAGGTGCTCCCACAGAGAAAGGGCCACGTGAGGACACAGGGAGAAGATGGCCACCTCCAAGCCAAGCAGAGGCCTCAGGAGACCCCAAGCCTGTGACGCTTTGACCTTGGACTTCTAGCCTCCAGCACTGGGAGAGACAGGCGGTGCCCCTGTCTGGGATACTTCGTTGTGGTGGCCCACGCAGGTCGATGCAGCTGGGCACCTTCTGGTGGGCCTGTGCTTCTGCTGAACCAAGGATGCTGATTGCGTCATCAGCTGGGCCCAGCCCAGGGGGACCCTGTTGGGTGCACGAGGCGATGGGCGTGGTCACGTGGCTGGATCCATCTGGGGTCTTGTCCTCCCCTCTCTGTCCACAGCAGCCTCGCAGTGCCCGACATAGAGGGGCCGCCACGTGACTTGTGCAGTGAATGAACGAGTGGTCTTCATGCGGATACTGCTGTGTGGGCTCCAGAAACCCCGGGGGTACTCGAGCCCAGCTGGACCACACGTGCTTTGGAACAGCAGGGCCTGCGCGTGACCATGACCTTTTCTCCTGTCTGAGGCTTCCTCTGAAGAGGCCATGGAAGGGCCCCCCACCCAGGCCTGTAATGAGTGGTCCGCTCTGGTCACCACCCAGTAAGACAGCAGTTCTCAACCAGGGACACCTTTGCCCTCCAAGGGGACATTTGGACATTTCTACAGATGTCTTGAGTTGTCACACCCGGGGTGGGGGTGCTGCTGGCATTGAGAGGGTGGAGGCCAAGGATGCTGCTGACCACCCCACAATGCACAGCACCGCCCCCTGACGCAGAACTGATGGAAATGGCCGCAGGCCGCGGGTAGGGAGCCCCGCAGTAAGATTAGGGTTCCCGGGCCATGGCGATTTAATTAGGGAATGTCATTTCTGGGCAAGGAAGCTGTGTTAAGCAGGCCGTGAGTGTTTCTTCTGGGGAAAACAGTGAGCAGATGGTTAGGCTGACTCTGCTAACTGTTGTGTGATTCGGGCGGACCCACTGGCCTCTGAAGGGCCTCAGAGGCTTCTTCCTCGGGCTGTGGGGGTCCCCGCGGCGGCCTGAGAGCGGGCAGGCGGCGGCCATGGGCCTTGTTTGGGAAGGCTGGGCTGGGCTGGGCCGGGCCAGGCTGAGGCTCTTTCTCCCTCCTGCGAGGCTCTCCTGGAAGCACCTGGTCCTCTGGGTCCCCTGTCCTTCTTCCTCTGTGCTGCGCGACCAGGCCAGGGTGACCAGTCGATGATGATGGCAGAACAGGGGTGCTTGAGGGTGCCGGGAGGAAATGGGGAGGGGCTTGATTTTAGAGTGAAGAGGGGTGGGGCCCCCCCCGTTTGTGAGAAGGACAAGAAGTAGGGGTGTTACAAGATGACAGAGGGAGGCATTTGGCGGACAGAGCAGAGCCGAGGGCCTCCCGCCCAGTGCCCCACCCTGTAGGACGCCTGCTCCAAGTAGGGCCTGGGCTGGCAGTGGGTGCAGAAGGGAGGGGAAGGTTTGAAACCGTGTCTGGCTGATAGATGTGCTTCTGGAAGGTGCTCTCCATTCTGGAGGCGTTTACTGGGCCTGCCAGAGAAGGTGTAGCAAGTCGGGCGGGGCGGGGGGGTGGGCAGGAGAAAACAAATATCCATCAGGCCAGCTCCTGAACTCGGGGGACTTGAAGTTTCATCTCTCAGGCAGTACTTCATCGGCTGGGTTCTCTGCCAAACGTGCCAAGAAAAAGATTTTCTTGTGAGCGAGGCTGGGTAAGCACCATGCAAAATACTCCCCAGCTGGAGGTGGTGGTCACGAGCACGAACCGCCCTGAGGAAGACATACAGCATGAGGCCGGTTCCGGTTTAAGTGAACATTTCCCAAACCGTGTTGGTTTGTTTGGGTGAGGGCTGGGGCTGCCAGAGTTAGCAAATAAAAACACAGGGTGCCCCGTTAAATTCTAATCTCAGATAAACAACAAAGATGTGGACAATGGGACACATTTATACTAAAAACCTCATTCATTTATCTGAGATTCAAATTTAACCGAACATCCTGAATTTTGTCCGGCACTTGGCCCCGCAGGGGCGGAGTGGGTGCTGGGGCTGAACTCTGGCCAGTGAAACGCACGCTGGGAACGCGGCCCCCAGGCCTGTGCACGCCAACTCCCTAATTCCTTCTTCCACAGACCGCCTTGCCGTGTTCGCACTCCCTTGTCTAGGGACACGTTTTTGTTTTTCTGGCCGATCATTGTCTGGCATCTTTGACTGCCCAGGACAGCTGAGAACCCAGAGATGCATGAAAGGTGCCACCTGGTACAAGCAGAGCCCAGAGAAGCCAAGCCAAGGCCAGGCTGACCGGTTCCCCACGGGGCCGGAGGCTGGGTGGTGACGGAGCATCTCTTGGGCAGCATCTTATTGGAAAATGAGAGCAGCCTCCTTGGCCAGCAGTGGCTGAGGGTGTGGAGAAGCTGGGAGGAAGCAGCAGAGGGAGGAGAGAGAATGAGGGGGAGGCGAGAAGAGAAGAGTGGTAGACAGCATTGGAACGATTACAGGGGTGCCTGGAGCAGGGACAAGTGGCAGATGGGGTGAGCTAGGTCCTGCTGCAGTGGCCTAGGGGTCGCTGGGGAAAGGCTCTCAGTTCCTCACGGCGGTTCTGATTAGCCAGCACAGGCTTGATGACAGTAGCAACTGACATTGATTAAAGGTTTTACTGAGCCTCACTTGCATTATTCCTGGCTTCCTCACCTGCTCCTCTCCCCTTGCTGTGGCCTCCCTGGCCTGTGATGTTTCTCTACCACAGGACCTTTGCACCTGCTGCTCCCTTTGCCTAGGATGCTTCCCCCAGGATGGCCTCCTGGTTCACCCCTGTACCTGGGACCCCACCTTTGTTTCAGTGTCTCCTCCTTGGAGGGCTTTCCCCGACTACCTTGTTTTAAAATTGCAATGTCCCTGCCCTGGCTTTATTTTTCTCCATAGCGCACATCTCATAATCCGGACATTTTCCTTGTCAATTTGCTTCTTGACTCTCTCCTCCATGAAGAACTTAACTTCAGCAGCACAAGGATGTTGTTGGTTTTGTTCACTGTTGAATCCCCAGCACCCAGAACAGTGCCTGGTCCCTCCCAGCTGGGCACTTGTTTTTGGTGACTGAGTGGTCTGAGCTGGTCCTAAAGCAGCCCTGTTGCCCCCGCTTACGGGGGCGGGAACTGAGGGGGGGGCCTGTGACAGGTCTGGAGCTGATGCTGGGGGAGAGCAGGATGTGTGCCCACGTGATGGGCCAGGTTGGCCAGGGGGCCCTGCTTAGAGGGCACTAGGCTGGCACGAGATGAGACATGCTCCCAATTGTCCTGCGTCCATAAGTGACTGCTTTGTCTGGTTCCCTCAGGATGCGGCGCTGAGTCGGCCTGCGTCCCCGATGGCCCGCGGAGCGCCTCGGTGGAAGGCAGCCCGTTCCGTCCTCCCGCCCAGTCCTTCTCCGCCGTCTTCGATGAAGACAAGCCGATAGCCAGCAGCGGGACTTACAACCTGGACTTCGACAACATCGAGCTGGTTGATAGTTTCCAGACCTTGGAGCCACGCCCCTTGGACTCCAAGAATCAGGAATGCAAAGTGAGCACACGAAGGAAGTCCACAGACTCCGTCCCTGCCTCTAAGTCCACGCTGTCCCGCTCGCTCAGCCTGCAGGCCAGTGACTTTGATGGTGCTTCTTGCTCAGGCAACACCGAGGCCGCGGCCCCGGCCCCAGACGCATACAGCACGGGTTCGAGCAGCGATTCCAATACCCTTAAGCGAACTAAGAAACCGAGACCCCCTTCCTTAAAAAAGAAACAGACCACAAAGAAACCCTCAGAAACCCCCCCAGTGAAAGAGACACAGCAAGAGCCAGCTGACGAGAGTCCTGTCCCCAGCGAGGAGAATCGAGCCTCGGAGGCAAAAACAGAATCAGCCCCGCTGGAAGGTTCTAGACCAGCCTTAACCCAGGAGGCACCCCTGGAACCTGCCGCTGCCTGTCCTCTGGACCCGGAGAGTGCAGAAGGGGCTGTCCCCCCGGCCACTGGAGGTGGCCGAGTGCAGAACTCGCCCCCCGTTGGAAGGAAAACATTGCCCCTTGCCACGGCCCTGGAGGCGGTGGAGGTGACCCCGTCAGATAGTGGGGGGCAAGAGGACTCCCCAGCCAAAGGGCTCCCCGTGAGGCTGGAGTTCGATTATTCTGAGGACAAGGGTGGTTGGGACAGCCAGCAGGAAAACCCCCCTCTTACCAAAAAGACAGGCAAGAAGCCAACTGCCAAAATGCCCCTGAGGAGAGCAAAGGTGAAAAAAACGCCCGAGAAACTTGACAACGCCCCTGCCTCGCCCACCAGGTCCCCTGCTGAACCCAATGACATCCCTGTCGCTAAAGGTGCCTACACCTTCGACATTGACAAGTGGGATGACCCCAATTTTAACCCGTTTTCTTCCACCTCAAAAATGCAGGAGTCTCCCAAACTGCCCCCACAATCATACAACTTTGACCCAGACGCCTGTGAGGAGTCCGTGGACCCCTTTAAGACATCCTCTAAGACCCCCAGCTCACCCCCTAAATCCCCAGCCTCCTTCGAGATCCCGGCTAGTTCCACGGAAGCCAACGGAGTGGACGGGGATGGGCTGAACAAGCCTGCCAAGAAGAAGAAGACACCGCTGAAGACGTAAGTTCCGGGGAGCAGGCGGGGCTGCCTGGGGGCTTAATGCTTGGTCACCTGCCCGGGTAAACTTCAGCTGCCCTCACCTGTCCTGCTTCTGCTGGGCGGGGGAGCCCCTTGTTTGTAGCCCGACGCCACTGCGGCCACTCCGCACCCACGTATCCCTTTGGGTCTAAAGTCCTTGATCTTTTTGCCTTAATATGTCAGTGGTCTGAAGCTTTACCTTTAGTGGAAGACCCGACATTCAGCTGGAGGGGGCGTGTGGGGATCCTACAGGAAGGAGACAGTCCAGCAGAAACCCCGTCAGCCTCCCTGTTGGTCTTTTCCACTTAGTGTGTGGGTTGCTCTCCAGAGTGGCGTAGAAGCTGGGGGATAGGCCTTATAAAAGGTTGCTGAAATGGATAGTATTTCCCTGCTCATTTAGGAGATCTGTCCAGGCAGCAAATACATCAGCAAGCTCCGGGGGCCCGGGCCCCTCCCTGCACCCCAGCTGGCCCACGAGAAAGTCTGTGTCTCTGGCCATCTTTCGCAGACAGAGTCCAAAGGCCTTGTAGACCCAGACGTGCTCAGTGGGACCTGAAAGGGGAGAGCCATCCCCGCAGTCCCCAGGAGGTCATTAACAATGGGCTCTGTTGTCCACAAACGTTTGCCACGTAGATTACCCCTGAGTGCTACGTGTCCATGCCTCCAGGACTCATCCCAGGACGCAGCCCGAACGAACGTGGGTGTCTGCAGGGCCATTCTGAGCACTTGGGTCCAAGCGTGGTGTGGTGTATACTAGGGGCCTTTCTCCTGGCTCTCGTATGAAGTGTCATCAGCAACTTAACAAGGACGTGGAGACCGGCAGCACAGACCCCCAGCTGCTGGCCCCTGAGTCAAACTGAGTCTGCCTGGTACTAATCAGATCGAGACAGGGGGGCCTCCTGCTCTGGGTGGTTTGAGCATCTAACATTTAAGAAGAGCGCAGGGCTTCCTGAGAAGAGTTTTCTCAGCAGGCTTTGGCCTTGGGTCACCCTGCATCTGTCTGGTGGTGGGTGGGAGGCAGTCTTGGCCAAAAATGGGGACTTGCAGATCGGTTACCCAACCAGGCTTTTGCTAGAGACTCCATGGAATCTTTGTTAGAAGCTTTATTTTAAGCCTCAAACAAGGGAAGTCTGACACGCTCAGACTGCAGAGCCGTGTCCTTTCGTCTGTGGAATGAGAGCCAGCGTTACGGTTGCACCTCCTCCGCCCACAGCTAGCGTGGCTGTGCCCTGTTCCAGCAGCAGAGCCAGCTGGGGTCAGGGAAGCCAGCCTGGCGCACTGTCTCCCCTCTCATGCAGGGGGCTGGGAGTCCTACGCTGGGGGACAGAGCTCTTTGGGCACCAGGGCTGTGTGGGATGTTTGGAGGAAGGCGTCCCTGAGAGCCCCTCTTGAGAAAGTGCCCACCACCCCCAAGCAGACCCTAGAGCGAATGGCTGTTGTATCCTAACCCATTAATAACCAGTTGTCTGCAGATTTATCTTTTTTGTCAGTTCCTTCTGTCTGTCTCTCTCTCTCTTTGTCTTCTTGTCTTAGGATGGTTGAAGATGTGATGTCTGTATGTTCTCTGTTGTAAGTAAATTTAATGGAACCGCCTCTTATGCTAACTGTGCTTTATCCTGCTTTTTGTTATTGCTTATGAGCTCTTTCCCTTTCCTCTCGTGGCTGCTGCTCCCCCGTTTCTGGGCGGGCCTGGGAATGCCGGGGCATGGGGCTGCCCGGGGAGCGGAGCTTATTTTTGTTTCCTGGTGATCCGTGTACGTGAAATGCTTGGCTGTGAAAACGTGGTTGCGCAGCATCTGCCTGCCTGTCAGGAATGGAACTTTTTCCCCCTTGCATATTGGATGTGTTCATCCGAAACCCATACATTTTTGTGTGTGTTTTTTTTTTTTTTTTCACTCTCATGTCATCCCTTCACTTGAAATGGAACTGGTGGGCGGCTGCTTTCGAAGCACTGTGGCTTCACGTGAAAAAAACCATCCTGTCTGACCACAGGCAGCGACGGCTGACGCCGGTCCTTGCGGGACAGTTTGGGCTGTTCCAAACCGAGGCCCGCGGGAGCCCCCTGAGATCTCAGGCGGCGTAGAGCGGAGCACGGGCTTGGAAGAGCCGTCGCCAGGCCGCGCCGGGCCTGCGGCCTGGGCCGCTCGGAACCGGGCTGGGTGTCGGCATGGCATGCCGCCTGTGGGTCGTCGTCCTGCTGGGCGTCGGTGGGAACAGAGCAGACCACCTCTGTGCCTCTACTGCTTTGTCTCCCCGGCCAGGAGGGATCTCGCGGGCAGCTCCCGGGGGCCCAAGGACAGGCACCTCCTCTGCCTCCCCGTTCTCACGAGGGAAGCTGGCCTGGTCCCGGGCGTCCTGTGGCCGCAGGAGAGGGTTGAGTCTCAGGCTCTCTTCGGCCCAAGGGAGTTTACTATTTTAGAGCCACTTAGCAACATCAAAAATATGCAGTTAATATATTTATATGCATGAATAAATATATGCTTCAAGCTGTGATTGCACTGGTCATGTGGCAGATGCCATAGATGCTGTAAAAAACCATTTATAATCTTTTTTTTTTTTTTCATGAATGCCATTGTTGGAGCGTTTTATTTGAGAGAACACAAGGAAGGAACTTGAGTGCCAAATTGCTCTGTCTGCCAGTTTACGTTTAGAGCAGAGACGGAGGGATGTCCCCCACCCAGGCCCTTGTTTTTGCTGGGGGCAAGACCACGCCACAGAGGGGCCTGAGACCAGGTGGCAGGGGCCAGTGTGCGGGTGCAGAGCCCTCCATTCTCACCATGGGAACGACCCCTGACCCCCCAGTGGACTAAACAGAACCACCCATGCTCAAAGCCCTTCCTTCTGAGCCTGTCGGGAGGCTTGTCTGGCATTTCCTTAGCCTCGTGTCCTCGCTGCCCCCGACTCTTTCTAGGAAGGGAGGAAAGGGAGACAAGAGTCCTGAATTGTCTGCCGTCAGCAAAAAACATTTTTTAAAAAATCACCTCATCCCCGAAAAGAGTCTGGAGATTGTCAACAGTGTGCATGTACTTAACACTACTGAACTGTACTGTTAAAACTGTTTAAGATGGTACATTTTATGTTACGTGTATTTTTTTCCCCAAAATTTAAGAAAATTACCTCGCCCCCAGCCCTGTCTCCAGTCAGAACCCCTCCCCGCAGCTCAGGGGTGCAGGAGTCCATCCAGGTCAGAGCTCCTATGAGAGGGAGGGAGTCTGCCGGTTCCCCTTGAAGACCCAGAACATTCTGCCTCTCTCCGCAAGGCTCGGACAGTTGTTTATTAAGCGATGTATCGGCTTGGCTGCCTGTAAATTGAATCCTGTTAATTGTGTAGGAGCCTTGGTCCCCTCCCTGCACAGCGGGTGGTTCTCACACTCCTGGATGGAGTCCAGGATACATTAATCTGCTCGCCCAAAATTTGATTTTTAAAATAAGCACAATAAGAACATCTGGTTAAATTTAGCTTCATTTTCTGGGTCAGCTCTCCAAAATGGCATCTCTTTAAAGATTTCCAGCTTGATGAATTTTTCCTCAGGGGCAACAATAGTATCCGTTTAAGGGTCTGATGGACCATCAGCGTGGACGTCTGCTGGTTGGTGCGGGCGTGGTGCAGATGGCAGGGTGGTCTGGGCAGACACTCAGCAGAGGCGGTGGCTTCGGTCTGCTCTGTATGTTCTGGAATGTTCTGTAGCTCTGTGTTGTGTTCACATTTTCCATTTTGTTTCCAGTGACACATTTAGGGTGAAAAAGTCGCCAAAACGGTCTCCTCTCTCTGATCCACCTTCTCAGGTATAATGTTCCCTTGATATTTATGACTTTATCGCTCACACGGGAGTTGAGGCTGACGTGTTTATTCCTCACCAGCGTGGCCGCATTTCCAGCGCCCTCTCCTTGCCTCCTACATGGAGCGTTTCTTGGTGTTCGCAAGACACTCTTTGATCCCTTCCCTTTGGGGGGAGGTCAGCATGGGTTCCGAGAGCAGGAGGCTGTTCAGGAAAAGCGTCAGTGAGATTTTTTAGAGGACTCTCTAGGAACCATGCCCATCCTCTCTGGCCAGTTAATTTCCTGAAAATGTACATGAAGTTCACGTTGAGGAAGTCTGTGGAGATAACTGAATGTAGAGTGAGAAAAACTGCACCTCTGTGGACAGCGCTGAGTTATGTCACCCAGATCCGGAAACCCGCCTTTCTTCATGCCCGTCCCCAGCTCCGGCTTCCCCGTCCCTCTACCAGACGTAACCCCTGTCTTCCATCCTGTGTGCAGCCAAGGAAGGCTCTCCTCTGGCGTGTATGCCAGGCCATTCAGGATCATAAGACAAACCTCCCGCGCCCAATCCGAGCCCGCGAAGCGCCCAGCCGGCCACCCCTGGCAGGGCAGCGGCTGCAGAGAGAGGCCCCCAGCCCCAGGACGGGACCTCGGGTCCCAGTCCCAGCTCTGCTCTGACATTCCTGGGCTCCCACCCTACCCTGCTCAGGCGCCCCCTCTCTCTGCAGAGGAAGATAAGGCCCCTGTCTCCCTGTCCCCAGCGACAGGGCGGTCAGGTGATAGTGATGTCCAGGCCCTGAGGTGCTGTGCAGCCCTAACAAAGTCATTGCAGTGATACAATTGCCAGAAGTAAAAAGTTTTCTTATTTTTCTCGAACGAGCAGAAACATCTCAAGTAACCAAGATACAAATCCAATTTTTAAAAAAATATTTTTATTTCTAGAGAGAGGGGAAGGGAAGGAGGAAGAGAGGGAGGGACACATCAATGTGTGGCTGCTTCTTGCGTGCCCCCTATTAGGGACCTGGCCCACAACCCAGACACGTGCCCTGACTGGGAATTGAACCAGTGACCTCTTGGTTCACAGGCTGGCACTCAGTCTACTGAGCCACACCAGCCAGGGCAAAAAATCCCAATTTTTTAAAACCCACAGTCACCCCCTGAAACAAGACACTGGGAAAGGAAGTTCACAGAGGAAAGAGTTTCCTTCCTTGGGACCATTTTGAGCAGGGTGCGAGGGCACACGGGGGGTTGGTTTGGACAGGGACCTGCTCCAGCTCCTGGGGCCCCAGACACGTGGGTGGGCGCCGCTTCGGACGCAGACCCTGATGAGAGGAGAGACCGCTCCCCTTTGTTTCACAGGACCCCACCCCAGCGGCCACACCAGAAACGCCGCCAGTGATCTCTGCGGTGGTCCACGCGACCGATGAGGAGAAGCTGGCGGTCACCAACCAGAAGTGGACGTGCATGACAGTGGATCTGGAGGCTGACAAACAGGACTACCCGCAGCCCTCAGACCTGTCCACCTTTGTGAACGAGACCAAATTCAGTTCACCCACGGAGGGTAAGCGGCTCGGTGGCCCGCCGGACCCCCGCCCTGCCTTGGCGACTCCTGCCCCTAGGGAACAAAAGGCCAGGAACGAAACTCCTAAGCCAGGTAACCGCGCAGTCGGCTGCAGCCCCCCAGGGCGCTCCCAGCTAAGGCTGTGTTGTAAAGTAGCCGAGGGCTGAAACCAGCGGTGCTGTGACCCAGGACCCCTGCTTGGAGCCCCCCGTGGCCCCCTCGCTAATTCCCGGTCCTGAGCTCCGCAGGCTTTGCTTACTTGCGGCTGTACGGCTCCTGTCCTGTGGTGATTGTGCAACACACACAGCTCCAGGGAGCATCAGTCAAGGCAAATGCAGTGTAGGTCAACTTACCTGGGCCTCTCGGTGCTACCGCTGTTCCCCAGCCACACGGGGCATCCACAGAGTGGCCACGCCTTCTCCCCAGGCTCCAAACCGGAGGTTCACCCGGGCCTGCCAGCTCCGAACAGGCCCCCGGGCACACTGCTTATCTCATATCTTCCTCGTGCACGAACTCAGTCCGCTTGCTCCCTGATACTTTGGCTTGAAAAATTCATATATTCTAAGTCAGAGCAACATGCCTGCGTGAATCATTTTTTTAAAAATGACTTATTCCGCTAACACTGATTTTTCTCAATCTGTTTATTGGCTTCTGCGCTTCCTCTCTTGTTAGGGAAGTGGGCGGGGGAGCAACTAGAGCCTTTCATCTGAAGGGTTAATCATTTCCTGATCTGATGGTCCTCTACCCCTTGGTCTGCGAGGCCTGTGAGCCCAGTATTGGTCCCAGGTTCCAGCCCTCTGAACTGTCCCGACGGTTCTGAGCTTGCCCTTCCAAGATGTTGATTTCTAACGAGTTTAAACTGAGTAGATGTCCATGTGAGAAGGGCCAAACATGGAAACCTCTACTACTTTGCTGCGAACTAGGAACTGGAATCTCTGCTCTTGACCTTCTGCCCCAATCTGAGCTGGGTGGAGGTGCAGATAATTTTTCATTATTGTAATTTCTATGCTTCCTCAGAGACTCTTCTGAGACCAGTCAGGCCTCTCAGCGGTTGGTTTTGTGCCGGGAGGTGTCTGAATGGAACCACTGAGATCCAGCTCGTGTTTTGGGATATTTTGGATGCCTATCTTTCCCTTCACTGCCTTTCTAAGTTTGAAGATGAAAAGATGGTCCAAGTTAGGTGTCCTTGGGTTTTTCTGGCACTGCCTTTTCCGCAGACTGGAGCCTTTTGGTTGGCTCTCAGATTGAGCCTCTGGTTCAGGGTGTGGGAGGCCTAACAGGGACCTTCTCACTGCCACCTGACCGCAGAGTGGGGGAGGGATGGCACCTGGCCTCAGCTCCTCTTCACCCCTGGATTTCCTCTGCGCACACACCTGAGCCGTGAGCCCCACCACTGTTCCCCAGGGACACCCCTCAGCTGCCTGGGCTGCTGGTTCCAGGCTGGAATGCCCCTTCCCTGTGCCCCACGCCTTTGCTCTGCCTGCCCTGCAGCGGCGTGTGGGCCGTTCTGCGGTCACTTAGCGCCATGATGATGGTGCACGGGCCTCTCTTGCTCTCCAGCTGCATTGTGTGCTTCCCAAAGGCTGGCCCTCCACCTGGGCCGTCTGTGTCCCCACAGCTTCCTGAACTCAGCAGGGGCTAAAGGCAGGTTTGTGAGAGACAGGAAGTGCAAGGCCAGGCAGGTAAACAGCTTAGCGTGGGCACGCTCAGTTTGATCTTTGTAACAGGCATTCCTGTGGGCGGGAGATTGGGGTGGGCTGGGGGTTGACATCCCAGAAGCACAGGTGTGCTGAAACCCCAGCCGTGGACCTGGCCGTTGTGATAGTCCCTGTGGTTTCCTGCTGGTGCGTGCCTCTTGAAGCTTGACAAGGAACTTCTATATGTCAGAGAAACATTTAGAAACCAACCTGGGCTCGCTGTTGTAGGTGACTCAAAAGGCATGATTCGGGGGCGTGTGCATCCTTGGTTGTGTCATCAGGAATCAGGAGCACGCATTATGTTCATAGAACATACAGAGGAGCTCATAGTGCCTTTTAAGCTGACAGGTAGGTGTCTCATTCAGTGGTGACATCTATTTCTTCCTCATTAACATCGAACGGAAACAGACCACTTCCTTGCTCAGGGATTGTTTTCCACAAAGATTCAACGAATATGTAAATCTGCAAGTTTGGAATAAAACTTTATTAAATCTGGGAAGTCCCAACCATACTGACAGCAGCGGGCAAGTGGAAATCCACGCTCTGTGCGAAGGCAGAGCGCTTGCCCCCTCAGGAGCTGCTATCCCTGTGTTCACCCTTCTGATAACCCCGGTTCCCCCCAGCACCCGGATGTAGAAACTGGCGGAGGGTGGGAGCCTTCACCGTGACCCCGTCACTCCCGCCTGACCGCGGAGGCCCAGGACCCGGGATCCCCTCTCTTACGGGATCGTCCTTCCCGTTAGCTGAGCGAGGGCACGGCCAGCATCCGCAGACACGCCCCGAGGGTGCTGAGGCGACCCCCCAGGAAGGAGCTGGCCAGGGCCGCCCTGGGACTGAGGCATTTACACTGACGCCGCAAACCACAGGAAAATTCTCAGAAACAGTATCCGCCATCTGAACGCTTGGTCGCTACGGGAGGAACTCTGAGTCGCAGCGATAAGGCAGGGGCTGTCGCCGCGAGTGCCCTGCACGCCGCCGCATTCCACCCTGCCAGCCCTGGAGGGCGCACTTCCAGAGTTCCCCACTGGAGAGCGAGGAAGCAGAGGCTTTGTGCTATTAAGACTTGCGGAGTGTCGCGGGGCCCGGTCCGTGGAGAACCAGGTCTGCGGGCGCTGAGGGCCCCTCTCGGTGCCCACACTCCGCACGTGAGCCTCGTGCAGGCCCCGTGCCCTCTGCACCATGAGGGTGTGGACCTGATGGGTGCACATCCCTTCCTGGGTCCACAAGAGCTTTGAGGTGGCTTAATATTTTGAAAAATCTGAGTGCAACCAGGTTAGAAGGGTGCCCAGCTCATTAAAATTGCATGTCTGGGCTGTAATTACATCAACTCACTGTGGGAACGCTGATGGTCTCCCACTGATTAAAAACTCAGACGGGCACTCACACACACTTTTCTTTGAGCTCTGGCTTAGCAAGTGCCCTTTTCTGGCACAGCCTTTTGAAACGCACTGCGGGAGGAAACCCAGTCCGCGGAGTCCCTAAGGATGCCTCCGAGACCTCTCCTCACGTGGGTCCGAGAGACCCTGGTAGAGAAGTTGTTTCAGACTCACAAGTCTGGGTGGCTCTGGGTGGTCACTCAGTTCCCCTGCCTCCCTTAACACACAGCTGCACTGGCCCCTCCTTCCCGCCTCCCACGGAGATGGACACCACAGAGGTTCGAGGGTGACAGCAAGGGGGTTGGGAGCAGCATCTTTATCGCCTCCCAAAGGGCTCTTTGCCTCTCCCTTCATCACTTCCAGAAATGGCCCCAACCGGCATGGCTCATTGGGTTGGGCATCACCCCACAAAGTGAAAGGTTGTGGGTTCGATTCCCAGTCAGGACGTGTGCCTGGGTTGCGGGTTCGGTCCCCAGTCAGGAGTGTATGAGAGGCAACCAGTCAATGTTTTTCTTCCTCCCTTTCTCTCTCACTTTCCCTATCTAAAAATAAAGACAATATTTTTTAAAATAAAATAAAATTTCCAGAATGTTAGCAATGAACCATAATATACCAGGTCCTAATCCATTACATTTGATTAACCCATAGTCGGGTTTTTATCTTACAGGGTGGGTCAAAAGTTGGTCTACAGTGGCTCATACCGGAAATGCATACAGTTATGAGTACACAAAGCACAGAGTTTATTCTTGTTATTTTACTGATTATTGTATTGTTTTCCATACGAACAACTGTAAACTGTTCTGGTCCCACGCTGGTTTCACTTTTTTCCTGCCAGGCTGTTTGAGCGGCACTTTACAGCCGAGTCAGTGGGCGCGGAGACGTCAGTGAGCGGGCTTCCCGGGCCTGAGAACGGTGACCGGGGCCCGGGGGCATCCTCCCGGCCTCTGCCCAGGGCTCGGTCCCTCCCCAGCAGGGCTCTAGAGATCAGAGTGGGATGCGAGCGGCCGTCCAGCCCTCGCGCTGTGCGTTGCCCCAGAAGAAATAACGACGCTTTAGCACAGCTCGGATGGGCTGGGCCCCATGAGTGGTGCCTCCGGGCCTCTTCTCTTGGATGTGGAGACGCGGTGCCGCGTGTAGGGCCGTCGCCACCTGGCCTGGCCCACCAGCTGCGTGTGGCATGATTGTGGCTAAAAGTGGACCTGCCCCCCACCCCGCACCCACCCCCGGCTCCCCACCACTCCTGGAGGCCTAGCGCTTAAAGCACATGAGTGAGATTTTTGAAAACAAGTGCAGTCAAATGTTTTTTTCAAGATATCTCAGATCATCTTGATGAGGAGAAGAGGCGTTTGCTTTTCTTCGCGTCCTGTCCAGGCCATTTTGTAAATTATAGATGATGGGAAGTGTCGGGTCATGTTCAGGCACACCTCCCGGAGTCCCTTGCTCACCAGGATTGACCACCCCACAGACCCCCGCAACCACGCATGTTACAGATGCAGACGTTGCTCTGGGCATCAGGGGACCCTTCCTATTGTCCTGTCATGTGCCGCCCCTAAAGAGAGGAAAAGGGAGGGGCCGTGGGAAGGGAAACCCTCCTGGCAGGTAGGAAAGAAGGCAAGTAAGTGAGCTCCGTGACCGGAAACACACCCTGATCAGTTGCCAGGAAACAAGCTAAGATTCTGGGTGATACTTTGCTGCGGTGAGCTGGTCACCCGAGTCCGGCCCTGTCTCGGGGCACAGGTCCCGGAAAGTCCCTGAGCTCGTGTGGAGCGTGCTGGGTGCTCTGTGCCACGATGGGGTGTGCTGAGAGTTTCTGTTCAATAATTCAGGGTTAACTCAGGCCTTGGCAATAACAACGCTACCGTGGAGGAGGCAGCTGATTCATAATTGTTTTCTTAAAGGGTCGGGCATAGGACCCTAAAAGGATAGTCCTGGGGGCCTGCACACAGAAAGTGATGGCTCTGGAAAGGCCTTAGAAATCACCTGCCCTTCACCACCCCGCCCCCGCCTTCCTCCTGGTCGAGGGGCAGCATATGTCTTTACAGAGGAACGCTCTGTGTCTTAGGGCGTGCTCGCGTTACAGTTACCGGCACCAAGCGCCTGCCTGGAGCACGTGGCTTGGCTCTGGTCTCCTTCGCAAACGACGTGAGTCAGGGCTTCGGCCTTCAGGACGCACGGGGTTCGATCTGGACCAGCCCTGTAAGCACCAGCAGAACTTGGGGAGATACGCTAGGTGACTTTTCAAAGCTGCTCTGACACGCCACACTGAAGGAGCCGCATCCGTTCTCCCCTTGCTCCAGGGTGTGTCTGGGGCTGAATTCGCGGGGACAGCGGTGGGTTCCGTTCTACGATGTGACTAGGACATGGGGAGAGCCTGACGTTGCATGTGAGACTTACGGAGAAAACCAGCACCCCACCTGTATACATTCTCTGACCTGAAAACTTGGTGCACGGGGCTCAGATCTGCCCCCATCAAACCTGTGCTTGGTCATGACATTTAACTCCCTGGGAATTCTCTCAAATGGCAGAAGCCCCTTTTTAGGAAAAGATTTACCAGTTGTCTGAAAATAACCAAGTTGAGCCTCGCCTTCGACTGTGTTGGAAATCTCTAGTCCATAGATGTTCTCAGAAATCTTAGACTCTTGTTCCAGGCCCCACGGCCCCACCCTGCCCAGCCCACATCTTCCCATGTTTTTCTCTGGCCCTGACACCCCTCCTTTTGTTCCTTCCACAGAGCTGGATTACAGAAATTCCTATGAAATTGAATATATGGAGAAAATTGGCTCCTCCTTACCTGTGAGTATTCTTCCCTCCAGCCAATCAGGGCACTTGCTTTCCCACCCTGTCCTGTGTCATGAGAACACAGCACGGGCCTCCTCCCGTGTGCAGAGCGTCCCTGGAAACTCAGACCCCAAATCAAGGGCGCCCTGTGCGTGCAGCATCCTGAGCGCACGGTGAGGGTGAACGGGGGCTGGGAGTCTGAGGGCGGAACCCAGTCCACTTCAGATGGCATTTTCAGGGAGAAATAATAGAATGCAGTTGGACCGCCTACAGAACGACGTCCCTAGCCTGACAAAGAACTGGTCAGAGATGTCTTTTAAACAGGTTGTTTTTAAGTTTGACCGCTTTCTGCCTTCTTCCAATCAATCGCTTTATGTAACTGAAGATGCCTCTTCACGCATCTCCCCCCACTTCTGCATTTTCCGTGGTCATGAGGGGCAGCTGTCTCCGTGGCTTCCTGTCTGTCGCCATGGAGCATTTGGTGCTGAGCGTGGCCTCCGCACTGTGCTGTGACTAGCCGTGCCCTCAGAGGTCTGGAGGCGCCACGACACTGAGGGGCCCGCTCGTGCCGCTCTCCATCCTTCTTGCCGATGCCGAGTGGCTGCTTCTGAACCAGAGTTTGAAGTCAGCCGGTCACCATAGCGGCGATTGTCACCATGCTCGTCCCCCCTGAGACCCTGGGCAATGCCCCGGCTGGGCTCTTGCCTGCCCCTCTGTTTATCCTCAGTGGCCGGCACCGTTGCCGCCCCTTCCAGAGAAGGTGACCAACGATGCCGTGAAAACCCTTCTCTCCTTGAAAATGTCCCCAGCTGCACACACTCGCTCCCTCTCTGCCTCTCTCCTTCCCCCCCATCCTGCCTTCCTCTCTCCCGGCCAGTGCTGGTTCGCCCCCCTCTTCCGGGTGGCTTACGAAACACGAGGGCTTTTCTCTGGCGAGTTACTTGTTCCTGTTGACGGTGCTCTGGTTGACATCTCCGTGGCATGCTCAGGCCAGCTGTCGCCGAGCTGACGTGTGGCTCTGATCCCTACAGCAGGACGATGACGCCCCGAAGAAGCAGGCCTTGTACCTTGTGTTTGACACGTCTCAGGAGAGCCCCGTCAAGTCTCCCCCCGTCCAGATGTCGGAGTCGCCGACGCCGTGTTCAGGGTATGGCTTCTGTATGAGAGGGTCGCAGATCAGGCCAGAGGTCCCCAAGCCTCTGAGCGCGTTGGCACTGCCGTCCTGACCCCGTCGCATTGGCGTGTGTTCGAGCAGCTGACATTTCCCCTCTCCCTGAACGTCCACACAGACAGCAATGCAGCGGGTTTGTTACTGGTTTCCCTCTGGAATGAGGCGAAATCCTTTAACAGCTGAACGTGCGCGCCCCTCCCGTCGCCCCCAGTGCGCACGCCACCGTGTTCTGTCATCCGTCCCCTGGGGAGGCAGCGTGCGGCAGCACTCGGAGCCCGTGTCCCGCCCCCAGCCCTCACTGGTCGCGCCACCTGATGCCCCTCGTGCTGCAGTTTCCCCGTGTGACGTCACTGGCCCTGCGGGGATCTGATGAAGATGAAATGGGGCCCTCTGTCTCACAGGCATCCCCCCCAGCTGTGGGGTCGCTGTCCTCCCTCCAAAGCCATCGGGAGGAAGAAGCTGGGATGCTCTCAGGAAAGCACTTGACACAAGGCCTGGAACAAAGTGCCCAGTAAACATTTATTATTCATGCCGACGTGACTGAGTGTTCGTCAGGGTGGCAGTCTGAGCTGTGTGCTGCTGGACGGGGTAAGGGCCGGGCATGGCTCTCGTGTTGGGATCCTCCCCTGGGCTCCTGCCTGCCCGCCTCCCCCGGCAGGAACCAAAACTCTGGCTTTGACCTCCCGAACTCACCCCAGAGCCTGCCAGTGTGGCCGAGAGTGATGCTGCTGCCGCTGCTGCCACAGCGACGATGGCGCCATGTGATAGGCCCGGTGTCAAGTGCTTCACCTGCAGGCGGCACCTCACTTGACCTTCACGGAGGGGTATATTGTCTCCATCTTGCAGAAAAGGAGACACAAGCCCCCAGTCGCCTCCCCTAGGGTGCACAACCAGGCGGCTGGCGGTCCGCTGGCTCCACGGCCTGTGCCTCTTAGCCAGTGACGTCTCTGCTTCTGGCCTGCCCTCGTCAGCAGGCCCTGCCGTGGGGCTGGGCCACCGTCTCCCTCAGGCTGCCCAGCCTGCACGCCCGTGGCCACCCAGGACTGCGCCCTTTCCCTGCGAGTGCAGCCCTGGAGGTCTATGTCCCTGGGGATGGGGACTGAGTTGGGGCGCCCAGGCCTGTTGCGGCAGCGTTTCCAGCAAGAAGGCTAAAGGTGCCCTTTGCTTCCTCAGGTCAAGTTTCGAGGAGACTGAAGCCCTTGTGAATGCCGGGGCAAAGATCCCCCATCCCGTCGCACGCGGGCTGGCCCCCAGCCAGGAGCCACACTTGCAGGGGCCAGAGAAGCCCTCCCAGAAGGCTCTGGAGGCCATGGCCCTGGGCACCGCTTCAGACGCGATCGAAATTGTAAGTGGGGTCAGAGGGCCCCGAGGTCACTGGGGCAGAGGCCGGGCCCTGAGAGCAGCGCTCACCTGGCGCCCGGCGTGGGCGCCCCCACCCCCCCAAACCCATGATGAGGAAGGGCTCCCTGTTCCTGCCCTCGGGGCTGTGGAGCGGTCCCCCAAGTGCTGTATCTGCCTTCAGGGCTATGTATTTCCCACTCTTCGCCCTTTAGGATTGCTTCGGGGTTGTCCTCTGTCTGTACCTGCTTCTCAAGGGCAGAGAATGACAGAGCAGGGGACACTTCCCTTTCTGTGATTTTCCTGGTCCTTGGTGATGGGAAGCCCCTCCTGTCTATAGACCCAGACTTACACCCGTGGCCTCAGGGCACAGGGGCCTGAGTTGAAGCCTCTCCTCACCTCCCCGCTCCTTGTATATTTAAAATAGACCATCCTTCTAGGTGAATTTTATGTTTATTCCTCTTACCTCCCTCCTAGCAGTCCTCAAGGGGGTTTGAGGGTGTTGATTTAATGTTTGTTTTTTGTTCCATTGTTAGTAAACCAGTTATCGCATGGATTGGATATTTGTTGATCACCTAGTATGTGTCAGGCAGTTGGATACCGGGAAAATAATGACTGAGCAAGAAGAGAGTCTAGACATGACTCAGATAATCTTGCAAATATATCACTGCACAGGGTTCACCTTCTACAAAGTTGGCCTCTTATTTTGAAGTCTTTATGATCTATCAAGAGACACTTTTTCATTTGAAACCCTCTTTCCATTATTTAGAAAATTACTTTGACCACAACCTTACTTTCTTTAATATTTATACTGAGAGGGGAAGTATTTTCTCAAAGTGTTATTTGATGTTTGGCAAGCCCATCAGATAGCTTGTCCCCCGCCCACCGAGATTTTCAAATAAATAAACAAATGGCAGTTCCTCCCACCGACTAGTTAGGGAGTGAGGGCGGAGTGGGGGTGGGGAAGCGCCCAAGGCTGAGTTTGGGGAGGGGGCTGGGCCCACCGCTCTCAAGTGGCCCATTGTCGGCATGTGGGGCTCGTCCAGAGGAAAAAGACAGTATCTGCCCCTGACTGACCCCCTCCTTAGCCTTAAGGCAGAAATGCGCAGCAAATGGATGTGTGGTCCTTGCTTGGAATCGATGTCACTCTGCTCTCCTCTATCTCTCCTCTGTCCCCCTGCCGGCCTTCAGACAGCTCCCGAGGGCGCCTTTGCCTCTGCTGACGCTCTCCTCAGCAGGCTGGCCCACCCAGCTGCGCTCTGTGGTGCGCTTGACTATCTGGAGCCCGACTTAGCAGAAAAGAACCCCCCACTATTTGCTCAGAAACTTCAGGTTTGTAGCCCATGTGTGAGCTTTGGGGGATCTGTCAAAACCTCAGTAGAGAATGAACCGCTGAACCCCAAATGCGGTGAGGAAGGGTTTCATGAAGAACTGTGGAGGACGTTCCGAATGGAATGTCTTCCCCTCAAAGGCTGATGTATGTGGTGTTCTTTACCTAAGACTCCACGATGCTATAAATTCTGTGATTACATGTGGACCCGACCATTGTATTTCAATTTGGAACTCGGGCCCAGTCATTTTTCAGAAGTTTTGATAGCCCCGAAAGCAGTTTCTGTGATTTATTCACGGAAACAAGGGTCTTCGATCATCACGGAGCCAAGCTGCTTATGTACATGAGGCTCTCAGACTCCCGTTGAGATAACATCTGGACTCGGTCTTGCATCTGGAACCGAGACAATGACCTACTCTGTGCTTTAAATTTGACAACTTAATTTGAGATCCTCTAGACTAGGTTCAGAGCAAACCTAGAGAGATTGTTAACAGTTGTTTGGGAGATACAAATTCATTCAAGGAAATTGTTTGCCAACTTAACATTAAATGAACAAAAGGAAAGCTATCAAAGGAAACAGTACAGTAAATTTTTTATTTCATTTTAAAAATCATTTCATATTTGAATGCATATTTCCCAATAGACATTCCAAAGGGTGATGTAAAAAAAAAAAAGAAAGAAAATTAAACACTTATTTCATGATCTGCTGAGGTGTTAATTGTGAAAGAAAGCCAGAGCGTGTGTTTTCCCCGAGTACCTGTCATGACACGTTCACGCGACACTGTCATTTTGTGGATGTGGGCACATTTCCGTCCTGTCTGGGTGCATCTCCCCCACGGCTCACGCCCGCCCCTCTGGCAGGAGGAGTTAGAGTTTGCCATCATGCGGATAGAAGCACTGAAGCTGGCCAGGCAGATTGCCCTGGCTTCCCGCAGCCGCCAGGACACCAAGGTACTGGTTTGCCGCTGCTGTGCCCTGCCTCTCGAGAATGGTGTGTGGTCGGGACGCTTCTCTGCTAACCATCGGCCAGGCGGGCATTGTTGGTGTTCGACAAAGTAGAATTTTCCGAACAGCTAAAAGCGTAACTCTTGCCTGAAAACACAGTGAGCACGTATCTGAGACCTGTCTAACCCGTAATGAGGGACCCAGCAGGGAGGGCAGAGCTGGCTGAATGGAAGAAAACAGGAGAGGCAGATGCGTAATCAGTGCAGTTGCGAAGGCTGGAATAAGATCGCAAAATGAGATGTCAAACTGGTTCAGACGAGCTAAGCAGAACCACCAAATCCTCGCCTTCGAGGTCTTTTATTGTTTCTAAAATTGCCTCTCGACGGAACAAAAATAATTTGCAACTTCTCTGTTTTTGGCAAGTTACTATCTAACTGTGCCGAGCCTGGGCCCTGATCAATAGAAAGTAGTAAGTGACAGGAAGACCATCCTGAGATGTCCGATGGCCCTCCGGCCCGGGTCAGAAGGATTACAGAAAACCAGTCCTTTCCTGTGGAGGACGGACAGTAAATATTTTAGGCTTCATGGGCCATGCAGTCTCTGTAACAACCACTCAGTTCTGCCGCCTTCACTCAAGAAGCAGCTGCGGGCCGTACACTGACGCATGTTGGGGGAGGCAGCCCCAGCCAAGCCCCCTGTGCCCTGAAGGGCAGCGGCCCCTGGGCAGCGCGCCGCGGTTCGCCGGACCCGCTCCGCAGCAGCGTGCGCTGTCGGAGGGCAGGCCGGAATCTTTTGCCTGGCTTCCACGTGTGCGGTATTTTTCCTTAACAGCGTGAGTGCATTGCTGGTGACCTGCGAAACAGTGTCTGGCCCTGCAGGGTTCGGCCCGCCCCGAGCTGGGCGGGCCAGGGAAGGGCCTGGTGTGTCGGCCCAGGGCTGGACCCCAGTGTGCTCTGTGGCCCTGTGCGACTTGGTGACCGTCTCTGAGCCTCAGGGTCTCCATCTGTGAGATGAGGCTAACCACAGCCAGTCTGCGGGCTGCTGTGACGATGAGAGATGACATGGAGAGCAGCCCTGTGCCTGGCACACAGTAGGTGTGCAGGAAATGGAAGGCGCAGTTGTTAGCTGACCTTCGCCTTTGCTTCTCTCACCCGATCAGACGCGTCCAGGTCCCATGTTAGAGAGGGAAACTGAGCCACAGAACCAGCCCTTGGCCTGGCAGGACCTCAAGCTGGAACCTCCACATGGAACGCCTCGCCTGTCCATCTCAGGCAGCGGCTCCCTCGGCACAGGGGCCGGCGGTCCCTCCCGTCCCTCGTCCTCATACGGGGTCAGGAGTTTGTCTGCCCCCTCCTCCCTGAGCACCCCCACATGGTTTCCCTGGAGCTGGGGGGGGGGGGGGGGGGGGGGCTCAAAGACACCTCTTAGCGAAAGAAGGTGGTCACCCTGGGTGTCCAAACTGGACACTGTGGGACACGGGGCAGGGACAGGAATATAAAAATAGATTGCTGATGTCCTTGTTCTTGTTGCCAACCTATAAACTTGGGTTTAAGTCCCATGGAAATGAGATCTCTAGAAAGCATTGAGCAGTGGGTATCCCCCCCAACCCTGTTAGATTTATTTCTTGATATCCTTGGGTAGCAGCTGAAAGGCAGAATGAGTTGCTTAGTTTGGCTGCCACAAATACAGTGTATTCCTGTCTTGAAGTTTGAAGCAGAATTGAGAATATTCTAGTATGTAGTTCAGATTGAGTAGCAAATGTTCTGGGGTGCCTGGTACCCCTGCCTCTCCCCTCTAAGGCCACATCGGAGATGGCAGTCCGCAGATATTAGCCAGCAGCTGACTTCCTGTCAGTCACAGCCTGTTCTCCGACCATGTGTCCCGGTTTTGATTTAGAAAATACTGTCACGTGGATGTGCTGAGCGTGGGTGAGAGGGACAGACCCAGCTACCTCCTCATGTGTTTCAGAAGGGCATGCTGAGGAATACATCCTGCGAGGCGGAACGGCTCGGAGTGGCAGGAACATTTTTTCTCTGCCGTAGTAACTCGCACCGCTTTTGCAAGAAGTGTATTATCTAGTGGCCTTGGCCTAGGGAAAGGAAAGCAGGGGCCATCTCCTGTAGCTGCCTGAACGCCCATGGGCTCCGGCTTCCCTGCCAGTTTTCAGAGGGCGTGGAGAAGGTCCGAGGCCATGTGTTGACTCAGGGGCGTCCGGGGTGCCCAGTCATGCCTCCCATGGGAGGGCCGTCCTCATGTTTGTCAGAGTTGGACGGGACAGCACCGGGGTGAGGTCACTCTGCCCATCCTGGGGCCACGCCCTATGCCCTTGGCCCAGCTTGCTGTGGTCTCCCTGCCTGACCTCTGCTCCTGGCACCCCCATGCATTCCTCCCCCCGGCTCTACCAGCCCAGCTCCCCGGGTGAGGGAACAGCCCCCAGCCCCTGGCTGCAAGGCCCGAAGGACCCCGGGCATGCGGCTGCAGACCCGCTGGCGTGGCCGTGCCCCCAGGGACTGCGAGTTGAGGGCATGGGTTGAGGGGTTGGAAGTTGGTGCCATGGGCTCATGCCCTCTCACATTTTAATTTGTGATTCTAGTAGCTTTTTGGCTCTTCTAAAGTAGTGAGTGGAGGATTATGTAAGAGCAACAAAGCTTAATATAAATCTGATCTTAAAATATCAGTGGGAGACAAACCTATTAATGTCGGCTAAAAACAAGCCTTGGTTGTGCGAGAAAAGCAGGGTGTGTGCCTTGAATTTCACTAACGTGCAGACACTCGGGTAGCAATTCAAACGGAATTCTGGAGTCATCTGTCCCTTTATTGAAAACACCAGGTGGCCAAGATGAAAAGTGATATGGAGTCACTGTAGAGGGTAGTAGCCTTTTGTGTTTACTTAGAAAGCTCATTATTTTATTCATTTTTCATTCCCTCCCTTGCTTTACAAAGGCACCTTCAAGATCATTAATTCCTGTGTTGGTCATATTTAGTTTCTGCCCAGTGTGATAAAGTTAGTTTTCATTCATTTTCTCTTGCACTGCAGAGCGCTGGTTGGTTCTGGGGCGGAATTGAGTCTCAGTCTGGGAAACCTTGGCCAAATCTCTCCGACCCTCCATTTTTTTCACCTTTGGAAGGACCGAGATGAATTAGAGGGTGTCTCATGTTCTTTCCATTTTGAAATTTTACTCTTCTGGGGTTGTTTGGGTTTTTTTTTTTCAAAGAACACATTATTTTACTTAAAAAGTGATAGGAACCGTTTTTAACCCTCTTTAGAATGTTGTGTTTATGAACATCATCCACAAATACAGACACTGAGTCTTGCTGTCTAGGTCTAGTTTTCCACTTGCTTCCTGAGAAGTCGCTCTCAGGTAGAACTTTGAAAACTCTTCCAGCAGCGAAGGTTCACCTGTGCGTGGCCACAGACGCTCTGCCCCCCGCCAGTGGCTGTTTCCTGAGAGGTCGCCCTGCCTGTGCCTGAGGGCTGTGGACCTGTGTTCCGGTCCAGCGCCCTGTCACAAAGGCTTCTGCAGGACCTGAGGCCGAAAACCTTGCGGCGTCCCATCTGAGACGTGAGCGTGTCTCTAGGACCTGCTTGGACAGGGGTCATGAGCTCCCCCTCTGACCTGCTGTTGTCATTTGGGTCCCAAGTGCTCAAGGCCAGGCAGGGGCAGTGCGACCCGGGAACAGAGGCTCCCCCCGAGGGCCGCCGGGACTGATCGGTTCACCGCGCATGTGTGCAACTAACTCGTCCTAACTCGGAACCTCCAGTCCTATCCATTAAACTTCCGCCTGAGTTTTGCAGGCCGTCTCAAGTCCATTTCCCCGGGTACCGTGGTAGGGTAAGCATGCCTGTTCTTGTGACTGAAGAAAGAAACGCTGCTCAGGCACCTTCGGGGGCTCCCCCTTCCCGATTACTGTTGGTGCTTTCATCTTACCTGCTGCCATTTACGAGATGAGTCCTTGCTCTTCTTTCCCCAAATCTCTTATCTTTCTACCACACTGTGGGGTTCTGTTCACTGCTCGGTTTTTTTCTCAAATTTCCTGAGGAAGAAGCAGTCCACCGTGGCTGCCCGGCCACCGTCACTTAGCATGGACTTGGACTCTAGTCACCAGGGTGGAGGTCGGCCTTGGCAGCCACGAGAGCCTGGAGGTTAATGAATGGGACTGAGAGGACGATTGGGTGGTCGGGTGCTCCTGGGGCCGTAGAGCTAGACTGATGCCCCGGCTGGCTGGGTGGCTCCTAACACCGCATTTCCAGTGTGTTGGCGATGGCTGAGCATTTTGTGTGAAGGGAGGGAGAGGAACCGCAGACCTTTGTCGCAGGAGGCTGGTGACTGTTGTTGACAGTCAATGCAGGGTCACTTGTGGGGGGCGGGGGGTCACCCTGCTTGTGGAGGGCCTCATCAGCAGCTGTGCATGTTGCCCTCGATCCGGTTTCCAGCTTCCCTGTGGACACAGCAGGCTGAAGGCCACGTAGCTCCAGCTTAACTCTTCCCTTTGGGCATCCAGGAAGTAGCTTGTGAAAGGTGACGAGGGCGGACGGCTATGGTAGGCCTGAAGCTCGGTGCGAATTACACCCTTTCAAACGAAGCCCGCCGGATGCCGCCCCCCACCCTGGACGGGCATGTGAACAGTCTCACAAACGCGATCGGCCCTGCTGCGCTCCAAGGCTGGGCAAGCGCAGACTGGGACCCAGCATCGCTCACATCGGGTTTTTGTTTGGCAAGTGGAGCCTGCAGGAGAATATGACCTCGGTTCTTACACGCTGTGCCCAAATGCCTCAGCGGCTGATAAATGGCCATGATAAGCAGGCACCAGACGCGCTGGACTCCAAGGGCTGGGCGTTGGGGAGGCCTCCGCCATGAGCCCCTTTGTCTGCCTGTGCAGGTGCAGAATGATCGATTTCCATAGATTGTGTCCGCCATTCCCCCATTCATTAGTCTTAGCATTTTCTCATACTTTGGATGTTCTCTGTTTCAAAACCATACAACTGACCCATTCATGAGAGGATGAATGTAATCCTCTTTGTCATATGATGGATGTTAACTGGTGTTTGGTGTTTTTTTTTTTTTTTTTTTTTAATTAAAAACCATTCTGCAGAGAGAAGCTACTCACCCAGCAGACGTCTCCATCTCCAAAACAGCCTTGTACTCCCGCCTGGGGACCGCGGAGGCAGAGAAGCCCGCAGGCCTTCTGTTCCAGCAGCCCGACCTGGACTCCGCCCTGCAGGTCGCCAGAGCAGAGGTACTGTGGCGTGAGTGTGGCCCGGCCAAGGCCAGCTCTGGTTGCCCTGGGAACAGCTCCTGTATAAATAAATACATGTCCCCACGTCCGTCTTTGGACACATACCTTCTCCTGTGACCACTGCCAGCACGGACAGGTGGCAAACTGAGAGTTTTGATCTTCTGGACACAATTGTTTAACGAGCCTTTGTGGTCTTGCTGGATGTATAACAAAAAGCACGCACCTTCTGGTTGCTCCCCAGTGGGCATGCGAAGTTCTGGTATCAGCTTATTTCTGTCTCATGCTCCATGAAATTCTCAGAGTACAATTATTATTTGATGTAGGAAATATTAATTCCACGTTTATTTGCTATCTCCGTGTCTTGGTCTGTGCATCGCTCAGATCTGAATTCACTCATTGGGGGCTAATCTTTCTTTTCTTCTCTCTGGGGCTAGATCCTAACCAAGGAGAGAGAGGTGTCCGAGTGGAAGGAGAAATACGAAGAAAGCCGGCGGGAAGTGATGGAGATGAGGTCAGTGATGCTCGGGCCCCGGTGCCTGGGGTTTGGTGACACACGGAGCCAGGGCAGCCCGTGAACAGTGTATTCTCTACAGGCGATCTGGACCTTATTTCCAAGGTTCCTATTTTCACAAAAGTGTTTTTACGGTTTTACTGTGATTAAAATACTATGCGCATGTGTTAAATACTGCAGTAAGTGTACGTACAGTGAGAAAACAAACCTCTTTCCCCCATCGGCCTCCAGCTCCAGACCCCTCGGGTGTCTGCTGTGCGCCGTTGCTGGTGAGTCCTTCCAAGAACTTAGCGTTTCTGATGGCGAATGTGCAAGTTACCAATAGAGGCTCCTTTGTTCTTCCAAAGTGGAGAGTGGAAATATCCATTGTTCTACACTCCTTTGTAACTTAGTCTATCTTAGACGGATTTGCTGTATCTCCGCCTCATTGTTTAGCTCTTGCTTGCTAGTCCTCATGTGGTTACAACATAGTAATTTCACTAGTCTCAGTGGATAAACATTTAGGTTGCCTCCCTAATTGCACTTGAATGATTTATTTTCAGTTGCTGCATTTGTAACAGACGTGTGATAGCTACCATGTTAATACTGGGTTAATAGTGCCTGCCACGTGCAAGCGTGGCCTGAGGCCCACGGTCTCTGTTTCTCTCCCTGACCCTCAAGGGGGGCTGTCAGCTCGGTGTGACAGCAGAAAGCTCAGAGAGATGAGGTGACTTGCCCACGGTTCTGGAGCTTCTAGTTAGAAGAGCGTGAATTTGAATTCACCTTCCTGACTCCAAAGCCCAAACTCTTTCTGCTGTACCCAGAGGCCTGCCTCCCTGTTCTCACTTCCGCTGTCCCCTGTCCCCTTTATTCCCCTCCTCCATTTCTCACCTTCTTAGACACTAAGAAACCAAGAAGCCGTCTTGGGGGCTAGAACGCACCCTGGGGTGTCCCACCTTAAGAAGCACAGTGCATGTTTCCTCCCCGGGCCTCCTTCTGCTCGGGCTGCATCGACTCTTGGGTTCTCCGGTTGCAAGAGAAGATAGGGGTTAGAGCACCGTCCTTTCAACAAGGCAGGTCTGTGCTGTGCTGAAAATCCAGAGTAGGTTTCCTTTTTGCCCCAAAGTTGGGAATAAGGGAATGGATGAATTTTTAGAAATTAGTTGAAGGATTAGTACATTCGTAGGGCACCTCACTGCAATTGCAGGTGCTAATTTATTACCAAAAACAATTGCATACTAAGTAGCAAGTAAACTGGTTAATCATATCCCCTGTTTCCTAGGTCAAGTAATATCTTCCTAAAAATTCTGCGAGTTCCTTCTCTCTGCCGATGCTTTCGGGACCCCTCCTGGAGGTCACAGTTAGTGTGCTAGTTCACGTTCTGAGGGAGGCCCCTGTAGGTGCATTGTTTTTGCATCTCTTTCTTCTCTTTGTTTGGCAGGGAGGAGGGGGAAGGAACAGGTAGCTTTAGTTTCCTGCCTGCACTGAAGCGAGGCAGAGAATACAGGGAAGGCTGGGGGTTCCCTGACTCCTTCCCTCTCCCAGGGAGAAGCGGTGCCTATGGAGGCTCCAGGGGGCACTCTCCACCACCGGGCATGAGAGGATGTCATGGGTCCCCAGCCGGCGCCGCCACAGTGGTATCTGATGGACCCCGTGTCAGCCCTGTCGCCCTCGGGAGCCAGACCAGCTGAAAATCAGGCTCTGCTCCCTACCTGCTTCATACCTGTTACTTGACTTGGCCTGACTTGTCATTTGTAAAAGGGGGGTAAATCCCAGCACTTCGAGATAAAGGCTGCAGCATCCGATGCCTGGGCTTGAATCCCGGCTGTGCCACTTTGTAGTCCCGGGCTCCTGGAGAGGTTCCTGGGGAATGCTGCACCCCAGTGTCCCCATCAGCAATTCTGGGGACAGTGAGGGCCCAGCCTCGTGGGGTCTTTGTGAGGATGAGATGGAAATACAGTACAGCCGAGCAGCTTCAGGCCCCGGGTCCCCCAGCAGTCCCGAGAGAACACTGCCCTTGCCTGCTGTGGGCCAGCCTCTGTCCCCAGGGCTGATGGTTCCAACAGGACAGCCACAAAGATCTGTCACCACTTTCTGGTCCTGGGATGCAAGGAGGTGTCGTTTCATCACAGAAAACACAAAAGGCTTCTGGGTAGGATTAGGAAGAACCCAAGTGGGCTCCCATCGTGCTCACCCTTCCTGTTGTGGGTCTGCCCTGGGCTGAGGTACCAACCCGGGGGCCTCAGGCAAAAAGCCAGGGGCAGAGCCCAGCAGCTGGAAGGCCTCTGCAGAACGCCCCCTGCTCTTCTTATCTCTTGTGACCTCATTTGATTTCCCCACAGCCCTGGCATCCGGGACCTAGGCTCATCCTCGCTGTGCTGGGGGCTAAGCGGAGCCCCCAGGGTCTGTGACGGACGCCTCTGAGCCACACAGCTGGGGGGAGGGTCAGCTGTCGTCAGGGCGCTGGGTCTGCTGGTGGCCGGCAGCTCCTGGTTCTCCTGTGGAGAATAACTATTGGGTAATGTAGGTGAAACCCCGCCCCCAAGTCTTTGTCAGGAGGCTCCTTCCAGAAGGTTGACTTGGAGGACGCGTCCTCACGCCTGGGTCCTTCCACCTGTGGGCAGCAGTGAGGCGGTCTTACAAGCAAGGGATCTTAGTGCTCTTTTGTAGCTTCTGTTTATCGTGACTATCCAAGAAGTGCTCCTCTTTCCTCCCCGGGTCCTCCCCACCAAACACAAGTGAGGAAGAAGTGGCTGTGGGCCTTGAGGAGCTTCCGCTCCCATGCTATGATGCTTCCGCTTGTATACTATGCGATGCTGGAAGAGGATTCAGATAAAATGTTATTGCGTTTGAGGGAGAAATCAGGGAAGGCTTCCTGGAGGAGAAAGCATTTACATTGTGCCTTGAGAAACAAATAGGCTGAGAGAGGTGCAAGTAGAGAGGGGAAATCAACAGCACAGGCAAAGGCATGGAGGCGAGAAAGCCCAGAGCAAACAAATCATTTATTCTCGTTGAACCGCCACGTTCATGACATGGTGTGGAAGGAGGTAAGGCTGATAAGGAGAGTGGGCCCAGGTTGCAGAAGACTTTGGTGGTCGATCCAAAGGTTTGGCTTTATTTTTTTCTTAGTGGGTACTGGGGAGACATTGAAGGTTTTGCACAGGGAGTGGTGTATCCGAGCCATGCACTAGGAAAATGCACCCATCTGGGTGTGCAAGGAAAAGCCTGAGGCTGGAGGCAGCTCTGGAGCTGTGGTGAGCCAGCCGGGACAAATAGGACTTGTCCTCTAGTACATTGGTCAGGCTGTTGACATCCAGCATGTGGGCCCTGTGGGAAATTAAAAGCCGTTCCGTTGTCATGGTTCCAACACACTTTCACTTCTCTTACAGGAAGATCGTGGCCGAGTATGAGAAGACCATCGCTCAGATGATAGGTGGGTGTCCTGCCCTGTGGGGGCCCAGGTCTGCCCTGAGGTTTCCAAACTACGGGGAGGGCTTTGAGGACAGAGACTCAGATCGGCTCCTCTTAGACGCCTATTGGGCCCTGCGGCCCTCGCCCCGGGGCAGACAGCCTGGGACCCACAGAAACGCCTGCTGGGATGCCCCTCGCCCTCACTCATGCCTGTGGGAGACCCCACCTCAGTGGCCATCACTTGGCTCAGCCAGGACGGCCCCCCTCCTGGGGAAGGAGATTTGGGTTGGCTCCTGGGACGTTTTGGGGGCAGTGTTTGGCTCATTAGAGAGACTAGGAATCGAATCCCTAAACCCTGAAGTAATTTAGACTCAAGTGAAAAAATACCTCGCTCGGCCTCTGCACATGGCCTCGGACGAGGATAGTGGCGCTGTGACTGCCCAGCCACCCGCTGCTTCCCCGTGACACGGCAGACCCTGTTAGCTGAGCACCGCCAGCGCTTTCTTGCTGCGCTCGGACACAGCTCAGGATCCGTCCTAACACTGCATCGGGCAGTCAGTGCTGACGGGGAGCTTCGGCCTGCGAGAAAACAATGCCTCAGTTACGAATTAGACACAGCCAGGCCTTTTTTTTTTCTTCTTCTTCTTTTTTTTAATCAATGAGAAAAGATCTTGCGCAGGTTCTAAGCCCAAGTCTTTACACTAATGATCACTTTTCAAAAATGGTGTTATAACTCTAGAGGGGGAGTTTCTGTTTATCTATTTATTCGTTTGCTTAGCTCCATGAGACCAGCTTTTTAAAGATCTTTCCGTTTCAAGGACAGACATACAGAGTAAAAACGCCAGCTCTCCGTAAAGCTGGGCTTCTGTGTCCAAGTTTGACTCCGCTAGCAGGTGACCCTCTGTCTCAGACGCTGGGGTGTGTAGCTTGCTGCCCCTCCGGCTTCTGCCACGGCACACATGAGCGTAGACTTGGGAATGGCAAGGATGCTGCCAGTTGAGTGCTTTCTGTTCAAAGAAGCTTTAATTTTGATTTATTATAATAAAGGCCATGTCTCTGAGAGCTCGGGGGGAAGCCCGTTTGAGTGTTTCCAAGGATCAGCCACATGGTGTCTGCTTTCTATCAAATGAAACCTTTTTATTAAATTGGTAGGAGAGTTTATGAATACGTATGGATGAGATAAAAAACAAAACTCTTGGCATTGAAACTGCTGGTGAAAGTGGCCAGGATGAAGGATTTATGTTTTCCAATATACAGCGTTTGGCGTGCTGAACACAACCTTCTGGCCTCCTGGAGCCCAGGGCTGTGCACACACCACTCAGACCCACAGTGGCTCCTCTGGATGCGCCCGCCTGTGCCTCAGAGTCACACATTTCTATTTTTGCCCTTGGCGGGGACGGTCAGGCCACTAGTGCAATGGGGGTACGAGGCCTGGAGCCTTTGCCACCGGGAGAAGTTGCCCCGAGCCAACATTTACTGCTTGGCTGGCCATTTTGATATAAAACATTCCCTCTTGAAAACCCAAAGAGTAAGACTCTCTGGAGGGGCTTAAGTGGCCTGTCCTTGAGGTGACAGAAAGATGATTCAGTGCTGATGCTTTCCTGGCAGCATGTTGGCAGGTGAGAGTAGTTGGAACGGCAATTTCAATTCCAGACGATCTGAGGAGGGATTATAGCCACTCCCAGCCCACCCCTGTCCCCCCTCCCCATTACGTCTCTCCCCCTCCCCCTGCCCAGGAAAGCCGAGGGCTCCTCTCCCAGGAGCTGTGAGCTCACCCCTTTTGAGCATTTTCATGGGGGGGGGGGGCGCGGGGGTCTCACGGCTGGCTCCATGAGACACCCCCCCAGCCCCAGCGTCCCTAGCCGGGCACAGCATGGTCACTCTGGGCGGGGTTGCATTGTATATCCATCCCTCATTCCCCATCCTTGCTCATCCCTACTGTCCCTTCATCATTCACTTTTCCAGAGCTGGTCTCATCAGAAAGGCGGCATGTCTGTGGTTGTCATCTGTCCATCACTCCTGCAGGCCATTGATCAGGGCCACCATAGCTTCTGAGGTCCTCGGGTCCCTGTAGAAGACTGAGGACGAGGGCGAAGGCACAGCTGGGACTCCCTGTGGCTGCGGGCGGGCCATGCGTCTCTCCATGTGGGGAAGACACACGCCCCTAGGTCTCATCTGGATTCCATATTTTTCTGTGCGTTCACCTAACCAGCGTCCGTTGTGGGAGGGGAAACAGGCGCAGAGAGCTTGGCTGTTCAGGACCAGGGTGACTATAATAGCATTTTGAATTAAAACCAGTTCCCGCCCGCCCGCCCGAGCCTTTCCAGCTCTGTGGCTTTGGTTTAACCAGCCCAGACACGCCACACCAGCATGACGCCTGCCTGCCATCATTGTCCCTTCTCATCCCATCTTCCTAAAGAGAACGCTTTCAGTTCAGATACGGAACGTGTAGAATTCAGAACAGAAAGAGACTACCATGCTTCTGCGTTGCAGGTGGTTGCAGTCGGTTTTTTTTCTGCTTTCCTAACAACTGCCCTGATTATCTGTTTTGCTTCCATTTTCTGTTGCTTCTTGCCCTTTGCTTGCAAAACAAACAGGCAAGCCTGGTAAGTAAATGCTTTTCACCTAATTTGACACCTGCCCTTTGCAACCCTTGTTTGTTTGTTTGCTTTTCTGTTTTTGTTACTTTTGCTTTTGTGCATTGGCTGTATCCCCACGTGGTTTAACAACGTTTTTCCTGAAAAAAGCCAGAAAAATCTCCAGGGACATCGTTTTGTTGTTGAGTCTGGAGCCTCTTGGGTTTGGGGCTGATTTCCTGTAATTGACAAAAAGATTTGTGAAGGCTTCTCGCCTCCTTGGTCTCCCTGGAGCCTGGAAATTCTATTTTTACAAGGGTGGGTCAGGGAGGAAAGGAAACCCGAGGCCGACTGAGTCTCCGATCCAGGAAATCAGAGGGACCCTGTTTGACAAATGGCTCCTTTGCAAGCCAAGTGAAATGTATACATGTCCTCACACCAGCCCAGAGCGTGCATTGTACAGCGTGTGGGGAACTGAGGAAGCGGCTCAGATTCAAAGAATGAAAAACATTTGGTTTCTGGAGGAATGGTGAGACGCCTTTTCTTTTAGGTGTCTCCACGTAGCAAGCAGATTGCGGGCGGTTCTGTTCTTGCTCTATGTGAAGCTCCCCCTCGGTGGGTCACTGTGACTTGACATCACGCCAGTTCCCCATTGCCAATGACGCCATTGATGATGGGCCACTGAACCGGGTTCTTACTATGTGTTGAAGGTTTTGTATACATTTCCTTGTTTAATCTTCCCCCGAACTCCATGAGATCAGTACTGTCATCCCTATTTCCAGGAAGGAGGCTGAGGCCGAGGCTCAAAGCCCCGCCCCAGGACACAGAGCTGGGAGGCACCAGAGCCAGGACTCGCGCCTGGGCGCTCAGACTCCGGCACTGGGCTCCTCGCCCTGCCCCAGTGGTGGGCACCCTGAGAGGCAGAGTCAGAGGGTGTCATCAGCGTCTTCCGGGCCTGTCCTCCTCCCAGAATGCTCCCTGCACCTGTGAACCTGCCGGGATGCAAACTTTCAGCCCTGCCCCAGACCTACTGAGTCTGAGCCCTCAAGGTCGGGAGAAGGGGTACCCCAGCCCGTGTTGGAACAAAGCCGCATAGATTTGGATTCCTTCTCGTGTCGGAGGACCCTCATGTGGGAAGTGAGACCCTAGGACCCCGAGAGGCAGGACTTCTGAGCAAGTTGCGGCAAGGCTAGAGCCGACGCCAGGATGTGGCCGCTGTTCCGCACTCGTCTCTCCACGCCACACACACACGAAAACACCTGGCCGTGGGATCTGTTGGGGTCTAAGAGAAAAGAGCCCAAAGCAGCATGTCCCTGGCTCCCTTCTAGGTCATTCAGAGGCCTGTGTAGAGACATGGTTACGAACTTGGCTGTGGGGTGGGGTCTGACTCTGCAGCTTCCTCAGGGGCATGACTTAGCTTCTCGAACCCCACTCGCCTGCCGTGAACAGAGGTTAGAAGCCTGCCCACGGCTGTGACAAGGCTTCACGCAGGGCGTTCATCCACTGCGCAGGTCCTGGGAGTCAGGCGCTGTCCTAGGCCCTGGGACACAGCAGCGGGCAAAACCAACTCGGGGCCCTGCCCGTGCGGAGTGTGCGTTCTGGAGGAGAGGGTCCTCCAGCAGACGCGTGCACACATGCCCATGCATGCGTGATGTGAGGAGGAGAGGTGGCCACTGCTGGGAAGAGACCACAGGACGAGAGTATGGAGAGGGGGCATTTCCCACAGGTGTCCAGGGAAGGGGCCCCTGGGGAGGTGACCTGAGATCAGAGCCTCGAGCGAGGCCGGGGCCCTGGCAGCTCTGTGGCCTGTGTTCCGGACAGAGGACAGCAGCCCTGCGCCCTGGGCACGTGGAGGCTGCCGTGCCTGGAGCGTGGAGGGCAGGGACCCGGAGCCGGCTGTCTGGGGAAGGAGTAGGGCTGTGTTCCCGGGCCGGGGGGCGGGGTGGGGGGCCCTCCCACCACTCCGTGCAGCTCAGCAGGAGGGAGGGAGCCGGTTTGGATTTCTGCAAGCTCACTCGGGTGCTGGGTGCTGGCGTGAGCATTAAATAAAGGACAGCACAGTGCCTGGCGCTTGGAAGAGCGCAGCACGCGCTGGCTGCTGTAGCGCGGCCATTGCCAGGGGCCTTCTGCCCTTGGGGGCTGTCACCAAAGTACACAGAATACAACAGACGGTTCCTGGCTCCCTGACCAGTCCTGGGTCAGCACACGACAGACAGCGAGCGCCGTGTGGGCTGGCGGCTGTGTTACATGGGGTAGTCAGAGAAAACCTTTCCACGAAGGGTGGAGCGATTTTTAAGAGGTTCGTGTGGAGTGTTAGTTTGCAACAGCCCCAAGATGTGGGGTTGAGGCAGGGCAGTCCCATCCCCTGGGATCGGCCCTTCGGAACCAGGCCAGAACTTTACGTTCATTTGTACATAACTGAGAGACGCGTTTTGACAGAAGCAGCTCCATGAGATGCTTGTAAGGGCGAAGGAACCTTTTTCTTTTCTCAGGACCATCTCTTGACCTTGACAATACTTAGGAAGGCCAGCTCCTCACCGCCCAGACAACAGGACCTGTCCCCTCACCCAACACAAAATTCAGTGCTGTTTTCTTTTTTTACCCATGGGTCTGTTTGTTTGTTGTCAACAACCAGGTGGAATCACTGGGGTCTCCGTGTAGATTTTTACGGGGCTGCTTCGGTCAGGTCACAGAACAGTGGCTCACGCCCACCCCGTCTACCTCTACACTGGTCCAGGTCAGGGATGCACGGGCCATGGAGTCCGTTCCTTGAGATGCAGAGTCTGGGTGGGCTCGGGGCTCAGGGTCTCTTCCGAGTCTGAGATGCCCACAGGCCAGGCTGCCGTTTGCTGGCCCAAGACCGGGCTCAGATTCTATGGGCTCCATTGTTTTGTGCCCCTCTCTTTCGCCAGAGGACGAACAGAGGGAGAAGTCGGTCTCCCACCAAACGGTCCAGCAGCTGGTCCTGGAGAAGGAACAGGCCCTGGCCGACCTGAACTCCGTGGAGAAGTCTCTGGCCGACCTCTTCAGGAGATATGAGAAGATGAAAGAGGTCCTGGAGGGCTTCCGCAAGGTGCGGTTGTGCTTGGGGCACCGGGCGCGGGGGCTGGAGGGAGGTGGGGTGGGTGGCGGCATTGCCGGGCTTCTGGAAGGCCATCCCCGCAGGCTGGGGAGCTGGACGTGGCCGCCTGAGGCTGCGCCCTCATCAGAGGGCTCTTGGGGTTCCCAGCAGCCCGCGGCATTTCTTCCGTGGGCTCGACCCCTGTCCTCTGTCATGTCAGAATGAAGAGGTGCTGAAGAAGTGTGCGCAGGAGTACCTGTCCCGAGTGAAGAAGGAGGAGCAGAGATACCAGGCCCTGAAGGTGCACGCGGAGGAGAAGCTGGACAGGTAACAGCCGGCGCTGCTCCCCGGCTGGCTGGCAGCTCCCACAGCGCCCCCGACCCGGGCCTGGGGACTGCATTTTTTCAGTACAGTTCATTATGATTTGTGACAAGATTACAGTTGGTTAGGATGCATTTTGATACATGGAGGCTGCATGTTGTAACTTCCAGGGTGCCCCGCCCCCTCAAAGCACCTCGGTGTCATGAGAGTGGGGTCTGGGGTGGGGATTCTCGTGGGTGCTTGTGCTGGGCCCTTGTTGGTGGGAGCTGGAGCCAGATGGTACCTGCCGGCCCCTCCCGCTCCCGCGCCCAGAGCTGGGAGGAGGAAGGCAGGAGACACCTATACAGAAGGGAGACAACTTCTGAGGCCCCTGCCCCTCCCACCCCTGCAGGGCCAACGCGGAGATTGCCCAGGTCCGGGGCAAGGCCCAGCAGGAACAGGCCGCCTACCAGGCCAGCCTGCGGAAGGAGCAGCTGCGGGTGGACGCCCTGGAGAGGACGCTGGAGCAGAAGGTACAGGCCGGGCCGGGCCGGAGGCCTCCGGGCGGACAGGGCCGGCCAGGCCCTCAGGTGGCCCGAGGCCGGGCTCGCACTGTGGCACCCCCAGGGCGCGTCCAGCTCCATGGGCACATCCCTGCTGCCCCCCGCCCCGCCGGAAGAGCCGGCTTCGTGCCCACCCTCAGGCTGCCTCCTTCCTGCCCTGGGTGTCTGTTGCTGGTATTCGTTCCTTTTCAACGCTCATTTAATTGTCAGATATTTAGGCACCTGCATTGTCCCAGGCCTAGTACTTTAACCACGGCACCCAGTCCTGGTGAGTGGATGGCACCCACCAGCTACCCACCAGGACAGTGGGTAGATGCAGAAAGTGGGCTGCGTCCTCTTGTTCGCCTGGATTGAGGGGGAGGGATCCTCCTGAGGTCCCCAGCGGGTCCCCAGGTTTCCTGATTTCCAGTCTAGTGCTTGGTCCGCGGTACAGACGCCCACCCCGGGGGTCCCAGCGAGGAGCCCCTCTGGCCCAGGAGCGCCATCAGTCTGAGCCCGGGTGAGGTGGGGCCAGGCAGGCCCCTCCCTAGGTGGGTTCCAGATGTGCAACCTGATTCTCGTTGGTTTATGAGCCCCAGGGTTCCCCGGGGTGGTACCCAGAGAGACCAGCGGCCTGAGCTAGTGGCACTGGGACCTCGATGGGCAGCGGTAGGGGGTCTGTTGTAGGCAGGTGGCATCAGGAGTCCCGCATGTCCCCCAGATGGCCTGTGCTAATCCAGAAGCACCTGGCTGCCTTCAGGTTGGGCCCCTCCTGGGCCTGCACCCAGCAGGGTCCCAGTGGTGCTGTCTGAGGTCCCCAGGGGATCTGGGCCAGGCAACACTAACCTCTGCAGTGGCGGGTGCACCCTGTCACTTCGGCTGTGTGATGTCAGGCAAGAGCCCCGGGACTCAGGGACTCAGGCTCAGGTCCTCAGGTCCTCATCCCGCCTGCCATCCATGAGGCCCTGGGCAGGCCTTGCACTTCGCCTCGGTTTCTGTGTTTGTAGTATCAGAGGATTAAACCAAAAGATCTAGAAAAGTACACCTGGCCCTGAGAATTATATGGCTCTAGCACTCAAAGGAAGTTCCCTGAGGTCCCAGTCGAACAGCACAGACTCCAGTGAACTCGGTGTCCCACGGTGCGTTCCTGGTCACCTAGCATGCAGACAGCCAGAAACTCATGTGACCCAGTCACTTTCATCCTTTACCTTTTCCTCTTGGCATGAAAAAGACTGATGGCCACTGGGAAGTTTAATGTTACAGAATTGTATTTTTACCCAAAAAAAAAAAAAAAAAGGCCTGGACTATGTTCAGCTGCCTCTATTTTCCAGGCTCTGATCATTGTTCTTAGCGGTTACCACGGAGACGAGCAATATAGTCAGAACGGTCCGATGCCAGCCCTTGCTCACGTGGTACTTAAGAAAATCACTGCAGTTTTAGCGCTGAGTGGGTGTCTGTTTTTATTCTTTGACTGTTGATAATCCACTTCTGGCATATTCGGTGACTTTTGAAAAGTGGAACATTTTTTAAATTAAAGACCACATTCTCCAATCCTTTGGGGTATGAAGGCTGTTGCGGAGCAAATGTTTCTAGCTGAAAAATATGTCGGAAACGGTTGAGGTCATCCCCCCGCTTCCGCCCAGATTTGATGGTGTTCACATTGTAACACATCGGGGCAACTTAGGTAAACAGAGGTAAAACGGGAACCAGGATGGCGGTTGTCAAGGCGTCTGGCGTGTTCAGACTTTACAGTTGCAAAACGAAAGTGACGCCAAGTTTCCTGGCACACTAAAACAAGGAGGAAATCGTATGGCCCAGGACTGGATAACAGGAACGATATAAACAGATCTGAAAACGTAATTTTGTCTTGAATGGAAACTCTGGAAGAATGAGTGAATCTCACGAGTTCTTCCCTAAAGGACTGTAAGTGATACAGAGGAGAGTCTCTGTTGTTTGTTGTTGTTTTTAAGATGTCGACGTGTGATTCCCCTGGGGAAGTTTTTCGCCAGTGGGGACTGTGGGAAGGTTTTTGCCTGGTGAGCTGAGCTCCATGTTGGGGCGGTTTGCTCAGCATCAGGCTGAAGGTGCCAAGAGGCCACGTGCGGAGGTTCCAGGAACTGAGAGCTAGTGCCACTCGGCCACCAGTCACTAGACGATCCGTGGGAAGAGTAAAAGTCACTCACCATAGTGCCCGGGGTGTGTCTGCACGATGACCGGCACCTGCGAGGCGCCCCCCATAAGATGCGAAGTCACCGTTGGCAGCCCCGGCAGTGGTAGTGGCGGCTGTCACAGTCATTTGAGGCTTGGTGGTTGGCGCGGCCTTCCATGAAGAGCCCCACCTTCTGGCCGGGGTCTCGGAGCCGTGAACTCTAGAAGGGAGGCCGGCTGGCGCAGTACTGCGGGCAGGCCCTCTCTCGGCTGGGGGCTGGCCACAAGGCTGGAGCGAGGGCTGGCTTGCTCCTCCATGAAGGAGACCCAATTCTTCCCAGGCACCACCGCAGTGACGAGTAGCTCCGGGAGCCCAACCCTGAAACCTGGCCACGTGGCTCCAGGCTGGACCGTGGCTCCAGGCTGGACCGTGTCTCAGGAGGTTCTAAATTTCTAAGGAGGGGCCTTAGTACAGCCTCAGGGGACAGGCTGTGGTTAAGACTTAGCTTCCCTAGGGACCTGGAAGGAAAGCTGGCTGTAAAACGTCCCCAGGATACTGGAAAGAGCTAGTCCCTGTAGAGAGGGCCGTTTGAGACCGGCCATTCAGCCACACCCGCATCGGGCCAGCCTCCAGCCCATCCGAGGGCAAAGCCTCACCTGCCGAGATGGCGATGTCGTCGTCCCGCTGGATTCCCATCCCTAGAGGATGGACAGTGTTGTCGGATCATCCGTGGGAGATGAGCATGCGGTTGGTTCCCCTTGACAAGGCATCGGAGGGCAGGCCAGGCGTGGCGTGAGGAACACCGGGAGCCAGCTGCCTCTCCCCCTGCCTTTCTCCACGACCCCTTAGGTCACAGCTCTGCCGCATTTGGCATCTTCTGAATGATGCCCGCGATGCCCAGTCGTGTAGAATTGCCTAACTGCTCCTGGTGGCATCTCTCAAAAAAGCCACCCAAGGCTCGCCCCAGCCCCTCCTCTTGTGCCCACGTCCTTCACAGGCAAATAAAAGGAGGAAAACCAGTACTAGTTAGGCCTTTACTGCACGCGGGTCACTGTGCTTAGGGAATCTTTACATTTCTGACCTCACTGAATTCTCAGAGACAGATGGCGTCATCCACATTTTAGAGATAAGGAAACCGAGGCTCGGAGAGGTTGTGTAGCTTGCCCAAGATCACACAGCTAGAGCTGGGATGTAGACAGACTGTATGTCTGCAAGTCATTTCTCAGGGGGACCAGGAGGCCTGGGGGCCCCCATGCCCCTAAAAATTCAATGACCATTCTGATTGGCTTGACTTCAGACAACCAACAGATTTCAGCAGGGTTTTTTTTTTGTTTTTTTTGTTTTTTGTCTTCACTTGCAGAATAAAGAAATAGAAGAACTCACCAAGATTTGTGATGAACTGATTGCCAAAATGGGGAAAAGCTAACTTTGAACCAAATGTTCGGACTTGACCGTTGCGTGCAATATGACCGTCGGCACACTGCTGTCCCTCCAGTCCCGCGGACAGGCTCTGTTTTCACGTTTTCGTATGCACTACTGTGTTTCTTTTCTAAATAATGTTGATTTGATTGTATGCAGTACTAAGAAGACTATCAGAATTTCTTGCTATTGGTTTGCATTTTTCCTAGTATAATTCATAGCAAGTTGACCTCAGAGTTCCTGTATCAGGGAGATTGTCTGATTCTCTAATAAAACACACATCGCTGACCTTGGCCTTGCCCTTCGTACATGAGCTCCCAGGGTGAGCGGCTTTTGGATTTAATATGAACGTGTGCAGCTTGCACGGGGACTCTTGCCTTAAGGAGTGTAAACTTGATCTGCATTTGCTGATTTGTTAAAAAAAAAAAAAAAAAGAAAAGAAAAGAAAATGCATGTCTCAAAGGAAATTCTCTATTGTAAATAAATTTTTTTTCTTTGGATCTTGGCAATACTGTGGCTGTGATTTATTTTCCGGGAAGGGTTGAGCCTTGTCTCATCTTTGTTAAATCCAACCCGGTTTGCCTTCTACTCTTCTTCTCCATGTGGGCTCATTACTTTGTCCATCGATTTAAGTAACATTTCCTTTCTTCTTATGGCTGTGTTGGTAAGTAGAAACTAATGAGAAATATTGACTACTTAAATAATTCAGCGACTGTATTGAATTAGCTTGGATTTTGTTTTTGCAAAGTCCCTTTAGGGGACTTTGACCTTAGGAGGCAAAACTGCCTCCCTTTATTGGCTCCAGGAAGTGGCAGGCTGTTGCTCCCCGTGTGTCCAGATGAGCCCTCAGTGTCTCGTCCCCCTTGAAGGAACAGGAAGGTGGGGGGCAGGTCATTAGGCCGCTTTGGAGGTTAAACTGGGTCACTGTGCCTGCCATAGGAAGCCTTTAGCGCGCCTGGCGTCTCAGAGACGCCAGGCTGAAGGGTGGGTGTGTGAGGGCGTGGGGCGGTGTCTTTATTTCCCAGGACTGTTGTAACCAATGGCTGTGAGTTTACCAGCTTCAGACTGCATCAGTTGATCCTCACACACGTCTAGAGGCCAGAAGTCCAAGATCAAAGTGTCAGTGGGGTTTGTTCCCTCTGAAGGCCCTGAGGGGACCCTGTGCCGCGCCTCGGCCCCAGCGCCTGCCGGCAGCCCTTGGCGCTCCTCGGCTGGGGGCTGCATTGCTCCAGCCTCTGCCTCTGTCTTCGCATGGCTGTCTCCTCTCCGTCCTGTATGTCTCTCCTTTCTCTCCTAGGGACACCTGCCAGTGGACTTAGGGCCCACCCCAAATCCAAGGTGATCTAACCTGAAGATCCTTAATGACATCTGCAACAATCCTGTTTCCAAATAAGGTCCCATGTTCATAGGTGGCGGCTGGTTGGATGGGGATGTGCCTTTAGGGGGGACGTGTGTGGTATGGGGTATCAGCTTGCAAAGCAGGCAGGGGACCCTGATGGCCTGTGGCTGTAGGCCGCCCTCATGGAGCGCCCGCTCCCCCCGACAGGAGGGCAGGCCCAGGCCTCAGCTGTGGGGCGGGAGGGTCACGTCTGTAACTTGCCAGGTGTGTGACACTTGGCTGTCCCAGGCAGCACAGGAGAGAAGCCACAATGGTGCTGTCCAGCCTATACTGTGGGGCTCCATCCGGCGGAGAAGCCCAGCAGCTCGGGCCCCTGTCACCCTCGCGTCACCAGGACCCTCAGCTGGGGCAGGGCCTGCCTTGTCCCGCTGCCCAGCAACCTCTGCTTGGTGCAGCCGCCTGGTCACCTCCCCGGGGTCCGGCTCCATCCACGCCCTCCTCTGGACCAAAGCCCTTCCTGGCCCTCCCTGGGTCTGGGGAACAGCGCGGCTGAGTCCTCTGTCTTGAGGGTTTTATCCAGAGGTCTCTGGGGAGGGTCTCCATGAAATAACACACGTGCATAACTCACAGATCCAGACGACAGCGTGGCGACGGCCGGAGCCGGGTGCGGGGGGACGGGTGGAAAACGAGGACATCTGTGCTAGTGTCAGCAATAAAAATCAAGGGGGGAAAGTGCCCACCAGAGTTCCAGGTGTGTCCTCTCAGGGTCTTTGTCTCTTCTGAGCGGTGGGCGCCAGGCTGGGGGTCGTCAGTTGCCGCAGCTGGTCCTGAGTCAGCATTTTGCTGCTTTCCTGGGCCTGGAGCAGAAACGCAGCTGAGGCCTAGATGTCACTTCTAGGGTTTAAGGCTTCAGGGGGCGGTCGTGCCGGGGCTCATGGGAGTCGTGTGAGGCTATTCTCCGGCCCCCTTGTTCCTCCCGGAAGGGGGTCTACCACACAACTAGTGACGTGTGGGGGAGGAGAGGTCGAGGCAGGATCCGACCCGCAAGACCAGGGAGGCTGGGACGTGTCCAGGGCCACGGAGCCAGCTTGTGCTGGAACCAGAGTCGAGGTCGGGCACGTTTCTGGTGTACCCCACTGCCCCTCCATGTGTGTGCCCGGTTGGGGGGCTTGATTGGGCAGTAGGGTGAGGCAGTGAGCTCTCATCCCTGGGGCACTTGAGAAGGTGGACGTCCCACTGGAATCCTGCCACCAACACCCCGCCCCCGCCCCCGCCCCACCCCATAACCGTGACACAGGAGACTCTGGTGCAAGGGGGTACCCGCTGAGAGCCGTGCTCCGTGCAGTTTGGTGTCTGAGCCACTGAAGGCCTTTGCTCCCAGGATTTCTGACCTGTCTGGGCCTGTGGGCCTGGCTCACCGCACCTCCCAGCACACAGAGCACCGCCAGGAAAGGGCTGTGAGGAAAAGGAGCCAGAGCCATTTCTGTTCACTTGCATTTGTTGTCTTTGACTTTGGCTAATAGCTCAGCACCCAAAAGCTCCATGCGGGGATATATGTTCAGAAGGCTTTGGGGTGGGTTGAGGCTGCTAGGTCCCCGCACTTAGATCCTGTAGGGAGTGATGGGCCCAGCCAAGGCCAGGCAGGGTCCTGCTTAGGAACAAGGAGGGAGCCTGGCACGCTGGGCACTTCCCCAGGGTGGCCACTAGAGGGCGCCCCAGGCCTGCGCCGAGCTGTGCCTCAGACCTACCAGAGGGATCCCAGATGGCCCGTAAGACATAATGATCCACAACAGTGTTTTTCAGACCTTTCATTGAAACCTTAGATAGGGCCCTACGTTCCAGGGACGGGTAGCTGGGAAAGGTTGGGGTGAAGGGGAGGAAGCAAAAAGGGAGCGAATCTGTCCAGCTGTGCAAAGACCTCTGCTGAGATGTGACCGTGACCCAGACAGAAACACGCATGCAAGTGTGAACATGTGTGCAGTGCTCATCTTTGTGCGAAAGCAGAGCACATGGTGGGGAGGGACGGGCACATCCCATTCTCCACGTCAGGAGACGTTTGTTGAGCACTTCCTAAGCTTGGGCTCTGCGGGAACATGGGCGGTGGTGAGCTGCCATGGAGCACCCCACAGTAACCACCTACTCTGCAAAGCAGAACGCGGTGCCAGGAGAGCAGAATCCAGATCTGAGGCGTGAGGGAGGGGCATTCAGGAGGCCTCCCGGGCACGGTTTTTCAGCTTCCAGGAAGCAACTACAGGTAGGCAGAGCAGCTGCTTCCCGCTTTTCTTTGTAGTTTATGGAGAGGCCGCGCGTGAGGGCCTGGAGGGAGCCGCGCAGACTCCAGGCTCCTATCCCTGCAGCTGGGGCCGCGGCGAGCCCTGGGCTGGGGGGGCCAGGCCGCCCGCGGGCCGCGTTCCCCAGGTGTCACAGATGCGGCCCCCACCCCTCCCCCCATCCAGCCTTGCAGACCAAGCTGCTGAGGAGGCTGCAGATTCCACCCGGGTCCCCAGAGCGAAGGCTCTCGGTCTTGTCCCGGACTTTGAGGCAGTTTTAGTTCCTGGAGAGGCAGGTTAAAAAACCATCTACCAAATCAGTCAATCAGCAGGCATCGTTTTCAATAACGTAAAACTCTTTGGTTTTTATGTAAATACTTTTGTCAAGCCATTTCCGGACACCAGAGGTAGAAACCCAGCACCCAGAACACCAAAGACGGAGGGCTGAGGACCTCCTCCTCCGGTGATGTTCTGCCCGGGCCGCAAGAATTCTTAAAACAAGCAGCACCTGACTTCTCAGTCATGGGCTCTGACCTCTTTTCCCTTAGGTTGTCAGATTGGGGGGAAAAAAATCTATTTTTTGGTGTGCTGTAGAATTTGAGTAATTCGTTCATGTGTGCCATGAGATGAAAAACGTTGAAAATAGCTGTTTTCGTTGAATCTTCTCATATTGCAGATGAGGCCTGAGGATTAGGGGGCTGACTCTCACTGTGGCCATTTTTGAGGATCTTCCATGTCGCCCCAGTGCTATAAGGTCACTTGGCACTGCAGGGAACCGCTCCCCTGAGGAGCGAGGCTGAGCAGGAAGTGTGTGGCACCGCGAGCCCGGGCACCCCGGCCACCCCGGCGTTGTCTCTGCCACTGGTCCCCCAGCCCCAGCCGCGCTGAAACCAGGCCTGGAGCAGGAAATGCTCGGAACCTTCCCTGAACCTTCCCTGAACCTTCCCTGCTGTTGCCATGGCACCCACAACCACCTCAGAAACCAAAGGCAAGCTCCCCTGCCAAGCACCTTGGCCCAGAAAAGGAACCAGTGAGTCCCCAATGTCATGAACGCTCTGAGGACGCAGCCGCAGGTGAACAGCCCCCAGCGACCTGTAATTCGGGGACAAGTGCAATGAGAGCACCTCCGTGGGCCGAGCTTCTGCGAAGTCACGCGCGGTGGGCAACGGGGCTTCAGGGCCATGCGTCCGGCGGGCTCTCTTCATCCGCTTGAGAATATTGTCCAGCCTTCGAGACTGGCGCTGCTGGGGCCTGGCAGGAAGGGGCTCCAGGGGTTCCAGGCTGGGAGGCAGAGGGGTCTGGGAGCCAGGCAAGTAGCAAATTACATCATCAGCCAACTTAGAACCCTCCCCTGCTCCCCATCCCTGGGCGGAGGGTGAAGAAGCGCTTTATGGAGCCCCTTTCCCAGCACAAAAGCAGAGAATTGTCAGTCTACTAGTGCTCCTTTAAAAAAACTAAATATTCTCTTGATTTGATAAATAATAACCCGCTCAAGGCTGTACTCATTGTTACTCTTCTGGCAAAATATAGATTTGGGCCAATTTCCTCCTTAACAACCTGAAGAGACCCTTTGCAAATGAAAGCTTTCCCTGCTTTGTCTTCCAGATGCTTCTCCCCCTTCTCCCCTCCCCCCCCCGCCCCCCCCCCCCCCGTCACCCCACTATCATTCCTGAGAATGTTGAATCGAGGAAGTATTGGGCTGGCCAAAAAGTCTGCTCAGTTTTTCACGTAAAATAAGACACGTTTTTCATTTTCACCCGTAACTTGACTGATTGGGATATTTTCCATATGTCGGCTCTCTCCCACGTGGTAGAACGTTGATTGTTCTCAATGAATGTCTCAATTAGATCGCTATCAACTGCAACTGGTTCAACTGGTCTCCCTGACTGTGGAGCATCATCCTGTGAGAAATCTCCAGCACGAAACTTCGCAAACCACTTTTGACACATTTGATCAGTCACAGCACCTTCTCCATACACAGCACAAATCTTTTTTTTTTTTACTTTTAGTTGCTTTTTTTATCTTTCTTGAAATAATAAAGGATAACATGCTGAAAACGTGTACTTTCTTTCACCTTTACTATTAAAATGGCGACACAAAAATTCACCAACTTTGATTTTTTTTAAATGCATGACAGCTGTCGCAGTATAATCTAACAAAGCTTTTTTCAAATGATGTTAAAGGCAATTAAATGCTACTAAAGCCATCCTACAGGAAAAAAAGAACGCACTTTTTGGCCAACCCAATAGCTCATCTTCCCAAGAGGGCAGCCCTGGCAAGGAGCCAAAGCTCATGGTTACGGTTGTGTCTCCAAGTTTCCATGAGGACTGGGCCCTGCATCACGGGGACCTTGTGCTTTGCTGGCTGACTCTGCAGGGGAAGAGGGTGTCAGCATGCGGGTGTCTCCACAACTCACGCTGTACCGAGATTCGGGTTCGAGTTTTCAACCGCCTGCCATGTTCTAGGCACACCATGAAGGCATAGCTCCCTTAAAATGAAACTTCATTTTATTTTATCATTTTCACATCACCACCAGCACCACCGCCACCAACATCATCCTCATCCTCATCCTCATCCTCATTATTGTTGTCATCGTTTCCATTTAACATGTGAGGGCCAGGAGGCGCAAGAGGTGAAATGGCTAGCCCAGCGCCACACAACCAGGCAGGTGCAGTAACGAGGTTGGAACTCAGATTCTCCATTTCGCAGCGCCTGCTTTCCCTGCCCTGCTGCTGCTACCTGGATGGCTTAGGGTCAGTTGCACTCATTCCTGTGGCTCCCTCTTGGTGCACTGTTTCTGGCCAGGTTTCCTTGAGCCTGCACGTCTGAGGCCATGCTGTGTATGCTGCTGCTCCCTGAAGGAAACTGCTGGGAAAAAAGGTCTCTAAGTAGAAGTCCCTCCCCAGGGACCCAGCTTTTGCAGTCCTAGGTGTAAGCACAAGGGAATTGAGAAGAGGTGTCCAAACAGAAACTTGTACACAAATGCCCATAGCAGCGCTATGCACAGTAGCCAAAAGCTGAAAAGAGCCCAGGCGTCCACCTCCTATGAACGGCTAGAGAAAATGTAGTCTATCCACACAATGGAATATTATTCCGCCATAAAAAGGAACAAAATTTTGATGCATGCTACAACATGGGTGAAACTGGAAAACATTATGCTAAGCAAAAGAAGCTATTCATAAAAGCCCGCACATTGTATGACCACACGTATATAAAGTATCCAGAGTAGCAAATCCACAGAGACAGGGCAGACGAGAGGTTGCCAGGAGCTGGGTGGGGGGACCTGGGAGCCAAGGCGTTCTTTTGGGGTCTTGAAAAAGTTCTGAACTAGAACACGGTGGTGGTTGCACAGCATTGTCATGTACTAAATGCCACTAAATTTACACTATAAAATGGATAAAAGGGTGAATTTTATGTGTATTTTACCACAATTTAAAAAAAAACAACAACACTTGCCAAGCAGGCTCTCCTCAGTATCTCTGTGAATCACACGTTAGGATAGGGACTTAAAGCACAGTTTCTTGAAGCCTAATCCTATTCCTCCTTGTGGGTTTTTCAGAGCTACAGGCACAGAAATGACCTTCTCCCTGGACAGTTCGCCTCGGGCACCTCCGGTCCTAGGCCCTAAATCCCAAATGACTTTGTAGCCTGAAATCGTCTGTCTACTGAATACATTTGCCTTGAGACAATGGCTCATGAGAAGTACTGGCCATGTTTGAACATCAACCTGCACTTAACATTTGTCTTGATTTTCTTTCTGCTGTACTATTTGGAAGATCTGACATGTACATGAGGTTAAGAAAAGATTTCCTCTGTTTCTCGAGAAGCACAGAGCTCGGCTGGAACACCAGGTCGCTGGCTCAGCCAACCAGAGGCCCTTCGGGGCCCCGCTGGCCGTCTCCCAGATGCACAATTCCAGGAGCCCAGACTGTGAGGAGGCCCCGAAGGACACAGACAGGTAGGTCAGCAAAGGCCTGTGGAGGGAGCGCCCCCCGGGATGGACCGAATTCCTGGGCAGTGCCTGTGGTTGGGCCTGTGGGCTGTCACAAGGCACATTTATAGAGAGGGACAGGGTCCATGTGACACTCCCCCAAGAATGCACGCGGTGGCAATAGATGTGCAGAGAGAGACTATTTTTTCTTTTTCTTTTTTAAATATTTTATTTATTTATTTTTAGAGAGTGGGAAAGGAGGGAGAAAGGGAGAGAGAAGCATCATGTGTGGTTGCCCCTCGTGTGCCCCCAACGGGGGACCTGGCCCATCACCCAGGCCTGTGCCCTGCCTGGGAATAGAACCAGCGACCCCTCGGTTCACAGGCCAGCCCTCAGTCCACTGAGCCACACCAGCCAGGCCCTTTTTTTTTTTAATAGTTTTTCCTTTGCGTTGGGAATTTTGGGCCCTAACAGGATCCTTATAAGTTTGTCAACTATTTTGTTGACAAGCAAAACATAGCTAGTCCTGACTCGAGTCTGAACCCCTCTCACAAGTGTGAATTTCTACCAAGTCGATTCCCATGGGAAGCTGCCCCCTCCCTGATCACTCCCAAAGGATTCTGAGCAGTGGGCTTAGAGCGTCACTTCTTCATGCTGCGGGTTCTTTCTTGCCTTTCCTAGGGACACAGAGCTGTACCCTATGGCAGAAGGGACACCTCACTTCCCTGGCACTTCAGATCAGACTTGGCCACTGCCCTCCCTGGGCTGGCAGCACCTGGCTTTCTGAGCACATGGCCAAACCTACTGCACGTGGCCGGGGCCCCGGGCAGCGCCGCCGTGGGAGGGCTGCTTGCTCCGAGTTTGCTGAGCAAGCGCCAAATCCTCCTCTTCTACACCCACCAGCCAGCCCTGCCGCGAGGCCCCACCCCAGAGGTGATTCTCTAACACACATTTGAACGAATCCACATCCATAGGCTTTTTAAAAAAATTCTCTGTTGACTCCAGCTTAGAAAAATCGAGTCCTGTGAGTTGTTAGTACACATCGGCTATTGCTAGCCTTAAACGATCTTGAATTTGTTTTGTATTTTGTTTTGGTTAGAGCCTTGAAGACGCCTTAGGGTTTTGCCAAAGCTCATTGTGTTCCCTAGTGCCAGGGCCAGGCTGGAGAAGCGGGCGTGGACCTGGACCTGGGCCTGGGCATGGAGGCAAACTGATGGGCAAACTGGCAAGGCCGGCTGGGCTGCGGGAGCCAAGGTCTCCAGGACGTTGCTTGTGGAGTCCCGGGGCTAAGCTGTGGCAGGGGAGGGTGGCCTGAGGGGTGGAGCACAGAACCCTGAGGACGATGGCAATTGTGCTGGGCTTTAGGACTCTCAAAAGCAGTCCATCGGACAGGGTTAGAATCCCTTCTCCTCCATGAACTAGCTCTGTGACCTTTAGCCAGTGGCTTAAGCTCTCTGAGCCTCAGTTCTGTCATCTGTGAAGTGGTGATAATGGTATCTCCCTTGAAGAGTTACCTTAACAATAACATTGGATAGGACATTGAAAATGCTTAGTGCTGTTCCTGGAGAATAGTAGCGGCTCAATAAATAGAGATGTCATCTTTCCGGCCTGAGCAGCAGTTGGAGTGATTGGTGCTGGCGATTTCATCCTGGGGTGTCAGGCCTGTGCTCTGCCCGTCAACAGTCCTATGTTCTGCTTGGCTCAGCACCTTCCCCAAATCAAAGCACCTCGCCCAACCACACAACAAATCTGTGTCTCCGCTTGGAGATGCCGGAGGCTGGCCGTCTGGGCCACTCCGAGCAGGCTCATCGCTCGTGCCCGGCGGTCAGCTGATCCAGGCTCAGTGCAGCGGGCAGCTCAGGCCCTGCGCCACGGGCCCCTCACCGCTGCCCTGAGATGGGGGCCAGCCCAGACGTGAACTTGTCCTGGCAATGGCAGAGGGCAAGAGGGCAAGACCAGGTGTAAGCACTTTTCAGACCTTCATCCACATCATATCCCTGACATCCCATTGGCCAAGGCAAACTCACATGGCCAAACTCAAAGTCAAGGGTCAGGAAATCAAAGTGGAGTTTTGCAAGCATCAAGCCCGAAGCCCTTTGGATGGTTTGCTGCAGGAAGTCCGTGCATGGCATACAAAATTTCCCTTTTCCCACCTCATTTCTCCATCACGGGTCATGCCTGAGAGGACCAAGCCATTCTCAACCTCCCCACGTGCCACTTCGTCCCAGAACACTTAGCCTCAAATGGTGGGCGGGACATGCCACAGATGCCGTCTATTCCACTAACTGTTCCATCGGTCCTAAAATGACCCCAGCCTTCGGACACGCAGAGCCTGCATGATGAATGGTATATCTGGGCTGGCAGCCATGTCACCAGGCAATGTCATTACTTCTGTTGTCTGGAATCTCCCAGCTCCGCCGATGACACTGATGTTTGCGAGGGTGGTTGAGCTCATGGGCATCGCCCCATAATTTCCAAAGCCCATTGCTCCATTTTGAGATCACGGTCTGAACTCCTGACCTTGGCCGGCTCTTCCCAGACGTGTGACCCAAGCCAGCAAGGGGATCTGGCTGGCCTGGGCCAGGTCCACTGCTCCTGTTGGGTAAACAACTCCAGCTCTCACTGCGTCCCTGAGGCTGAGTCACCAGTAGCCACCGCCCCCCTTGGAAAGGGCAGCAGGTGGCTGAGCTTATTCTGGACACGGGTTCCCGCACCCGAGCCCCCCACCGTGCACCCTGGCCCACGAGGCTCCTGCAGTCATTGAAAACAGCACGGCCAAGGTGATGCTGACTACATGTGGTCATCAAGTGTCTCTTGGCTGGTTGGCTTTCCTGGGAAGACTGTCATCAAGCTGTGAATATGTGACTCAAACTTTGTTTCATTTCCATGCTCAGCGGGCTGGATGCAGTGTTTATGGACAATCATCTTATATTTTCAATTCACTCAATCACAGAAGGGGCACTTGCAGAACACTTACGGGGTGGCTGTGCTGGGGTCACCTCGGTAAATAAACGCCGACTCTGTCTTTGTGGAATGCAGAGCCTGGGGCAGACGCTGCCTGAGTAAGAAGGCCGCCCCAGGACACTGTTGGGGGGGAGGCGTCATGCCAGGTGGGCAGCAGGGAGGGCCACTAGCGTGGCCCCGCAGACAGAGCAACCACTCAGCTTATCTGGAAGGAACAGCGGGCATGTGTCCAGGAGAAGGCCAAGCGAGAGAGCGCTCCGGGCAGAGGACGCGGTGCATCCAGGGGCGTGAGCAGGGCTGGGGTGGGAGCACAGAGGGCCGAGGCACAGCACAGCAGGGGCTCCTTAGCCGGGCCGGACGAGCGCTTTAGGGGGAGGGGAGACAATATCGGGCCTCAGAGGGAGAGAGGCCAGACCAGCGGTGCCGGCCAGACAGCCCTGGGGCTGCAGCCTGGGGGTGCGCCGCAGAGGCGAGCGCACTGGGGGCCGGGGGCCTGCCGGGGTCGGGGAGGGGTGAGAGGGGCTTGACAAAGGTCGCAGCCGTGAGGGCACAGAGAGGTGGGTGAATTCGGAAGATAGTACTGTCACATCCAGGCACGCGGTCAGATGTGGCAGCACGCCCCTCGGCATGCTGGTCTGGGCAACCGGAGGCTGCTGCGGGAGGGTCCTGAGACAGGCAACGCAGACCCAGAAGCAGGGGGAGGCTCAGGGCGGATTCCATGCTCAGTTTTGGGACATATTGAGACGGGGGAGTGCATAGCCCCTAAACAGAAGTGTTTGTGAGTTAATGTCCAAGAAATGCCCAGCGCCTTCTCTTCCTTACTCTAACAGACATTTATTGAGCACCTCCTATATGCTAGACATTGTTTTAGACACTCATCAAAAGAGGTGTCATTCAGGCTGCGACATGGAGCTTCAAATACCTCCACGCTAAGGCCTGCCCACAAACTGCCACACAGAGCTTGCAGTTGATCTAATCAGTAGACAAAGGGTGAGACCCAAGGAAACTCCCGCAAAGGACACAATACGGAGAGATGATCGAATAGGGGCTTCAGGGACGCTTTCACTGGAGGGACCCAGGTGGCGGCTGGGGGAAGACGTCTGTATTAACTCCTGGATTTTTTATTTATATTTTTTCTTGAGGTTATGCATCCCAAAAATTCAGAACAAGTTCTCTGAGAATTTGAAGGACAAGGCCATCCCCCGTGGGGACATAGGTGAGTTCTTGTTACCAGGGGACTCAGTCAGAACGGTGCTGACCTCAGGCACCTGTGGTCCCCGTGGAAGGAAACAAGACCAGAGGCTGCGTCACTCATCTGTAAGTTTCAACTCCTGCATCCTGAACAGAATCTCACGTAAAACTGGTGCCTGTAAATATTTGTCCAATGTAAGATGAATGAAACCGAGCCGGGCAAACACATTTTCACATGCAAATGGTCACAAGAAAGATGGACGCGCCGATGTAAATGACTAGGCTTTGAATCGGAAGAATGGACGGAAGTCTTGGCAAGCATGGGCTTCTGTTTCCTGCCCCTTTGTGTTTTAACCAGTCGTGACTGACGTCACATTTGCACTTGTCCAAGAAGACATTCCTGAGTTAAAATTGGGAACTGGACTAGGTCTGTCCAGCTGGGAAAAGGCTCGTTGAGCCTCACGGGGAAGCTGGACCGGCCAGCTCCTTAAAGGAGCTCTTCTGGGCCAGCCCCAGCCCAGGTGTGGCTGCCTGAGGCCGGAGCCAGCCTCCTTCCCAGGAGGGCTAGTTGCGTCCATCTCGTTTGTTGGTCCTGGTTGACCGGAGCTCTGAAAAGTAGTCTGAGACCATGTCTGTGACATCTGCCGTACACCTGCCATCCCGGAAGTGGAAGTGGATGTCCAGGGGAGGGACACGCTTTGTCTGCAATTCTGCTCCTGCCTAGAGCACTCCAACAGGGTGGGATTCTTTCTAACCTGGTAAAACAGGACCGACACCTGAAGTGATCCAAGGGTTGAGACACAAACCCAGCTTCTAAACCCCAGCACCAAACAATACCATAGATCTGGTGAATAACAAGTATAACAATAACAGAAGATGAAACAGGGACCCAAGGGCAGGCAGTCAAAGCTACGGCAAGGCCAAGGAATGAGTAGGCAGGGCTAGTGGCTCTCAAGGTCGTGTCTGGCGCCAAGATTTAGGGTTTTGGGGGGCCGTCCCAGCACCACCTCCTCCCCAAGCCCTGTGCAAATAGAGATCCACTCTGCTGAGCCCCCTTACCTACAGTTTCTTGTGCGTCACCTGGCCTGGCATCCTTGGTCCCTCCACCTGCCCAATCAAAGTCCCTTCTCCTTTAATCATCTGTACGGCCCATGGGTGAGGCTCCCTCTTAACAGCCCATGGCCTGCCTTTCTGACAGTCCCCATTCCCTGGAGGAAACTGAGGCCTGGGTGAGCTCTGCCACCTGGTGATGGGCCCTTTACTGTACTGCGTGCGTGTGGCTGTTGCCTCTCACGTGTGTAAAAATAAGCACCAATAGCTTAGTATCAGGAGTCTCCCCTAGGACACTGGGTGCTGATTTTGCTCACCCAGGGACACGTGGCAATTCTGGAGACATTTTGGGTTGTAACCCCACTGGCATCCAGTGGGTAGAGTTCAGGGACACTGCTAAGCATCCTGCAGTGGCCGGGCAGCCGCCCCGCAGAGAGCCGTCTGGCCCTCAGAATGAACAGAGCGGAGGCAGAGACACACTGTGACGGGGGGGCGGCAAGGGGAGGCCCCCAGAAGTGTCCCAGCCAGCACCCCGGCCCTGTGACGCCTCTTCCAGTTCCCCACGTTGGCAGTCAGCCCGTGAACCTCTGAAGTCCTCCAGCTATTGGTCGGCCGTCCTCTTGGATGGTCGTCGCTTCCTGTGTCACCTCGTGAGCCTGCCCGTTGTATCTCCCGGGAGCCAGTAAGCTCCCCGAGGCCCCCACGGCCAACTTCGTCACTTTGTTCCTGCAAGGCCCAGCGAAGGCCCCTGCCCCCTCGTCGGCTCAGCACTGTGGTTGGACAGAGGGGCGCGAGGCAGGAGTGGGTGCCTCTCCGGGGCGGGGAGGCGGCGCACTACGAATCGCTCGCTCGGCGTTGCGTTCTCTCCACAGTTGTCACTCTCGAATGTCTGGACTTCAAGTGGGACCTCCGCCTGCCCCAGCTTTTCCAGTCTGAGACGTTGACCAAGCTCTACCTCCTGGCCCAGGGAGGGGGCCCCGAGAAGGAAATGAAGCCGCTTCTGCCAGGTACGTCCTCACTACGCCAGCCTCGAACGCCATCCGGCTGGAGAGAGTCCAGCCTGGCGTCGGGCTGTCTGTCTGTTTTAGGGCCATGGCTGCTCTGGCAGTTAAGAGCAAGGCCCATGGCACGTCCTCTCCACGGGGTTTAACCTCATCCTCTCCCTCTGTAAACTGGGGGTCATCGTTCCCGCTTTGCCGCGTTAAAGACTCCAAGGAGTTTATGCTGTGAAGTTCTAGGGCGACGCCTGGTACGTGGTGCGCGCCCAGTAACGTCTGTCATTATTCGCCGAAGAACCCCATCTTGCCAAGCCAGCGAAGGTGGAGACTCCAGCTTCTTCCCTGAGAAGAGTGTTCCAACGGGCCCCTGGGAAGGAGGGCATCCGTCTGGCAACTGGGGTTGGTTCGGCTCTAAGTATTGTGGTTAGAGGTCTATATGTGTACATGAATTTTACTTTCCTCTTGCTTTCCTTTCTCTTTCCTTAATGCCGCCTCATTCCAGAAAGTATTTAGGTCACCATTCTTTTTCTTTTTCTCCTTATTTCATCCTAATAATCCCCAGTCTCCGCTTCTGGCGGCCTTGCCGACATCTCTGGGTAATCAAGGCGGCATCTCCGCAGGAAGACGCAGGAGCAGAGCAGGTGCTGTGGAAAAGTCAAGGCCCCCAGAGCCAGCCAGCACGCCAGCCGGGGAGGGATCGTATTTCCAGGACGTGGCAGCAAAGCTGTGTTATTCTGGAGCCAGACAGGCTGCCGGAGCCCCCAGTCCCGGGCTTGCCTTGAGCCTGAACAGGGGGCCCAGCTGCCTGCTGGAATCTTCCAGGCCACAAGCTGGTGACTCAGCCCTTCCCAGCCAGCTGGGAGCTGAGCGGGCCGTGGCATTCCCACGTTGGCCCTCGCTCAGGGTCCTCTTTGTCCTTCTAAGCCTTTGTCCCAGAGCCTTCAAGAGCGGGACTGAGCCCTTTCTGTCACGTCCCCTGTGCCCAGGTCAGAGGTCTTGCTGGGCATCCAGTGAAAGGCCATGGAGACCCAGGCAATGGGCACATTGAAAAGCAAGAGGCTTCGGAAGGAAAACGGAGTTACTAACAGGCTGGCCTTGCACATGCCGGGGTGGCCTCACTTAAGAGAAGAGAACGGGCCCTGCTGGGACAGCCGCTCTCACCCAGAGCCTGCTGGCAGCCTGGCCTGCCTGGGGACGTCGGGGGGAGTGCAGAGATGGAAGCCCAGCATCAGGGCTGACACGCCTTTCCAGGCCCCTCCCCCACCGCCACCAAGCACTAGCAGCTGCACCCAGCCGGGGGCTTGACATGGTTATCAGTGGGTGCAGTCACAGCCTTTGTGTGCCTTTATTCTATTATTATCTCTTTTTAAATTTCTGTCCCAAGGATTTTAGAGGGGGAGGAAGGGAAGGAGGGAGAGAGAGGGAGAGAAACATCGATCGGTTGCCTCTTGTATGTGCCCAACCTCAGGGGCCTTGGCGCCGCGTCAGTGGCGTGGGACGCCCTGGGGACCTGAGGGCGGTTTGTGTGGCCACTCACATTTCAGAACAGCCCTGGGTGGATGAGCGAGGCTGGCGCTGAATCGCACTGTCTCCTCCCTTCCTCCGGGAAGCCTTGGGTGATGGGGGTCGTCTGTCTGGGGACCTGTGGGGCAACATATCAAGAGCCGCCAGGTAAACACCTCAGTCCCACATTCGTCCTTCAGCAGGTGGTCACGGCGTCTCTGCTTTGGAGCAGGTGTGAGCTAGGGGCTCGTGGGGCACAGGGGACTGGGGGCCCGGCCCTCACCCTCAAACCGCATGGCCCAGTGAGAGGAAGGGGGAGCAAAGGGGGGGAGGGGCGAGGAATAAATATTCAAAGCGCGGTGTGAGTGTTCGTCTCCCCCTCATAGTGGGGTGGCAGCAGGGACACAGGGCCTCTGCCCTATTTTTGCAACTTCTTGTGAATCTTCAACTCTTTCCAAGAAACTATTCATTTCCAAAATGCATCCACTAAGCAGACAAACAAATACAAACAAACACAGTGCAGTGAGGGACATGCTAAGACAGAGGCTGCGCAAAGGGCGGCGGAGCCTGAGACGGTGCCTCGCACAACTCACTGGCTGCCCTACCAACTTCCCCTCATCCCCTTCCTTTACCAGGGCCGCTATCACCTAGGAAGAGCAAAGAAAGACGCTTCATAAAGAAGATGACCATCTCCCTGAAGGTCAATGACCCCATGGTCACTGAAGCCGGTAAGGTCCACCTGTCTTCATTTTCAGAGGCCACTGTTGAACAGGCGCCCCCTCCCCAGACTTCTGAGGCAAACAAACAACAACAAAACACAACAAACCAGAGCTGCGTCCGGTGCTCCCTTCCTACAAATGGCAGAGCAGTGCAGGGGGCGGGGGAAGGAAGGCTGGGGCGACTTGGGAGAGTGAGAGAAGGTCAAATGCCTCGAGAGAGACAGGCGCATCCTTGGCAACGAGGGACACAGGGAGGTGAGCAAGAAGCAGGTTCCCCAGAGGACCCAGGGAAAATGTGGGGGCCCTTTGGGCACATGGCCCAGGAAGCTCTCAGGCCTGCCCTTGACCCCCAGGACCCCGCCCCCAGGGGCTCCCTTTGGCTTGCCCTCTTCCCATCCCATCATGACCACCTAGAGAGAGACTTCTTGTTAATGTGACAGGTCGTGTACTGTCATGGTCTATGATCAATAGCTCAGGAAACCATCCCTTAAGCTCTGGTTGGGCCAGTTGTCCTCAGAGAGCACCAGCCCAACCCAGGGCCCTCTGCGGCCTCGTCACAAGAGCTCAGTTCCTAAACTATTAGGTTGGCCAGAAAGTCCAGTGTGTTTTTCCATAAAATGAAAGACGTAGTTTTCATTTTCACCAATAACTTCATTGATCTGGATGTTTTGAGTAGGCTGGTTCCCTCCCACTATTGGCTTCCAGTGGGTAGAGGCTAGGGTGCTGCTGAACACCTTCCAATGCATCAGGTGGCCCCACAGCAAAGAATTATTTGGCCAAAATGTCAGTAGTACCAAGAAACTTCACAAACCACTTTTGACACGTTCTATCAGTCACAGCATCTTCTCCGTACACTGCACAAATCTTTTGCGTTTCAGTCTCATTTTTCCCTTTCTTGAAATAATAAAGCATAACATGCCAAAGATGTTGCATATCTTCTTCCATCTTCCATATTAAAACGGCTGCACAAAAGTTCATCAATTTTGATGCTTTTTTAAATGCACGCTGCCGTGACAGCTGTCACAAAGCAATCTAACAAAATCGTTTCGAATGAAGTTAGAGACAAGTAAGCACCGCTAGAGCCATCGTACGGGAAAAGAGTAATGGACTTTTTGGCCAACCCAGCACCAAATTCTCCCGCCTTCTCCCAGGAGTCTGCAACCTTTTTGAAGACCCCAGACTCCAAGGAAGATCCGCTGTAAGTGACATGTCATTCCCAGGGCAGGAACCGCACCTGCATGCGCACAGCATCCAGCACGTACTCAGGCAGTGACCTCCCTGCAGGGCCACGGACAGGCTTCGGAGAGAAAGCCCGGGCACAGACCCTGAGGGCCGGCTCACGGGAGCCCTCTGGCAGCAGGGCTGTTTTCTTCTGCTCCGTCCTCAGTCGCTTTGGGAGGCTGCGAGCCTGGGCGGCATCTGTGCCCAGGTCAGCACAGAGGCATCGCCTCTGATGGCCTCTCTGGCCACCCAGCTAGTGGACGCCCAGCTCGTGGACGCCGGCGTATTCAGCAGGGAGGGCGCCCGCGAGTGAGGGACGTGGGGTGCAGAGCCCCACGCTGACGGCTTTCTCTTGGATGCCGCCTCCCCAGCCTTCGCCACGGCCCTGAAGAACCTCTACCTGAGCCAGATGGACGTGGACTTGGATGACGTGCTGGAGGTGCTGGCCGCAGCTCACACTCTCCAGTTCAGCAGGCTGTTGAAAGGGTAAGAGGACACGAGCAGGCGCAGGCAGGGCCAGCCCCAGAGGGGAGATGGGATGGGGGCCTCCTGACCCCTTCACGGAGCAGTCCTCTTCCGTGAGCTGGGACGCCTGCGCTGTTTTGCACACAGCCTGGCTTTGAGTCTGCATAGGAACTGAGTAAGACACTGAAGTCCCCTAACGCACTATCAGCTCTCAACTGGGCCAGCTCCCCAGGAACATATTCATTTTGATGAATGATTCTTGACTCTCAGGAATGAAATGCAAATGGAGGGATTTCTACACCTGGGAGATATTCTTCAGGTGTGCACAGTGACTTCCCAGGAACACGCAAGCCATGCTTATCAATGTCACCTGCGTTCATCTTGGGCTAAAAATTCTCTCTCCATGTAGTCGCACACGCAAGAACCGGTCCTGTGAAGACAAGTAGGCTTTTCCCATCACTGTGAGGGCTCATTTTCCCCACTCATTTCTGACAGAGCCTTGTTTTCTCGTGTAAAAATATCATTTTTACAAATGTTACATGTGGTCATGGCAGATCTTCTGGGAGAGAGAAAAATTCAAAGAACAGCGTCAAAACTGCCCATCACTCCAGCTGCCCGTTTGGGACCCAGCCTTTCCCCTGGGCCTTCAGGTCCCGCTGGCACACCTGGGGGTCCTCTGGCCAAATATCCACATTCCTCTGACGAGGCTCCTTCCTCCAGGAAGGGCTCTGCCGCCGTCCTGGGGGTGAACGAGACCCTGGGTGGGGGGGCGGCAGGTCTGAGTGCAGCCAGGGGCCCCGGGAACAGCGGCTCTGTCTCTGCAGGTGTGTGGCCATGATGATCAGCGCGCTCACGCCAAGCAACGTCACTGACTTCTACCTGGCCGGCTGCAAGGTGAGCGCCGGGCAGGTGTGGGAGCGCCCGGACTCTGGGTCACGCCCCAGGCCCCGCTCCAACGTATCCACCGACGGTACCACCCCACGGGTGCCAATGTTTTATTTTGCCAGGCAAACAATTTTGAAAACCCATTTCATTTTGAAAAGGATATTTGAACTCCCTGAAGTAGAAAAGCTTTGATCTCAGCAGGAGAAGGGGGAGAATGAACAGCACAGCCTTTTCTCACCAAAGCAGCAAACCAGCCTCCGGAATATGGTAGTTGGAGCCGAGTGAAATTTGTCCCACCTGGGCCCGGTCGGCATTGGGAGTGAAGGATGTGGTCTAACTCTCTCGGAAAGCCGAGGGCCGAGGAGGAGCTGTCCGGCCAGGGTGACGCAGTGTCTCAGCAGCCATGCCGGGCCCACGCCCCAGGCCTCCTGACGCCAGCCTCCCACCAGGAGGCCGCTGCCCCTGAAACAGGCACGTTTTGCCTTAATGTTCGGTTCCCGCGCAGAACACAGCCTGTGCCGGTGTTCTTACAGCAGCATCTAAGAATGTTGTGGATGCCTGTTTTGTCAAAGAAAATGCACCGTCCTCCCCCTTCCTCCTTCTATCACTAGCCAGCCGCTCGGCGGGTGGTGTCTCTCCGTTTCGCCTGCCTTGCTCAGGTGCTTTTTGGTCTGGGAAGGACCGGAGCCCGCAAGACAGGCAAAATGTACTAAGACCCTGCCAGGGACCCCGGTCCCCCGAGACCTTTGCCACTTTCTCTGGACGTTCATTTTAGGGAACGCACTCACTGTGAGCCTTGCAACTCCACATGGGGTGGACGGGGGCCGGGGGGACGGGTGGCCTCCGTCATCAGCCACTGACAGTCAAGAGAGTTCAGTGTCCGAGCCCTGTAGTGAGACCACTGGGGGTTTCTGCCCGGATCTGCACTTATTCAGATGACCCCAGGCAAGAGCAGGGACCTGGGAGGCCCCGTTTCTCCATCGGTAAAATAAGGACGATTGTGAACCGGCCTCACAGTTTACCTATTTTTGATGAAAAGGTTTGAGCACGTCTGAGACAGGACACCCCAGAGAGCACACGTGCAGCCTCGTCACTGCCGGCAGAGGGCGCTAGAGTTCAGGGATTCCTTTACTTACTGGCTTTCCTTCTCAGTACAAGGAAGAGCTGCTTGTCACGGCCTGCGAGAGGTGGCTGGAAGTGAACTTGGTCCCCGAGGTGGGGAAGCAGATCCACCTGCGGAAAATCCCAAAGGACCTGCTCCAAAAAGTGCTGATGTCTCCCAGGTCAGAGGTGGTCCCAGGGCGTATGCATGTGCGTGTGCATGTGCGGTATGTGTACATGCGTGTATATGTGCGTGCACGTGTGCCTGGGGGAGCAGGGCTGGAGCGGGGGAGGAGATGCTCCCTGGGAGCAACATCCCCTCCTCTGCAGGACATACCTCCTCCATCCCAAACTTCCTACCCTCCTGGACAACTGGGGACGGGCTGGGGGACAGGGGCGGCGCGGGGCGGGAGAGTTGCTGAAATGCAGGGTCCTGTGCGCGGGGAGAGGAGGGCGTTCCCCTCGTGACATTCACCAGGGTGAAGACCCGCTGGGTGCCCGCCGTCTCATTACCCACCTGATAATTAATTACGGTAATTGCCTCAGTAATTTTCTCTAATCCTGCCAAGATTAATATACATTCATTGTGGACAATTTGGAAAACAGGGAGAAGCAGAAAGAGGGAAATAAAAGCTCTCCGCCTAAGTCAGCGTCTGTCCCCGGGCCGGACTCCTCTCCTGAGCGGCTCTGGGCCCAGACAGTCAGCTACCTGCCCTCTCTGACCGTTCAGGCTAAAACCCGACTCTCCGTGCCCCTGCCCCGAGTGCCCCGCCCCCTGCTGGATACCACTCGGCCCGCACTCCCCACGTGCAGTGAGTCCCACTTCTGGACCCAGCCGGTCACTGTGGGCCTCTCCCCACAGGCACCAGCATCCACAGGCCGAACATCCATGTGTCTCATCGAGACCCGCAGGGACCTTTAACTTGGGGTCTTGCACCTGCTCTTGACCTCCTTCCAATCCTGTCTCCAGCGCAAGGGCCGTTGGCCCGCCCCATCTGGCGGCCCTCCCCCACCTCACACACCGCTCACAGCCATGGGGGGCCTTCCTGAGACCCGGCCCCCTCCGCCAGCTCCTTGAGTGTGTTCCTCCCACCTGAATGCCCACCCCCCACTGGCTCCTCATCCTCCAGCTAATTCATGGAAACCTTCCCCAAGGCTTAGCCTCTTAGGTTACTGCCACTGTTTGACAGTATAAATAGGCCCCTGGTGACAGTACATTAAATTCCTAGAAGTGAGAGTACTCAGTTGAAAGGAATTTCTGTTTGTTTTTATTGCTATTTCTAAAATATTGTATTTGAAAATAATTTCAAGCAATTAAAAATTACAGGAATAGTACGAAGAGCATCTCTATACCTGTAACTCTGTTCAATTTGTGCCCTGTTTGCAGACACATGTATCTTTTCCTGAACCTTTGACGGTAGCAGCATACCCCATGCGTCCTTTCCCCTAAATGCTCCTGTGTTCATTTTCTAGTAAAAAGAGTATTTTATAATATAATCGCAAGACAGTGATCAGCTGAAATTCAACATTGAAGTAATACCTTAATATCATTGACCCACTACTGTGCTTTCTAGTATTTTTTTCCCAGTGCAGCTCAAATTTAGGTTCGCATGTCACATTTCCTTGCCGGTGCCACTCTGGGACTATGTAAAATATTTTTGGTACCTGCTGACAAGTTACCAAGACTGTTCCCTTTGGTGGGTTTCAGAAGCGAGAACTCCATGCTACCAGACATTTTAGAGGTGTGCTAGAACCGAAATGTTGCTCAGGCCCCTGCGGCGGAAAGCATCCTGGCTTCTGAAACTAGATGTGGAGAGACCTAGGCCACGGTTGGTCCGAATTTACCAAGGAGCCTCCAGGGTATGGAGAGACGAGTTGGGAGAACAGCGTTCGGGTGTTGAGGGAAACCGTAGCACCTAAAGGTGTCAGGAGCCGGGGTCCCAGGAGCAGCCCCAGGGCACCCACAGGGTGGGCTCCCGCCCGGGGTCATTCTGCCCTGCCCCTCCATACCCCCCCGCCCCCGCCCCCACCCCCACTTTTCCCCATAAGTGCACACCTCCTCCCTCCCCCCTCACCGCCCTGCCTCCTGCCACCAGGGGAGCAGAGGGTATACAACTGGTGAAGAGAAGATAAACAGAGCATCCCTTAGACATTTCGGAACACTGCCCCACCCTTGGAAAGACTCCGCTGCCCGGCCCTGGCAGCATTTAACCAGGCAAGGGGAAGAAAAGGTCTGACCGCAGGCAGAACATGAGTGATGGCACAAGCATTAGAAAACACGCGCTGGGCAGGAAAAGAAATCAAGAACATTACGTGTCAAGTGTCTAGACTCGTAAGTTTGGGGAGCATGACTGATGCTGATGTGGAAACTGGGTCCCGCTCCTCCGGCCCCTCCCCGGGAGCTGTCTGCACAGACGCCCGGGGACGGCGCAGCGTGGATCGGGCACGTCCCCAGCCGTGTGCCTGCAGCGCCCGGGCCGCCAGCTCCCTGACTCACATCTTCCAAAGTAAACTCTCCTCGCCCAGTTGATGCCCAGGGCCACCGGCTTTAACACGGGAGGGAGGTGGGGCGCAGAGGGCGCAGGAAGAGGGGGCTTGGGCCACACCCGGTGCCCGGTGACAGTGTGAGGAATTGACCCAGGTGCAGGCTCCACAGACTGCATTATTAAGAACTAACTTTCGGATGAGTTGACTTTCATTGACCATTTTGGGGTGTGTGCTGTGCTATGGGCACTGTCCCTTTCAGTCCCCACAGCCCAGGGCAGGAGGCAAAATCATTGCCCCTAAGAGAAGGGGAACAATAAGAGGGGGAGCTGGGCTCCTGCCCCGGCTCCAAGGTCCGGACTCCCACCCGGGTTACCATACCATTGCCTCGCTTGTCACAGAGGCCAGGGTTTCCCAGCAACCAACTCGGCCACGACAGGGGTGTCCTGGGAAGTTGGGTGGCCCCAGAGGGAATGCCACCCTCTCCCAGGGCAGGGACGGAGCGCCTTCGGCCCACGTCCCGGCTGTGGCCACGGTGTGCAAGCGTTGCTGGAACAGCACCCATCTCTCAGCTGATGCATCAGCTTCTGGCCTCTTCTCCTGCCAAAGTCCCTTTGACCTCATCCTTCTTTGGGTTTTGCTTTCCAACTTGTAAATAACCTGGAGTCACACACAGAGTTTTCCTGACCTCCTGGGCTTCTGGTTTTCACTCATCTGCCTGGCCCTCGGGTTTCCAGTTAATGTCCTTCTTAGAGGTCACCACTAGGTTACGCTGTTCTCGCTCTAACATGACCAAAACAGTTTCAAGGTCTGATTTTCTGGAAGCTGAGTTACTTGTAGACCAAAGAAGGTGGAGAGCACAGAGGCCTGTCCAGTTCCTGCCCATGACGGGCTGCCCTGCAGCGAGGGGGGACCATGTGCCTCTGTGTGTCACCTCTCCCTGACTTCCTGTTTATGATACGAGGAGTCTTGAGGGCTCAGGGATCCCCTAGGAAAAGCCACCAATGTTCTCCCGGGATGCCTGTCCCACAGCTTGTCCACTGGTGTCTGGAACCCCACTGGCCTCCCTCTCCAACATAACAGTTCCTGAAGCTACTGCGTCTCTGGTTAATAACAACAATGCCTGCGAGTTACCGAGCATCTGTGGTGTACAGGACCCTTGAGTGGGTTATCGGGTCTAATTCCTACAGCAACCCAGAGAGGGCGCTCTGTTACATACGTTTTGCCCCATTCAATGGAGACGATAAGAAATGAAGGACTGGCCCAAGGTCCTTCAGCATGAGAGCTGGGATTTGAATCCAGGGCTGAGTGGCCTCAAAAACCCATGGTCATGACTAGCCGACTGGTGTGCTGTGCTCCAGCCTCCCTTTAGCCCGATTGATGGTCAAGATCAATAAAGATATTGATGTTCATATTTTTCTATTGGAAAAAGAAATTTGCAAATGTAGGGGGGTAATACAAAACCCAATGGGCCCCACCTCCCAAGTGAACAAAGGGTAACATTTTGTTAGAAGTTAGAAAAGGGTGTACTACCCGTAAAGCCGAAGTCACCTTCGTGACTTCCCAGCCCCGCGCCCCGCCCCTCCGCGCGGCCTCCCTCCCCCCAGCTAAGGACAATCAAACCACTGTCGTGGACTTGTGCAAGCCCCATCTATGAGATTATATTCTTACTACACATACATGCATCCATAAATAATGCTTCATATTGTTTTGCAAAGGTTTAAACTTCAAGTGCTCTCATCGTGACCGTAATGTTCTGAAACTTAATTCATTCACTAACGTCAAGCGACGTGTCCCCTCCACATTGGTGCCTACATACCTAATCAGCATTTGTAATTTAATCATGGTACAGGGGTCCATTGAATGAATAGACAGGAATTTTTTCATTCCCTTCCTAACAGCCCTTTGTTTCATTTTGTTTGACTTCATTTTTTGGCTGCAGCAATCAGTGGTGCATTGAGCATCTTGTTCATATTTTTTTTGTTCTTGGCTTTCTCTGTGGTCTATATTCAAAAGGGATCCTTTGTTATTTATATATATGATTTTCTCAAAAAAAAAAAACAACAGAGGACAAAAAGTGTCTTGTTAAAAGCATTTTTTTTTTTTTTTTTTTTTTTGCAAAAAACAAACGCCAGGTACAGCCCAATAGCTCTTAGCGAGCACCAGCACTTAGCTTGCCCCGAGCGCCCACCTGCGGGAAGGCAGGTGGGATCGCTGTGAGTTCTCTCTTAAGGCCAGCAGCTCTCCTGAGCAAATGAAACTATGTTGGGATGTCCTCAGTGTGGTTACTTCCTGCAGGAACGAATACATCAGGGTACCGATATTCAGCCTAAGGCAGAGAGAGGGCTTCGTTTCAACAATTACCCTTCATCGTAAAAATAAAACCAGGATCCAGGTTCATGGAGCTCTCGTTGCAGCCCCCCCACCCCCACCCATGTTGCTGCGAACCCCTTTGGTAAGGTCTCAAAGAACCTGGGCCTGGGGATTTCAAGCACGGGTTCTGTCCCAGAGTCACGTGGCTCGCCCCTCGGTGGTGGCGGAGTCCTGGCAGAGTTCTCTGTGGGGACATCACACCAAGTGGCTCTATAACATCTCCCCCCTGCCTCACCATTATTGCCCAGACAGTGACAAATTTGTCCTGTCTGGCCAGGGTCAAAGCCCGTGCATCTGTAGGTGGCTTAAAAGCAAATAAGAGAAAAGAGACAGTTCTACTGTGTCCAGAAATAGCGTGAGAAGTGGGCGGGTGATATTTCCACTGCCCTTTAGAGTCACGATGTAGCTTGGGTTCCACCCACCCTGACCGTAAGTGGTAGGTGAAGAGACTGTGATATATTTTGAAGCCAGGGGGCCATCTCCATGGTCAGAGACGGAAAATACCAATGGGTTTAAGAAACACTGCAATGACTTCTTAGATAATCAAGGCCCAGAGGCTGTTCGAGAAGCTGTCTGGGAATCGCCCTTACTTTGCAGAGCTGACAGGTAGAGGCAGCAGCAGCTCTTCACCACAGGATTCTCGGCGGGGCTTCAGGCTGCTGCAGGCCAAGTGTGGGCCCTGCAGCCGGGACCCAGCCCAGCCCCTTATGACTTAGAGCTGCCATTCACCAAGCATGTTGCCACGAGCCAGGCGCTGCGCTAAGTGATCTGTGTATCTGTGGGCAGCTCAGTAATGGTCCCCAAAGAGGTCCCCATCCCAACCCCCAGCACCTGTGAATATGTTAGGTTGCATAGCAAAGGGGAATTAAGGTTCCAGATGAAACTAAGGTTACTAATTGGATGACATCAGAAGAGAAGGTGATCCTGGATTATCGTTTGGCCCAATGTAATCACAAGTATCCACAAATGTGGAGGCAGGAGGCAGAAGAGTCGGAACCAGAGAGGGGTTGGAAGATGCTCTGCCGCTGGCTTGAGGATGGAGGAGGGGGCCACAAGCCAAGGAATGCGGTGGTGTCTCAAAGCTGGAAAAGACAAGGAAGTGATTCTCTGCATGAGCCTCTGCGGAGCCAACCTCTGTATGATCTGTTTGGTCCCTCTGACCTCCTAACCTGTTAGATAATAAATGTGTGCATTGTTAAGCCGCTCGGTGCCTGGCAGTTCATCTCAGCAGCAATGGGGTTCATACAATGTGTCACCTCAGGTAGTCTTAACCTCTCTCCTCTGGACAGCTGCATCACCGTTATTTCACAGATAAGAGTTGAGGCTGCAGGGCCACCAAACAACCTGTGTGTAGGGGGGCGGGGGGGGGCGGTGTTCACAGACAGTCTGGGGCAGAACCGATTCATGCCTGGGTCTGACCTTGGAGTTGCGTGACCTTGAACAAGTTATCCGTGTTTCAGTCCTCAATCAGAGCTGAGGCTAGAATGTGATGAGAGGCCTTTGCCTCGGGTCCAAAATCTAGGGACAGGCGCCAAAAAGACCTGTCATCCAGGTTGCCTTAGTACAATATTTAAAAATAAAAAAATTAAAATGTGAAAAGCCGTGATGAACAAGTTACTACAATTTTAAATAAACGGTCAATCTCAATTTCCCCATCTGTAAAAGTAAGGACTATCCCAACTTTGCGGAATGGTTGCATGGATTTAAATAAAAGAATGGATGAAACATCTGGGGACCCCTGCTCATGATACGATGGCCATTATTTTGGGACAGCGAAGCAGGTGGATGGAAGCGCAGGCTCTGGCGCGAGGCCACTGCAGCTCCAATCCCAGCTCGCCATCTACCGGCCCCGTGACCTTGAGCAAATCATGCATGGCATGTCGCTTTATCTGAGGCTCCCTGCAGACTCAGGGGTGGTGTTGCCTCCTTCCTAAACTCACTGTTAACTTTTCATTCTCTTACAAACAGTGCGGGGTTTTTGGCTATTCCTACAATGTCCTCTCGATCTTTTATTTTGACCAGGTTGTTTACTTTTAGTGAGTTTCATCTTCTGAAAACACTGCTGTTGTGGGTCTACTTGCAACTGAACTACAGAATTCAGGCAGTTCCGGAGTATGAAACCATGCTGACCTTTTTTAAGAGGTAATATAACTTAGTGTTGATTGGTGAGATGTACTTACACTTTTTTTTGGCTCATAATATTGGGGAGAAAGCATCAGTGATATTATTTTTCATAGCATCTTTCAGAGTGCATAGCATGCAGTTTTCTTTATGGGGCCCAAGATTACGTGATGTCTTTGGCCCGCTAGACTCCTTGAAAATGTGAATGATATGTAGGTATTGGAATATTGAGATAATCTTGTGATTCTGAGAACTTGTGTCCAGTAAAAGATACAATGCAAAAGCTACTCCTTTTATTCAGGAGAATTACCACACAACACTGACGTTAAAAACTTCATACTTCAAACGTACCTAAATCCGACCAAGTCATTCTCATTGATATTTCACTAGAGATCATATAAAATCCTGAACTTTCTGGACAAGTGAAAAAGCATTTGAGCATGCAAAGATTTCATAGAATTAATCCAGCTTCTTATACTCTGTAAATGTAGCAATTCTAAAAGTTGTGTGTGTCAACATTTCACTGAAAAATAACAACTGCAGTTTAATAATGAGCACCGTTATGCTTACTAAATGCAGTCATTCTGACACGCATCTACTTGTAATCTCATTTAATCTGCAGGAGACTCGGGGGCTGGTTTCTTTACTCCCATTTTCCAGATGAGGAAACCGAGGTAGAGATGAACTATTTTATCAGAGGTCGTACTTGTGAAAAGGGGTGGAGCCTGACTTGCACCCAACTCCCCAGAATCCCAGGAGGCTTTGCTGTTCCTAGAACAGCAGCTAGGATTCCTCTCTGGTGCCAGTCTAGCTGTTCAGTACCAGCTCCCTGCGCATGGTGTTCAGAAAGATCCTGAGGCTGCCTCTAGGCTCTGTGTGGCTAATTACTCCTCGTATTGCCTTGCATTGCTTTTCTCCCCTCATTGTGTCCCCCTCCGCCTATAAGTGGCGTCAGCTGTGGCAGCCTGAGGCCAGGGAGCAGGGTGGGGTGAGTGTGAAAGCCATAGTTTATGGGATCCATTTGGTGTCTCCTTAGCCTCTGTTAAAACTGTGTGAAATATGCTCACGTCATCCAAACTGGCTTTGGAGTGCGATGACCCTGTAGCCAAAGGCAGTCCCCAGTGGCCCTCAGCCCATCTGCCCTAGACAGGAAGCAGCTGGTGGCATTACCCTCATGGTCGGGTCTCGGGCTCCGCGCCCCGCATCAGCAGTCACGGAGCCCCCAGCATGAGGAGGCCTGGTCAAGGAAGTCAGGAGGCTCCATTTCTCCTGCCCTGCGGGCTCAGCGGACAAACACATCCCCCGCATATGCGTCGCATAGTGACCTGTGAAGCCAAGTTTCGTGTGCATTGTTCTGCAGCCTCGAAGCTTTTTCTGGAACATCTGTGCACCATGTTAAGTGCAGAGTCCTTTTTTTTCCTGTCTCATTATTTGGAGGAAGCAGGATCCGGTGCCAAAGTGACACGGACTTTGCTTCATTTCTGTATAGTTTGCTTTGAACCCAAATGCTTTAATGCCTCCCTTCCCCCTACACTTTTAATAGCGCAAGAGACACTTTTTCCTATGAGTCATGCACACCAGGAAAGTTGCTGTTTGGCTCCGGTTTAGGTCTCATACTGGAAACGTCTTAGAACCAGGAGATAGGAAATGAGCTAGAATGTGGGTGATTCACTGGAACTCTGTTTCAGTGGAAAAGAAACAAGTGGGGCTGAGAGAGCAACGGCCTGTGGGCCCCTCCATGGAAAGCGGGGTCTCCTCAGCCATCCCCGACCGCTGTGGCCTCGAGGCCTTGTCTCCCCCATGGGTACTTCTCACCATCGTGGCGTCTCCATTCCTCTTGGATTGACATGAATTCCACGTTGACCAAACCTCACCGCTCCTCACGGTGTTTCCCCAAGGCCCCGATCCCGCATTAGCTTTCCCGGCTGGAAACCGTTGGCATGTTTCCAGTAGCCTCACTGCCCCAGCCTACGTTCAATGACGGATGCACAGGTGTGAATCCTTACGGCCTGGCGACACGCCGGCTCCCTCGCCCCTCGTCCCCGCCTCCAGCAAGCTCTGTGTCCCCCCAGGACAAAGGTGGGACAGCCCAGGCCTCTGATGCTCTTCCCCTGTGGAGGCCCAGGCCCACTCCCCACTGTGAGCAGCACAGGGCTCATTTCTAGTGTCACAAGAGGCCTTTCTCCTGTTCCAGCTTACTCGTCTGCCCAGAGCTGTGGTACCTATAAGGTACCCCCATCAGTGGCCTCCACGTCCCTAACCACGTCCCTGAGGCCCCAGGCTCCCGAGCCTAGGGAACAGCATCGCTGCCCCTGCGTACCCCACCCAGGGCTCGGCCTCCTCTCCTCGGCCTCTGTGACCAGCCCCCTGTGAGCCCCTGGCGCTTGTATGCGCCCTGCCTGCCCAGGTACACAATGAGCAGCTTAAAGGAAGCTAGCACAGCACTGGGCTAGACATGTAGCAAATTAGATATAGCAAATTAGATATAGCAAATTAAATGAGATTCCATCGAACATGTTCACGTAGCTCAGTTCCCTCAGAGAAACGGGTCTTACCGTGCTGATGAAATTCAGAGAGCACCATGTCTGTGGTGCCATGTAGTAACAGGGACCGCAGACAGATGTCCATGTTTGTTGATGGGCAGCTCAGTGCACCGGACAGGTAGGGTTCTAAGACTTTCTCTAGGCTCAGTGAGAGGTAACGTCTCGGCAGGTTATTGACGCCGGCCCTGACATGGGAGTGGGCCGTGGTGGCACCCAAGCTCCATGCTTGCCATCGCTCCCCGAGGGTCACCGGGGCTGACCAGCAGCTGTGCACGGTCCCGGAGCTGCTGGTCCAGCGGGACTGGTGGCCCGAGGGCTCGGGCTGCAAGAAGTCACCTCAGCTCCCGCCTGCGGGAAGTCATGGTCAGCCTGGGCCAGCACTGGGTCACCAGGGGAGGTGATCGACAGAGTTCAATGGAAGCCAAAGGGGTCGGCTAATCTGTGACTACTGAGAGGGACATGCCAGGAGAATCTCAACCTGGGACAGAGGAGTGGCTCTCCTGGGAGTCCGTACACAGGCTTGGGAATGAGAAGCGAGGAACACTTGACTATTTGGCCCAAGTTTTAAAGTTGCATCTATTGATGAAACCATTTCAATGGCAAGGTGATTTATCAGCTCTCTCTCAGGTTGGGGAGCAGCAGCCAGAGTGGACATTTTGAGGCCTTACCAATATAGGCCTGTATTTTCATGGTGTGGAGGCTTCGGGGCAAGCCGGGCAAATACTAGCTAGCGAGGCCCGGAGACCCACAGGACTGTGTCTGGCTGCTGCTGGGGGTCTGGCCTGGGCTGGCGCAGTGCCTGCAAAGGGCTGAGAGCAACACTTGAATAAAATGAATCAGGTGCCCCTTTTCTCAGCAGTCTTACCAATGTCCGGAAGGCAAGTGAGGAGGGAATGGGTTCACATAGTCGCCTTCTCCAACTGTACCTGCAGGTGAATCCAACCCTTTCCTACGCTCCTGTTTTCTTTATTGATCTTTTCAATCTTTCCTTTGTTCCACAAATATTTATGGCATGTGTACTGTGTGCTAGGGACGCTGACGGAAGGTTGAATGGGTAGTTTCTCTACCTAGCCAGGTGTTCAGGAACATCTTCAAGCTTATTTTGTTGCTGTCCAAGTGCATCAAAATAGGAAGGAAACAGACACACACACACACACACACACATACACACACACACACACACTACCCCTCGGCACCCACAGCCTGTTTTCCTGGCAATGGTTATTTTAGAAAAACAAAAAGGCTGTCCAGAATTAAATTTAACATTTCCTTGTAGGGAAGACAAACAAACAAAAAAATGTACGCAAAGCCGTTGCCTCTGTCCGTGGAGAGAAAGTCAGCATTTCATTCCGCTCAGCGGCCTGAGAAGTCCAGGAAAGCTGTGAAAACTCACCAACTGGAGAGCGGCCAGGGGAAGGCAAATCATTCGCTTTTTAAAAGTACATTTTTTATTAGATGACTTTATTTTTATTTTATTTTTTTAAAGATTTTATTTATTTGTTTTCATAGAGGGGGAGGGAAGAAGAAAGAGAGGGAGAGAAACATCGATTGGTTGCCTCTTGTACACTCCCAACCGGGGACCTGGCCTGCAACCCAGGCATGTGCCCTGACTGGGAATTGAAACAGTGACCTTTCAGTTCACAGGCCGGCGCTCAGTCCACAAAGCCACACCTGCCAGGGCTAAGAGTACATTTTTAATCCAAGTATAAAATATACACAGAAGAGTGCACAAGCCTAAAGTGAACAGCAATGAGTTTCCACAAAGTGCACACACCTGCCTACACAGCGCCCGGACCAAGAAACAGAACCTGACCAGCCGCTGAACTAAAGGCCTCATCGCAGCCATCTGCCTCTCCCCCACTTCCTTGTACTTTGAGATCTCAGTGGTGAGGGCAAGTCGTTCACAGACCCGTCATCCTTGTCCTTAGTCAGTGTATTGGTCATTCAGTGGGTCCCTCAGACACCGCCAAGGTGGGCCCCAGCCATGGGCCTGCAGCCTCACTGGAAGGAGGTCAGCGTCCGCACAATCCCAACTGCGCAACGCCCCTGAGCCCTGCAGCTGGGTCTCCCCCTCCTGCGCCCTGTCCAGATCCGATCCGCCCTGACGGAGCTAGCCAACCACTCCTCCAGGAAGCCTTCCAGGTCTCCCCCGCGAGCCTCTCTTTGCAGAGAGAACATGAGCTGGCTGTATGGGCGTGCGCCAGCGCGCAAACCCAGCCCCGCCTGCCCCCGGGGAGCCACCCGGGCGCCACAGCCCACTGCTAGCTCAGGGGACACGCTCTGTGACGTGGTGTGCCAAGGATGGGAAGAGGCCGTGTGTCTCTTGTGACTCATGGATGGCATTTGCAGAGTCACCCGTGACTCATGGCCGCGAGGACCATTACATTGTTCTCTCTTCGAACCGCTCCGCCACCCCCAGCGCCTGGCAACCACCATTCCTTCTGTCCCTACGAGTTTGCCTGCTCTCGGGACTTCAGAGAAGTGGAATTAGACAGTATTTATCTTTGTGCTTCTGGCTTATTTCACTTAACATAATGTCCTCAAACTTCATCCGGGCTGTAGCATACGTCAGAATTCCGAAATGCGTGCAGACGATCCCTTACTTGCAATGGTTTGACTTGGGATTTGTTCACTTTACGGTGGCGAACCAGGTGCACATGTTCAGTAGGGACCACACTTTGCATCTTGAAGGCTGATCTTTTCCCGGGCCGGTGGCGTGCGGAACGATACTCTCATGGCGCTGGCCAGCAGCGGGATGATTTGGCCCGACTGTAGGCTAATGCACGTGTTCTGAGCACGTTTAAGGCAGGCTGGGCTGTAGGTTAAGTGTATTCAATGCATTTTTGACTGATGACATTTTCCACTTAAGATGGGTTTATCAGGACATGAGCCGGGAGCATCTGTACAGTGTTTTCACGCTAACACTTGAAGGGCGGGGCCTCAGGGGGCTCTGAGCCTGAGACTGGGCAGAGAGGGCAAAGGCTCTGGCAGATGCAGGATGGAGGAGGAGGAGGGGGAAGGGGGCGGCTGAGTGCTACTCTAAGCCGGGGGCCGGGGGGAGCTGTCCGGGCACAGCCTTTCAGCAAGTCTGTCCTTTCAAGAGGAATGTGTCCCCAGAGCCTTGAGAGCAGGACCCAGAGCCAACCTGATGTGCCTTTCAGTATCAAGATCCTGCCAAGCGTCCTCTCCAAAGGGGTCACGCCCTTCGGGTTTGTCGATGAACTCCAGGAGGCAGAGACCACGGCCGGAATGTGTCCCGGGAAAGTCAGCGCTAAACCGGCGGTCCCTCTGCAGACAGTGCCCAGGGCAAGGGAGCCATGCCAGCTTCTGACCCACCGACAGCCACACAGGGAGGTCGCCAGCTTCGCAGCCAGCCTCCTCCCACTTTATGTGACATCGGATGAACGCGGTGACTCATCATTGACAGAACAGCTGTCTCTGCACCTGGACAGCTGAGAGGAGCCCGGTTCAGGGGCAGGCACGTGGGGCCGGACTCAGGGGACCTGGGCAGAGTCCTGGCTCTGTAGCCATTGACCCCACTGGGCCCCCTGGGCGGGGTGACGCTGATCAGCTCACGGGGTCGGAGGCTCTGAGGTTTTAGAAAATCCGCAGCTGAGGTCACCATGTTCTTCCCTTGGGAGGGCCCACGGCTTGGGCCAGTTAGAGGGCGGCGCTGATAATGAGTGCCACCAAGACCGTCCCCACGCACGGGGCAGCTGCCGTCCAGGTCTTTTCCCTGGGATGAGAGGACAGTGGCGCTAACCCTGGCACTGAGGGGTCCCTGGGGATCAGCAGCTGTGCCACACACCTCGCAAGCCCTGCCACCTTACGCCTCCCAACTCCTTCTGGGAGGCACCTGTGGCTAAAGTGCCCACTTGACAGAGAAGGAGATTGAAGCTCAGGGAGGCTCGGCCCCATGACGGATGGCCGGCTGGCCCAGGGCCGGAGCCTGATCTAGCTCCAGGGCCCAAGCCCAGGGACCTGGCTGGGCGATGGGGGAGCTGACCTATGACCTCGCCACGTCAGCCACCATCAATGCCGCTTCCCTGCAGCCCAAAGGAGTTATGAAGTTCAGTCACCTTTCTCAGCATATCCCTTCCCGATTCCTTTGGGAGAGGAGGCCTGTCCAAAGAGGTACTGGCTGACGGTCCGACGGGTCTGAGTGCCTCGCACGGGAGCACGGGGACCTCGGTGCCCTCGGACCTCGGTGCCCTCCTCTACTCCCCCCAGAGCCGCAGCGCCGGTGCCTGAGGGCTGCTGAGCAGGAGGGGAAATGCCACCCTCCTGACTCTCCTTTTCCTCCTGGGACGAAGCTGCACGTAGTCTGCAGCTCCAGCAAGCTCTCCTCGGGCGCCGCGCCAGGCCGCGGGCAGCCTCGCCAAGGGCACGGGCTCCTTCCCCGGGGCCCTCGGCTAGGCCGGGGGACGGCACCCACTCGGCCCCTTCTTCCCTCCTGGGCACCTCTGCCCACCTGAGATGCCACTTCACTTGCTCCTCCATGGAATGGTGACAGGGAGCCTGGGAAGGAGGAACCCCCAGGTCGGGGACAGGAGGCAGATGAGTGTAATTTATCCAGCTAAGAAATCTGTGTTCTCAGGGCACGGCCCCTACAAGCCCAGCTCCACCTGCCCTGGGGGCTGGGGGACTGGTTCCAGGTTCAAGAGCCCTGCGATCCCAGAGGGATCGGCCTTTCTTCGGTTATGCTTGATCTGCCCCCTCCCAGAGGCAGGCGCCCAGTGGATTCTCATAACCAATCACTGCACTGAATCAATGCATTCGTCTTTGCACGCTTCTCCCCCGCACACACAGTTCCTCAGCACCCCAGCCCTCCCTCCCAGGCCACTGACATGGAGAGGCGGGGGAGAGGCCCCGCAATTCCAAGATGTTATGAAAACGGATGGTCCCCAGGGCAGGCCGGTGGCTCCTCGGGCGGACGCAGGACGCAGGGCCAGTGATGCGTTTAGTCTGGCCGGGACAGGGTGTGATTTGGACATCACTCCTGATTCATGGAAAAATAATCTTAAAGTGCCTTGGCTGGTCTCCTGCAGGACCTGCCTTGAGGGAAGGACTTAGTGTTTCCAAAGGGACTTGGAAAACATAATCCCCTTGTCCCCATATGTGAAAAGTGACCATTGGATGAAGCCAGTTGTTTCACAACCAGAGCGGTAGGTGTCGGTCTGTGTGTCCATGTGTCCTGGAGGGCAGTCATGTCCTCTGAACCCGGCCTGACCTCCAGCCACGGGCGGGAACAAGCTGGAACTCGGTATTCACACCGACGGCCGTGGAAGCAACCGTGAAACCCGCTGCCGGAACTGCTTACCTCCTCCTCCGGCCTTTTTCCTTTTCCATTCCATCTGGAAGTGCTTTGGAAGTGCCTAAATTGGCCACGTATTCCAAGGGCACCAACGTGCCGAGGAGGCATAAGAAGTCCCAAGCTCAGGTCCTGGCTGAGCTGTTGCTGTTCATCTGTCAAGGGGAGCCTAGGATACCTGCCCTCCCTGCCTGTTCCCTGGGAAGTTGCAGAGGCTCAAATGAGAAAATGTATCTCAGAATCCTCTATAGAATAACATGTGTTCCCATCAATCATTTAGTAAGCATTTGCAGGGCACCTGCTATGTGCCCGGCTCAGCAGTAGGCAGAGAGAGGAATGTAACCATTTGTCTCATTGCAGTCTCCGGGGTCAGCCTTCACGTAGGTCATCCCTGCCACATCTTGCTCCCACACCCCTCCCCGACTAAGAGAGGACCAGGCCTCACCTACCCCTGGCTGGCGAAACCACTTGTGTCTTGGACATGGCTTTCCCTCACCCTAACTCATCCCAGAGAGGTGTTTTCTGAAGGTCTTTTCTTCCTCTTTGTGCCTCTGCCAAGCCTCCCCAAGAAGAGTTGCTTTCTGGACCAAGAAGACGAACATGGCTTGATGCCCCTCTTCCGTTGCCTGCGTCTGCATGGCATCATCAAAGGTAAGCCCCCAGCCCGTGGGAGTGTGCCCTTGGAAGGTTATTGGGGACCTGCCCCTCCTGATATTTTCAAAGGTATCGCTGAGATCTGACATTGTCGCTTCTGAGCTGTGGGACACTTAGGAAAGCCGCTGTCTGGTCTCAGTTTATTCATCTGAAAGTGCTTATAAGCTGAGCTTCCATGAAATAGGACGGTGGATCGTGAAGGCACACAGCTGCCAAAGGCCACATGGCTGCCACCCTCCCTGGGCCCTGCCTCCTAGCGCGGCAGCCCCTTTAGGTGGCTCATTTCGCGGGTTGGGAGAAAACTTGGGGGCTGTGCTCTAGATTTGTGCCCCCAAAACCTCAGGCTCTGGTCCCAGAGGAAAGCAGCTGGGACTTAGAAAGGGGAGGGAAACACTGGGGAGTGTGTTTTGGGCAGCCCAGCAGGCCACCCAGTGAGATCTTTGTGTGCGAAAGGACATTGGAGAACTTTTCAGGTATCCAGATAAAAAGGGCAGCTCTAAGCCCCAGGTGTGGGGGATGGGGCCCAGGCAGTCGTCCAAGTTGCTGCTAGACGCTCTGGAGACACTGGACATCGGATCTCAGCCCCCTGTCCTCAGGCAGGACGGAGCCGGGGGCTGTGGACGCTCTGGGGGAAGTGCTCTGAGTCTGTAACATCCCGGCTGGGGCCCCGCGCACCTTATGACTCCCAGGGTCCTGGGAAGGACCGCCAACCCTCAGCTCCTGGCTTCCTCCCTTTTCTCTCTGTAAATGGGACTTCTGTGACTCTCTTTTGAATAAACCCATAAAACCTTTCCCTTTGTGCTTCTTCCAAGGCAAGGACCTGGATGCGTTAAGGCGCATTGACTTCTTCCCCGAGTCCTGGCTGCTCCAGGTCACCGCCCACCATTACCACTCAGTGAGTCGCCAGCCCGGCAGGAAAACAGTTACCGAAAGTTACTGCCTCTCTGACTTGGCTGTTTCTGGAGACGTGTTTTGCATTTGAAATCTCTGGGCCTTTGAGGTCGGCATATCTGGATCCTCTGCCAGGGGAAGTGGGGAGAGCCAAGCCCCGGAAGGGGCGGAGGGAGGAGGCCTTGGCGCCCAGGTGCTCAGAGCATCTGTCCTGTTGGCCTGGGCAGTTAGAGTGGGCGGAGAGGCGCCACCGCGCCGCCCTCCAAACCGAGTCCCCACCAGACGCAGATGTCTCACATGTGCTTCTTCCAGAAAAGTTTCAAAATGCAGAGAAATTGAAAGAAAGACAACACATACCAAATATATACCCTCCGACCCATCACCCAAAGACAGCCCCTGCTGACATCTTATTGCATGTGATTGCCTTTCTCTTTTTTTTAATACACTTAATTAAATGGGCTCCTTAACACCCTATTGAATGGCTGCAAACTCTCCCACCAAGAGGATATTCTATTACCAACGCTACTTTGCCATTCCTTTATCATAGAAAAATGTATGGTGTTTCTAATTATTAGTTAGTTATTCTAGGACTGCATGGTGAATGTACTTGTGCATAATGGTTTATTTTACCTTCTTGGAGCTATTTTCTTATAGGAGATTCTGAAGAGTGGAAAAATACTGGCCCCAAAAGGAATGTGCATCTTTGTCCTTGATTCGTATTAATAAATTTGGGGCCAAATGACTCTCCTCCCTGAAGTAATAAAAAAGCGTGCCTTGCTTTGTACACGTTCAGCAGTGTAGGGCACGTTTCTTTCAGATCACTTGTTAACTGAGACGTGAACAATGGCATCTCACTTTCTAACGGGCATTTCCTTTCTTCACTGGTAAATGTGAATATTTTCCCATCTGGCATTTCCTCCTGGGTGAATTGTCTATGCAAACGGTTGTACTTTTTATGTGTTTCCAATCTTGCGTTTTCAGGGATGAAGTAGGGTAGTGTGTGAGTTCTGGAGATGTCTGAGTCACTAGTTAACATTCAGTTCAGCTCAACAAATGCCTATTGTCATGTGCGAGCCACAGAGCTCCGTGCCCCTGCACAGCAGAGAAGGTCTCTGTGGGACCATGCCTCTCTGAGACCTGATCCAGAGCCGTGCTCTGACACAGCAGGGAAGGGGAGGGGCCACGGAGAAAGGGGACGTCTCCAGGGCTGGGCGACTCAGGAAGTCCCCCACCGCCCGCCTCACAGCCTCCTGACCCTGCCCACCTGCTCCCTTTTTCCTCTGTGCTCCTGAATGTCGTGCTCCCGAAATCTACCGCCTCCCGCCCCGGCCTGCAGGTGGGGCCGGCCACGTGGGGCCGTCTTTGCCCTTGACCTTAGGACTGAGGTCCTTCTCTGCCTCAGGACCAGGCTACTTCTGCACACACTGGGTTTCCCCAGTGAGACTCCTCAGGCCGTTCTCTTGCTGTGGTCTTTGCATCCTCTGAAAGCGAGGCGCCCAGGACCCGGCCCTGCGTGGGTTTCCAGGCAGCACTGTGGCCGGGTGAACGGCCAAACGGGGGATCCTGCGGCAGAACCCTTTCCAGCGCAGCGGGGTGGCGAGGCTCGGTGAACGGATGGGAAAGCGGTGTCAGGGGGTCCGGCGGCCGGTGAGCTGTGTGTGTTTCCTTTCCAGGCGGAAAGTGGGGGCGACATGATTCACGTGAGAAATTTTGCCACCGAGGCCGTGAGAGTCGGGCTGCTCTTCAGCCAGGTACTGACCACTGGCCTGAGTAAGGGGGAGAACGGTCCCCCCGTGCTTGCCCAAGGGCCTTCCTACGGATCACGTCTTACCTCTGGTGGGAAGGAAGGCCAGGACAGAAGAGGAAGTGGCAGCTGTCTCTTCTGCAGGCTCAGCACCCCCAGGAAATAAAACTTTCAGGACAGGGGCCTGGGAGAGGCCACTCAGTAAACCGATGTGTGCGTCCCAAGTATCCCATGTAACGCACAGTCCTGGTTTTCAGGGAGGGCGGAGTTTCCATTCTAAAACCAGGAAAGGCCTGGCCAGGCCAGCGTGAGTGGGTCAACCATCTTCTCCCCACCACTCACACAGATGCCAGCTGCTCCGTCAGGGAAACCGCCCCCTCCCCCAAGCCTGGGTTTAAGGTTACGAGGGTGAACCTTTTCTGGGCGGCTATTTTGAGGGTCCCTGGAATCAAAGTAACAGTAGGTTGGGAGGCTCAGCTGCCGGGCAGCAGGGGGCTCAGTCACCGGGGGCGGGGGGGAGGCGGGGTGCGTCTGGGCTGGAGGCTGTGTTCCGGATTCCCTCTGATAGACACAGTTCCCCACCAAACGGCTGCTCTCCTTCAACTTCTTCAGAGCCACCCCATGTTTCAGGGACTGGGGCCCTGAACCTGTCATCAGAGATGCCTCTCTGGGTCAGGCTTGGAGGGGTCAGGTCCAGCCCCTTATTTGAGAGACCTGCTCACCTGGACAGACGGCAGACAACCGGGACTGGGACACCTTGCCATGCCATGAGTATGGAGTGTCCTTTAGGCTCATCAAAATGGAGTGAAATGCTTTGTTTTAAATGTCTGTGGGACATGTAGGGCAAGCGATAGTGTCATCTAGTGCTATCCTGTAGGATTTGTGAAGTCACTACAATTTGACTTTTCATAGGCTTCCTATGCTGAAGTGTCTATTGTACCTTTTTCTTATTGCATTTCTCCCCATTACCATTTATTCCCCTTACACCCTTCTCCACTCCCCCAAGTTATTGTGTTTTAAATCAGTTTTCAAATTAGTCGCTTCTGTCGTTGTCGCTAGAATTTGTTTTGCTATATCCTCGTGCCCTCGAATGCTGAAGACTTTTCCCCTGTCACATCGTTGTTTCTTTCCCAATTTAGGAATATGCAACTTATTCCAAAATAATCACTGTGTATGGATTCTTCTTTGAGATGAAAGGAATAAAAAATGATAGTACATCTTACAGTTTTTACATGCAGGTAAGGAGGACGGGGCACAGGGAGGGTGCGTCTCTGAAACAGCCTTTTAGGTCCAGGGTCAATTCATACTAAACTAATAACAATGGATCGATCATTATTTAGTAACTAGTATGGAATGTGGTGTAAGCCCGGCGCTAATCGCACTCACCGATGCGACGTCGTTTGATTTCTGCAACCACCTTGGGAGGTTGCTGCTGTTAGGCCACATAACAGGTGAAGATCTTAGGACCGAGTGTCTTCACATTCACACGGCCCCTGCTGTCAAAGCCAGGGTTAAAGTCGAGATCTGACTCTACATTTGGGGCTCAACTCATCTGCAGTTCCCGCAGAGTGGGCGAAACTTTACAGGTGGCCGTTCTTCCGTGGAGGCAACAGGAAGAGCCCGAGGGAGAGGGGTTGGTCCTGTGCAGAGTGGCAAAGCAGGGCAGTGGACGGGACAGCAGAGAAGCCAGGAGGGCGAATGGCGTCGCAAGTGCTCCTGCGAGACTTTCAGGAGAGGCAGGAGGGTGCTATGTTTAAGGACAAGGAGTCTCAAGCCAGAGCCTGGCGAGCCGTAAGAGCCTGTCAAGCCCGTGAACTTACCTCGCCGGGTTGTTGGGAGTATTAATGTGTTAATGTGTGCAAAGGGCTTAGGACAGGGCCTGACACATGAAACCCTCTATGATGATGAAAGCGATGCCAATGTCAACTACAATGAAGGACCGCTATGTTCCTCTTAGGATTTGCCTTGTAAGTCTCTAAGACTTCAAGCTCCTTGAGAAACTTTTACTATTTTAGTATTAATCTTTTTTACTCTCGCCACCAATCGCAGTACCGGGGACGTAGCGGAGGCATGGCCGTCTTATGCATGGATAGGTGAATAAATGCGCCGGTGAAGAGGCCTGACTTTTAGTCCCAGCTTTGCCGTTACCTCATTAGGTGGCCTTGAGCAAGTCATGTCTCTTCCTTGGATCAGTTCCTGGTCCTCAGGGACCCAGTCATTTCCCTCCCTACATCACGCATTTCATTGATGGAAGAGATGGATTGTGTAACAATACAAGCTGAAATGCTCCTATGAATACTACGTTGGTTTTTAAATTCTGACAAAGTGAAGGGAAGACCCTCCAATTTAATAAGCGTGACTTCACAACGTTTCTCTGGGTTGGCCAACCCCCAGTCTGCTGGCCTGTGGCTTGCGGCTGACTCCGCAGCAGCGGCGCTCAGGAAACGCGATGCAGGGGAGAGGCCCTTGTGTGCGCCGCCGCACGTAGCATGCAGCAGGGCCCATGTGCCAGGAAACAGGTGTCGCTCACTCTGGGTCACCCAGTGTCAGCCCCAGCTAAGACGATCACCCTCCTTGCAGAGAATAAGGCACAAGGACGTGGGAGTCCCCTCCTCGGCCTGCGAGCACAGGCTCGTCAGCATGAGAGCGGAGCGCATGGTCAGATACGAGATCAGGGCCCAGGTCCTGGTGGACAGCCAGTGGCAGGAGTTCAGGACGAGTGAGGTCCTGCAGAAGTTTCGGTTCGCCGGGCGCTCCTGCAAAAGCCAAGTGAGTGTCTTTTCTCTTTTATTTCACTTTTGCTCTTTCTCGCCTGTACCCGTTTGCGGAAGGAGCGAGTCACTGGCTTCACATCTCCGGGGACCTACAGGAAAAGCTTGCACCATTTCATCAGGATTTTCACAGCTTCAAATAACACCAAATAGAAATCCCTGGGAACAGGAGTCTAGGGATACAGAAAAATATAACCCAAACCGCACTGCCTGTGGCAGTGACGCGAGATCCGTTTTGCAAACGTCAAAGGGGTTTTCCCAGAGGAAGGGAGGTTTGGTGGAGTGTGTTTGCTCCCACGACCTTCACTCTTGGCTGGACATCACCCGTCACTTCCACCGAAATCCACGGCTTGGCCCACCTGCCTCCACGGGCCATCCGGAAACTGCCCGAGAGTTTACCTGTCGTCCTAGGGGGAACTCGGGGGTACGACTTCTGGGAGGGCCTGGCCTCCCATGCTGCCCTGGTGGGAAGTGGGGCTTGGCCTGCAACCGGAGAGTAAAATTCTCAGTCCTGGCTGCTCACCAGCATCACCTGGCCCTCTGCAACATCTCCAGGGTGGCCCACCACCCAGGTGAGAGCAGAGACCGTATTTTGCCATGTATAATGTGCACTTTTTGCCCACATTTTTGAGGGAAAATAAGGATTTGCATTCTACACGGGCAGTACTAATTCTGTGTCTATATAAATGTGTTTAATTCTTTTATTTATGCTTATGCATTAAAAGTATAACTCTAGAAAGCAGTAATGATACCTGTGTGTTCAAAAATAAATGCTAAACTCCCTTTATAATACAAAAAACAAGCATCTAAATATAGATGAATAAAAAACTGAATGAAATAATTACAATGAAAGATTTTTTTTCCTGAAAGTTTGGGCCAAAAAGGCGGGTGTGCGTACACCCAGCCAAACACAGTATTTCCTGGTGGCTCCCAGGTGTCAGTGTCTTTTTAAGCTTCCACGTTACTCTCTCTGATGTTAGAAACCAGAAGAGTCACCTCCTAGGGGCGGTGGGAGTGGCGAAGGCCCGATGCTGGAATTCTGGACGGACGGTTCCGAGGGGCTGGAAAGGGTCCCTGTGGTGCCCAGGGTGGTGGCGCCCAGGAGCGCTTGCTTGTGGCAATTCATCAAGTGGTGCCCTTAACCTCTGTGCACTTTCCTGTACTTTAGCTATACTTATATTTCTTCAAAGTTCCTTTTCAAGGCCTTTTCTCGGTGACTCTACTAGAGTTGAGAGCGAACGCTCTCCGGGCCTCCCTCCGCTCCCTTCAAGGGCCACTTGTATTTCTTGGAACAGCCCCATCTGCTTTGTTTTTGTTCCCTCTCTTAGGTCCTGAAAGTCCAAACTGTGGGCATCCCGATCTATGTAAGTTTTTCATTCACCTTCCCAGTGTCTTGACGATTTCGACAATTTCCAGAAGAATCTGTGGACTTTCTTTCCCCTTCCACTGGTCTGCATAAAAGACAATAAAATGACAGAAAGGGACTGTGTGAGTATTCAGCGGACTTTCCCAGTCAGCAAGCATCTCAGTCGAACTCTTGCCCATTGTCTCCGACTTTTCGAGACTAAGCCACTGGGTGGCTTATAAACAACAGAAACCTATTACTCACGGTTCTGGAGTCTGCAGGTCCAAGCCCAAGATGCTGGCAGGTTCTGCAAGGCGCCTGGTGAGGGCCCACTCCCTGGTTCTCAGCTGGCCAGCTTCCTGCTGTGTCCTTACAGGGCCTGCCGGACGGGGCGGGGCGGGCTTGCTGAGGCCTCTCTCAGAAAGGCCCTAATCCCCCTCCTGAGGGCTCCACCCTCGTGATCAAAACCCCTCCCAAAGGCCCAACTCCTAATACCACCACTTTTGGGGGTTAGGTTCCCACATGTGAATTCTACCATAGCACCCACATTTGCATCGTGTCAGGGCGGAAAGCACCGTTTGCCCTCACTGACCCCCCAACAGCTGGAGCCCCGCCCTGATTTCTCACATCCTTGGGGCTCTTTGCTGGGAGCGCCAGCAGTTGAAACACCCTCCCGCCGGCCAGGCTGGGCTGTGGGGTGACGGGTCACACACCTGGTTGTGGTCCCTGGTAGGTTGGGCTCAGCCAGAACAAGAGGTAAGAAGGCAGGGAAGCAATTATAAGGTTCAGAGTGACTGACCGTTCCGCCACTTTAAGTGGAACCTGTGGTCTGGAAAAAGTAAGGTAACTTGATATCACTTCCGCCTCCTTGCACAGGGGGGAAACTGGCCCAGCAAGTGAGAGCCGCAGATCTGGTTGGAAGATGGTTACCAAGCACCTCTGACCCAGTAGGCGCTTGATGTGCAGCCTCTCGCTGAGTTCCTCCAACCCCCCAGAAGGTAGGGGTAGTATCCACGTCTGCTAAGAGAGGACGCTGAGCCCCAGAGACAAAGTGGGGGGCCAACCATGGGGCCCACTGACAACAGAGGGAGTGTTTGGGGGTGTTTAATTCAAGTATGTGTTGAATACCTACTATTCGCTTGACGGAACTGTGCGCTGAGCACCCGGGGTGTGCTGGGTCAGATATGCAGGGGCTCTCAAATGTGGTTTGATTCCGCCCCGGGCGCTGGCACGGGGTGAGGGCGGTCTCACTGAGGATGTGCACACACATGGGCCTTGGAGGATGGGCAGTGCCCTTGCAGGCAAACAATTGGTGGAGAACGGTACACAGGGCACGTGCAAACAGATGACAGCAGGCTCATCTCTAGCCCCAGGCTCCAGGGCTACTGCGCCCATAGGAGTCACAGGGGAGCTGGTGCAAAGCCGATCCCGGGCCCCGACTTCAACAGGCTAATTTGCAGTCTGGGAGACACTGGGAATCTGAGGCAAGAGGTCTGCGGTCCCACCTAGAGAGGGCTCCAATCTGACAACGTCAAGTTCACAACAGGGTTCCCCACTGTACCCCCATGCTGGATTGCCTTCCTTACCCAAAGCAAAAACAAAAACAAAAACAAAAAACAAAAACCCAACAACCAACCTGTGAATCTATCTCACCGCTTTGGCTGATTTTATTTTTAAAACCAGATTTCTAGAGAATGAAATACACAACCTTAACGAGGCACCCTCCTGTGAGCGAACCATTCGCTATAATCCAGAGGATCCAGAGCTGTCCACTAGGGGGCGAGCGCTGCCTCAAAAATGGGAACCAGCATGTCAGTGATTTGCCACCTAAAAGTCCATCTTGTAGCAGCGAGTCCTCTTTGCCTGGTGGTTGAGTGTGAACTTTTGTACATTCCAGGCAAGTCTGAGTCATTCGAACATCCACAGTGTTGACCTCAAAAAAATACCTCTGGAAAGGATGTTAAGAGACAAAAATGCTTAAGCTGATCCAACAAGCTCTTCTTACAAGTGAAAATGTCTTAGACTAGAATTTGAAACCTACAGTCACAAAACCCAAAGCAGCGCCCCTGAGTGCTAGTCAGCATCATCTCTTGTGTGCCATGCCCACGACCTCCACTCTGGGTGCTTCTCCCATCCCCCTGCCCCTGGCCCACCTCCCCCACCCTCCCCTCCGCCCAGAGGCCCAGGGCTCACTCTGTGCAGCCACTCTTTTGGGCCCTGAATTCGGGCATTCAGGGGCTGGAGTCCTAGCTTCACTAGCTCTGGGGTCTTGGGGAAGCCATCTAACCTCTTGAGCCTCACAGCCTACAGTGAGGTTGGCAATAAAACCTGTGGTACATGTTAAATAAGTTGATGTGTGATTTAAAGCACCTCAGGCAGAGTAGGTGCTCCATACCATTAATTCCTGTTCCTCCCTTGCTGCTTGGAGTTTTTGTGCTTGTTGATGGTCGATCCCATGTGATCTCGGGCAAGTGCTTTTCCTTCTCGGGGCCTGCTTCCCCCTCTGCAAAATGGGAAGGTTGAACGAGGTATTCTTGGTAGACCTTTCCATGTGCAATCATCAGATCTCTGATTCCATGAGTGGAGACGAACAAGACTCCATGATTGAACCTACGAACCAGGAGAAGGAGGACCAGGGGAAGGAACGAATGGTGTCTTATTTTCCCATGGGCTCCTCGGAATGAGAATTAGAGTAAGAGCTACTTCTTTCATTGCCCCTTTTTAGAGGGTTTTGCACCCTGAGACTGGAGTTTTGATAGCACCAGGAGGAGGGAGGAAGTGTTTGCCCTTGTAAGCCTAGGATGAGAAGGGGAAGTGCCAGGGCCTGCTGAGCTGCTGGGAGAAGGGCGGGCGTCCCTGGGGACGGGGTGGGGGGTGGGGGGAAAGCCCTGGTCCTTGTCTACACGCAGGGGGCTGGCCCACAAGCCCTGAGGCCCTGGGAGCTGGGGGCAGAGAGGGCAGATGCTCCTGGAGGAGGCAGAGAGGGGAGAAACCGCCGCCAGGGAAACCTCGGACGGCTCTGCCCGGCAGGTCTTTCTGCAGTGGTGGACACGTCCTCTCTCCACCCTGTCCAGTGTGGTGGCCACTGAGCACTTGGAATGTGGTTGGTGTGATTAAGCAATTGTTTTTTAACTTTAGTTCCTTTTAATGGATTTAAATTTAAATAGCCATACGTGCAATTAGCAGGAGCAGGGTAACAGCAGGACCTACTATGAAACAAGGACCGGTCCCTTCTGAACCTGGAGACCCTTCAGAGCACCGAGCCTCTGTCTCTCCCCAGGCCCTGGAGCTGTGGCGCATCCCTCAGTGGCCAGTCACGCCCGAGGCTCAGCCTGTGGCCACCCCAAACACCCACCAGGATTGCGGGGTGAAGGCCACCTCCCCGGGGGCGGGGAGAAGCCATGTTAGGGCAAAGGAATGTTCTGGTGCCAGGGAAGAAAACTCAGTTCTGTATCAGGGCACCATTGTTACCCCGCCCCTTCTCCTTGTACCAGTGGTTATTTAAATTCAAATAAAGTAAAATGAAATAAAATTAGCAACCTAACTTCTCAGCTGCATTGGCCGCATTTCAATTGCTCAGTGGCCGCACATGGCGTATGGCTACCACCCTGGATGAGGTGGATGTAGGACAAAAGGCTCCCCTTACTTTGGCACTTTGTGCTTTGGGACTTTGAATGAGTCATGTGTCCTTTGTGCTTTCATTCCCTGACTCATTCATTCATTGCACAGATTTCTAGTGGGATGCGGCTGTGGGCCCGGCCTGGGTTAGGGTTTCAAAGGTGAACAAGACAGGCCCTGCCCCACGGAGCTGACCACATGCGGAGAGGCAGGGCTGGGGCTTCTGTTGGATCACGGTCCAACAGATGGCTGGGCGCCTCGAGGAGAGGGAGCCCAGTTCTCCGGGAGCGAGACGCGAAGACACCGACCTGGACTCCAGGAGGGCCTGCCCCAGGGAAGTGACGCTGAGCCTGAGAGCCAAAGGAGGAACGGAGTTAGAGCATGTTTGGGTCGAGGAATCGGAGCCCTCATGCACTGTGGTGGGAACGTGAAGCAGTGCAGCCACTTTGGAAAGCAGCCTGGCAGCTCCTCAAATGATTAAGCATGAAGTTGCCGTCTGACCCAGCAAGGCCACTCGGTATATACCAGAGAGAAATGAAAACATATATCCACACAGAAACTCGAACCTGAATGTTTGTAGCAACACTATTTATAGTAGCCAACAGGTGAAAGCAATGAAAATGTCCATTGACTGATGAATAGATAAACAAAATGTGGTCTATCCATATAAAAGAATATTATTCAGCCTTAAAAAGGAATGCCATGCTCTGCGAATATGCTAAAAACCACAAAACCCTCCAGTTCAATAGGTGAATTGTATGATATATGACTTGTATCTCAATGAAGCTGTTAAAAATAAAAAGAGGAACCCTGGCCGGTGTGGCTCAGTGGACTGAGCACTGGCTTGTGAACCAAAGGGTCGTTGGTTTGATTCCCAGTCAGACCATATCCTTGGGTTGCAGGCCAGGTCCCCAGTAGGGGGCGCATGAGAGGCACCCACACATTAATGTTTCTCTGCCTCTCTTCTCCCTACCTTCCCCTCTGTCTAAAAATAAAATTTAAAAAAATCTTTAAAATAATAAATAAATAAATAAAATTTAAAAAGAGGAGGAGTCGGGGGTTCCAGAAAAGATTCAGCTTCAAGCCCAGACAGCAGGGGCAGAGGAACCTGCCACCTTTAGAAGACATGGAGGAAGCCCAGGTGGCCAGAGCCAGCAGAGCCAGCAGAAGGGACTGGGTAGGTCAGACCTCACAGGGACCCAGAGGCCACGTGAGGGACTTTGGTCTCTTTCTCTAGAGCAGCCAGGAGCATGATGAATTTTATGGCTGGGTCTGACCTGATGATATTTGCATTTTGTAAAAGTCATTCTAGATGACATATGGCAAAAGGAGTAGGGATGGGTAGAGTGGGAATGTGACACTTAAGAAGCATTTGGCCCCGGCTGGTGTGGTTCACTGAATTGAGCACAGGCTTGAGAACTGGAAGGTCGCAGG